AATAGAGAGTTCAGATGCAGCGTTTGCATCTGGTTCATGTAAAAACGAAAAATCTTGATTTCCCACCAAAACGTTAATTTTTGGTTTTTTGCCAAAAACAAATACTCTCCGTTTCCCGTTAAAGACGAAAAATCTCGGTTTTTCGTCAAAAAATCTCGTTTTTTCGTCAAAAACGAAAACTCTCGGTTTCTTGCCAAAAACGCAAAATCTCGATTTTTTTCTGCCAAAACAAAAAACTCTCGTTTTCCCGCGAAAACGCAAATCTCGATTTCCCGCCAAAAACACAAAATCTCGATTTCCCATCAAAAATGAAAATTTTAGGTTTCTCGCCAAAAATACAAAATCTCGATTTTCCGCCAAAAACGAAAACTCTCGGTTTCTCACCAAAAATGCAAAATCTTGATTTTCCGCCAAAAACAAAAAACTCTCGCTTTTCCGTCGAAAACGCAAAATCTCGATTTCTCGCCAAAAACGCAAAATCTCGATTTCTGCTAAAAAAGAAATCATCTCGGTTTCTCGCCGAAACGCAAAATTTCGATTTTTCGCCAAAAACGTAAAATCTCGATTTTCCATTAAAAACGAAAACTCTTGGTTTCTCGCCAAAAACGTAAAATCTCGATTTCTTGCCAAAAACACAATATTTTCATTTTCCGTCAAAAACTCAAAATTCCAGTAAAAAAAATTCCCGTCAAGTATAAAAAATCATGTTTTCCCACAAAAAATGCAAAAAAAAAATTATGTATTTTTAAAACTTAATTTGGTAAAAATATTATTTATTAAAAAATAATAATTCTTTTTAGTCATTTTATATATTTTGCATCCAACTATTTTTTTAAATTCACAAACGAACAATTTAGTATCTAGACGTAGCATCTTAATGCAAAACCTAGTTTCAAAAACAATAAATATCTAGATATTGTATCTAAATGCTGATCTAAATGCAAAATCTAGATGCAGCATCTAGATTAAAAAACGAACAGGCCTTAGTGGTTTAACTTTTGGGTTATCAATTTAATATTACGATATTATGCAAGTGCCAAACCATACATTTTCTAATCTGTAAGGTTGTTTTAATCTGTAAGGTTGTCTTGTGATTAGGATATTAGGATATTTTTTATTCTGTTTTAGATGTTTTTATAAGTTGAATATATTCATGACTCTTTAAAATCGTGTCTTCAAGTTTTAAAATAAAAGGTTTTCATTTATTTTTTATTTTTTTACTAGGCCAAGTTACAATATTTATGAGACTTGATCGACGGGATGAAAAAGACAAATGATCAGAAAAATGGAAATATAGAAAGCCCATATGAATTGGTCACGTTTGATTGTTTTTTTTTTCTTTGACCTTTTGCAAGATTTGGTCACGTTTGACTAATTTAGAAAAGATAAACAGTCTAGTTGCTCAGCTGTAATGGATGGAATAACGATTAGTCGGTTCAATTAAGTGGATTGATTTAGTTAGTAGTTGGACAAACGAAGTGGATTACTATATGTTATTGTCCTGAGCGGTTATGGGTTAGGTAACTGCTTAGTTATTTGGATATAATGGATTGAGACAGACAAACAATTACCATATCTATAGAATTCACGTAGCCGGTTTTTTCGTCAATTCCCGATCACATCATTAGCTTATAAGAAATATGATGATGATAAACGTCACATCTTAGGAACTTGTAATTCCTTAATGCATAGCCTAGTAATAGCCGAGATTAAGCTTTAACTTATCAAAAATATATTTTGTGTAAGAAACAATCAATATTCTTGATTGCCTTCTAAACGCAAACAAGCTTAGCAACGTGTATCTTGTTCATCTTAGGCTTCTTGACAAAATTACATCATAATGCATGAACTGTAGTCTGTAGATTGGAGAATGAGGTTTTTGGTCTCGAGTTACCTTATACTAACTCAACCTGATATGCAAATGCAGTAGAGATAGCTATCAAAATTCTTGGTTTATCCCCATGATTTTGTTCAGCAGCAAAATCGTCAACATGTAGTCTTGATTCCTCAGCTTGAATCCAATACCGTACAACCGTTATTTTTTGTTCTACGCTCCATTAATCACACCATCTGGTTACCTATGTGTTGCATTAAAATATGTTCTCCCATACTAGAAAAGAACTAGCGCATGCATTTCTCTTTGTTACCATCTTTTTTTTTTCTTTGTTACCATCTTAGCCCTGTTAATTTGACAAAACAAATCTACCAATAGGTTTAAGCCATAATCAATGTTCAACATCATAATATAATAATCATACGCTTCAAAACAAATATTGTGATTCCTGTTTAATTAAGATTTGAATTCGAAAATCAATTTTTTTTGAGGAAATCACCAACAATCAACCATACTAAAATCCTTTCCATCTGCCTAGGCTATTCGTAACTATTCTAACATGCAACTATGAGTTAGAAGTAATGCCTTAATAGCAAAAACACAATGAGTTCTATGAGAACATTTTTGGATGACTATAACGGAATTTTTTTTACCTTTTGCAAGTTTCTAGTTTATATAACTGAAATCTGTATATTATAGTTAGTGTTATATCTTACATTCATTTGTGATATAATATAGGGTATAAGAAAAATTTCCATTCAGGCTTTCAAAAACTGTAAATGGGTTTGCAATTTCGGTTTTCACCTTGCCAGCCACAATTGAAAAACTAGCCCACGAACTGGATCGTGTGGGCAATATTATCAAATTAATCCAAATTCGGACAAAAGCGAAGCCGTGGGACCCAAGGCAGGCTGGCACAACTGGGCGGACCCCAACGAATTATCAAATCCCATTCATAAATATAAACCTAAAGGGGCCAAAAAAAAAGAGAGAGAGAAAAAAAAAGAAGATCTCGCTCACCGCCTCATTTCCCTCGTTCTCCGTTCTCGATTTCCGTCCGTCGAAGAGAATCAAATAGTTAGGGTTTTTCTGCGAGCGAAGATGAGGGAGATCATAAGCATTCATATCGGACAAGCTGGGATCCAAGTCGGAAATTCGTGCTGGGAGCTTTACTGTCTCGAACATGGGATCCAGCCCGACGGGATGATGCCCAGGTCTTATAACCTAATCGCCATTTTCTGTTGGTTTCTTTGGATCCAAGGTTTTTGTGAGAGACGAACCTAATAGCCGTTCTTCTTTTGCTCCTTTACAGTGATACTACAGTGGGAGTTGCGCACGATGCTTTCAACACTTTCTTCAGCGAGACTGGTGCTGGAAAGCATGTCCCTAGAGCCGTCTTCGTTGATCTTGAGCCCACTGTTATTGACGAAGTCCGTACTGGAACTTACCGTCAGCTTTTCCATCCTGAGCAGCTTATCTCTGGCAAAGAAGATGCTGCTAACAACTTCGCCAGAGGCCATTATACTGGTAAGAAATCACTTCATGCTTCTTCTAAATAAGTTTAAGGATTCTGAAAATGGTCCTTTAATATGATTATAATTGCAGTTGGGAAGGAGATTGTGGACCTTTGCCTTGACCGTGTGAGGAAACTTGCCGACAACTGTACTGGCTTGCAAGGGTTTTTGGTGTTCAATGCTGTTGGTGGTGGAACTGGTTCTGGTTTGGGCTCTTTGTTGTTAGAACGTTTGTCTGTAGACTATGGAAAGAAATCAAAGCTTGGCTTCACCATATATCCATCTCCTCAGGTACCTCTTTTTGCCAGGATCTCAAGGAAAAACTCATTACATTACATGTTTCTTTAGTGGTATATTATGAATCTTTGGTTTTAATGCTCTGCCTTTTGATCGCAGGTTTCTACTGCTGTCGTAGAGCCTTACAACAGTGTTCTTTCAACGCATTCCCTACTTGAACACACCGATGTCGCTGTCCTCTTGGATAATGAAGCCATCTATGACATTTGCCGGAGATCCCTAGATATCGAGAGGCCAACCTACACAAACCTAAACAGGTTGATATCCCAGATCATATCATCTTTGACCACATCACTGAGGTTTGATGGAGCCATCAATGTGGATATCACTGAGTTCCAGACCAACCTTGTCCCGTATCCCCGTATCCATTTCATGCTCTCGTCTTATGCTCCAGTCATCTCAGCTGCAAAGGCTTACCACGAACAGTTATCAGTCCCTGAGATCACTAATGCCGTGTTTGAGCCAGCTAGCATGATGGCCAAGTGTGACCCAAGGCACGGGAAATACATGGCCTGTTGTCTGATGTACCGTGGAGATGTTGTTCCCAAAGATGTCAATGCTGCTGTTGGTACTATTAAGACAAAGAGGACTGTTCAGTTCGTTGACTGGTATAATCTTCAAAAGAAACAAAACTTGCTATTGTTTGTTTCTACCATTGATGTTGTTTTTAATAAACAGTTCTTTTGGTTTTGTCTTGCAGGTGCCCAACTGGGTTCAAATGTGGAATCAACTACCAACCTCCAACGGTTGTTCCTGGAGGTGACCTCGCTAAGGTTCAGAGAGCTGTGTGCATGATCAGCAACAACACAGCAGTTGCGGAGGTGTTTTCACGGATCGACCACAAGTTTGATCTTATGTATGCAAAGAGGGCGTTTGTGCACTGGTACGTTGGTGAAGGGATGGAGGAAGGTGAGTTCTCCGAGGCACGTGAAGACTTGGCCGCACTGGAGAAAGATTATGAAGAAGTTGGTGCTGAAGGTGGAGACGACGAAGAAGATGAAGGTGAAGACTATTGACACCTTCTTTCAAGGAATGCCCAACCAGAAAGTTTTTTCGTTTTTCTGTTTTCACTTGTGATTCTTGTTGATTACATGTTTGTTTTAATCCTGTACAATCTTCGTTGCACTTTCTCCGCTATGTCCTGTTTTAATCTCGGTTCAATTCATTGGTAGAGCAACCACTGTGAGTTCCAGAGTTCATTATCAAGCTTTTGTTGTACCAAACCTTCATTATCTTCTTACAATGTCCATTACTTTAGGTACAGTCTTGTCTATTAGGACTTTGTAGAGATGCTTTCTACTTTACATTCATGGATTCAAAATTACATGAATTGAAAAAGAAAATGTAAGATTAGTTCATGTAGGGCAGAAGAGTTGAGAGAGTGAAGGGAGATCCCAAATGGGATCGGTAGGATCGAAAATCGCATATTCTGCATTCATGTTATCAAAGTAACTGTTGGCTCCATTCATTGCATATAAAGATGCAGATATCTGTCTTTCGATTTCAGCGAGACCCGAATGTGGATCGGTTGGGTGTGGATTGTTGAGATGTCCATGTGCTTCTTCCCCTCCCTGAGTCAAAGGAACCTGATGGTTGAATCCAGAGACAAGGGGCCAAGAGTAAGGAAGCAGGACATTCTCGTTTTCTGGTTGTAATATAACCGATGGATCAGGGCTGTACACATTATTGATTGGCACCACTGTGGTCGTAGTGGTGGTGGTGGTGAGACTAGTAGCAGTCGAAGTGTTGTAGTTGATACTGCGTTCCGCAAAAGAAGAGATGGGTTTCTTTTGTTGTTGTTGTTGTTGTTGTTGTTTCATGCTCTGCTTCTGGTGAAGAAGATTTCTAATCTTCAAAGACAGTTGTGAGTTGTTTGGAAAATGGTTTGCGAAATTGGTGCGAGTATTGGAGCCACGTAGGAGACAGGCAGCTTCGTCGTAGGCTCGAGCAGCTTCTTCTGCGGTCTCAAAGGTTCCGAGCCACATTCGTATCTTCTGCGTCGTGTCTTTGATCTCAGCCACCCATTTTCCTGAAGGCCTTTGCCTAACTCCCACGAACTTGGTCTTGTTGTTGCCTTTGCTCTTTTCCTTTGTTTTCTGCTTTTGAGTTGTTTGATGTTCCATTTTTTTTTTTGGTATATGAGTTGGTATATAGACGTTGATATATAACTATTTATAGGGATACATATGTTAAGTTTTTCATTTTTGTGCTCGTATGGTTTTGTGGCCAAGTCTTAGTGGGTGCCTCGTCTTTTTAAAGACCTGTCGTTATTTTAGTGATGATACGAATACGATTTTATAATGGTGGCTTTTTACCTTGTTAGGTACAATTTGAGAATTATTCAGAGGTTTTATGTAATGTGGGTTCCATGTATTAATTACGTGCGCACCATTTTCTAATTTGTTAATGTAAATGAATAAAGTACAAAAGACAAATGTATGATGTGTTTGCCTTTGAAGACTCAAGTAAACTTAACATTTCTCGTTTTAAAAAAGTAAGCTTAATACGTAGAGGGAGCCCTCAATAAAAGAATTTAAAGAGATTTTTAAAATGCAAACATATTGCAATGCCGACCAACTATATAGTTAAAAACTATGATCCTCACAAAAAAAATCAAAAAATTAGTGGAATCCCTCTAGGAGAGCTGACACGAGATCTCTTAAAAATCTTAACATTAAGTAGACAACTAGCAACCTGAAAAATGGTGTCCCAAAGGTTTTCTTTCAGACTTTCACCCTATTTTGTCTTTTGGCAATCTTAATCACAGTTGTTGCTAAAGGAAACAACAATAGAAAGCTAATATCTTACCGCAGGCAATATTCTCCTCTTGCACCCCGATCTATCTCGTCACCTTGTTGCTCCTTTGACTCCGGTCAATTAATCTCATCCTCTCGTTGCCTACTACTACTACAGGAGATCTCCACCCTCACTGCGCTCCAAAAATGGCAGAGTGTATCCACCTCCTCCTTCCGGCAAACCATGGTGGTGGTGGTGGTTGAGGGGTTAAGAAGCATGCAAGCAGCAGCTTAGGAGAAGACAAAAATTAGTAGTCTTACCATAATTTTATCACTGACAAATTGTTATCTGAAAGAAGTTTGCCTGAAAACATTAAGAATGCATTCTTAGTGTTGTCTTAACTTTGTTTGACGTCTCTGAGTTTGTCCCTTTTCTTTGTGACTGCAGCTTCTGCGTTCAATCGGTTTGTTTAACCATTTTTTTTTGTAAATTGTATTGATTCTTTTTTTACTGTATTTCCAATATTTTAAAACGTCTCGCCCGATGATTATCATCAAGTGTGCAGTCTTCGATTATGAATTAAGGACTTCTTCTTAAAAATTCTTTAAGATCCCGATATTTAATATAGAAACCACTCTTTTCACTTGCATCAAAACAGTTTCCTATAAACAAATGGCATATTTTAGCGGCTATTTTTCTTGTAATACTGATTCCGACACCATGTTGTTTAATAAGTTATAACCTCCAAGATTAGTCTTTATAGGGTTTATGATAACGACTTAACAATAAAATATAATTTCTTTATTTAAGAACGGGCAAGAGTTTCCAAAAGAGTACAAATCAACAATGGCAATGAGAGAAAAGAATAATTTCTTCAAAATTCTCAATTGCATACAAAAGAAAAGAAAAAGAAACTCAAAAATCAAATCCATTCTCTGTTTTGTTTCTCGTATAAGCACCAAAACTTCATCCCTCTCTCAAACCCAAACCAACATCAACACGAAACCTGTATTTTTGGGAAACCATACCCAGTTTCCCAATGACACTCTTTCCACGAATATGTAATTTCACAATCCTTCCTTCCCCTTCTAATATACACTTCCTACCATCAAGATAGAAATTTTCATTTTTTTTTGATAACTTCTGAAGGACTAGACCCATCATCATCCCTCCCAAAAAGAAATGGTGAAAAATGCTAAAAACTGTAAACACAAAAATGCAAAACTGACGACGCTTTTGTGGTGGAAATAGAGCTTACAAGACTGTAAAAATGAACAAAAGAGACCCGGATTGAAGTTGATTTCAGGAGGAAAGCATGGATTGGAGAGCAAGCTGCTGCTCGGGTTTCAGCGCTGACCATGTTGAGGCCAACGCCGATGGCAGTGTCTGCTGAAGATGCCTTAGTATATTAATCATACGACCTGCTGTTTCTTCTGTCACTACATCTTTCCCTGTAAGCACCTGCCCGCCAATATACACACATTGATTTCTCTGTGAGTATAATAATGCAAATATCCACGAATAAAAAAAATTGTCTATGAAAGCGTGATTATAACAAACCTCAGCAAAAACCATTAAGATTTTCGGAAGATATTGGTTATTGGGCCCTAAAAGGTCCTCATCTTGCCTGCAAGGTTACCATCAATGATGGCGTTTAGATAGGCCATAAGGAATGAAGAAAAGTGAAGGGCTGAGTAAATTAGAATATAAACCCATTTCTTACCTCTCAACCATTGAGCACAGCTGATCATGAACCACTTTGGCTTCAATGACATCATTACTTATAGGCAAACAATTCAACCAAGCAGGAAGTACCTAATAAAAACCACAACAAAGTAACTTGTGATCATCAAAAGCAACCACATGTATTCGTGCGGAGCAAGCAGACAGAGATGGTGAAACCGTGAAACCTTATAACCATCATAAGCTTACCTGAGAAGAATCGATACTGTCACGATGAAATTGGCAGATCTTTCCCACAGCAGATACAGCATTATCATATGCCATGGCATTTTCAGATTGCCGAGCATTTGGCTGCTGTATCACAACATTTAATCTTGACAGAGCCTCTGTTGAAACAAAACAAACAGGTCTTACTACTTAGCTGCTAAGCCCCCAAAAACTACCAGTGGGCAAAGGTATACCATACCTCCAACAAGAGGCTTGAATACAGATCCGCCAAACTCAGCACAAACACCAAGCCCATAAACGGCAGCCTGAAATGAACAAGATAGATCACAAAAAATAGTATTCAGCTCCAAAATACCAGATTAACAGAATGCAGAATATACCTGTCGAACTTCTGGGCTCTCGTCATTACAAGCTTCCAGTACAAATGGAAGGTAAGTATCATAATATCTGGCAAACAAATAATAGGCAAAAAAATTGACATCAGAACACTGATAACAGAAAACCTACTATGTACAAAGATCCTGTGAATGCATATACACTTACTTAAAGGCAGCATCACGGCATTGTTCTGCAACATCATCAAAGATGCATATAGCAATCCTTCTCTCCTCAGCTGTTTTATCCCTTCCCTGAACTCACGAATACACATCCCAAAACCAACAATCAATAGCAAAACAGAAAATCCCAAGGAGAACTTAGACTAATTTTGTATATAGAGCCGTGGCCACAGCCTAAGACCTAAAAATATTCACCTTACAAGATTGTCAAAAATTCTACAATTTTTCACTTGTATTATACCAATTCAGTTATACGATACTCTCAACTATAGAAATTCTCCACTTAATATAATGCACCATCCAAAAGAGAAGACTTCAGTGTAGATGGCCACTTACCCACATAGGAGTTAAGTAAGAGGATAATTCATCGAAGAAAGGCAGAAATGAGGCCTTGAATGTCTTAACCAGTGTTCCCAATATTTCACCGACCTATGTACAGAAATAGTTCAAGTAAGCAATAAGAGCCTAGAAGATATAACCTCATTATATTTCCATTTGACAAGGATGAGTCGCAGAAAACTTACCTGATCAAAAATCTCTTCCTCTTGCTCATTTTCCTCCTTAATAAGCTCTCCCTCTTCAGCGTCAAAATCTTCAGCATTGGCCCTCTCTCCCCTCTCTCGCTTCCTACTAGAGCTTGCGGTCATAACTTGCTTTACCTCGTCAACAATGGATCTAATTTTCCCTTCATCCAAGAGATTTCCGGAGATCTGAAATACAGTGACAGGTTATAAGATACCAGTTTTCCAATGTCTACAATTTACTTTTAGAGGCACATAATAAAGACTTGTTCAAAATAAGCTCTTTATTACATACCCTAAACCTAAGGACAGCATGAAAATAAGGCCACCTGAAAAGTAACCTATTCTTACTCTAGGTTAATAACAAAAACCAGCAAGACTACCAAAGTAAATGCAGCACTGTCAAATGGAAACGCTGAGACTGACGCAAAGATGCACAACAAAAGGATAATTCTAAATAAGCTTTTTTTAATCACATACCACAAGTTTAACCAAAATTGATAATGATAAGTTACCTGCAAGCACTCATTGATAGCCTCCAACATACTCACACAGATCTCTGTATCAGGTTCCTACATAAAATCCGATCATCAGCACCATGAAAAAAGGATCAAAGCCAATAAATAATGAACAGAACACAGACTAACTTTATGCAAAGCTTCTAGCATGGCCGGAATAATGTAGTCCGATAGCTGCTTCAGATAGGATAGATCGCGCCCTTGAGATATGCCTTTCTCTATTGCCAGCTTGGCTGAGCGCATTAGCTCCGGCATGGCTAGAAAGAAATATCATCCAATTTATTAGAAACTTGTGTTCTAAAGATCAAAGATATATAGACGATATATTTACTGATATACCTGACACAGCTGCTCTTCTAACTTCTTCGTGAAAATAGAATTTTAGCAAAGGAACAAGTGTAGGTGCAACCTACAATTTACAAATTCAGTCTACGCAATCCCAAGAACAATAGCGGATACTGACAAAATTTAGAGTTATTTAACCATACTAACCTGATCAATCCAGGGAAAAAATCCTTCTTTTAACTCATCAGCATAGCAACACAGCATGTTGCAGGCTGTGGCTTTTTCCTCTAGGACACTTGTTTTAATTCCTATTCTTTTGTCTCCAAGGATAATGGTCTCCATACTGCATCAAAAGATGTATTTAGTACAAATTACCACACATCCATACGCGATGAACTCATAACCCCTCTGTTTTACCATAGGTTATGCTTTTTATTATTTGAGACATCATAATCAGAGGAAGTGTAAAGACGAATTAAACCTTTCATCATCAGAATCCTCTGCTTCATCATCTGAATCAGCAGATGTAATTGTTACATCTGGTTTTAGTTGAGCTGACTGAAGCAAAGGAGGCATCACAACACTCATGTATGGGAGGAAATCCTGACCTAGACACTTGCAAAGCCTAGCCCATGCCTACGAAAATGTAAGGTAAATGTAAGCAAGTAAATTTACCTATATCAGTTTTAAAATAACATATAGGCCTAGCATGTTGTAATCAGAATTCACCTGTAACATGTAACTCGTTATTGGATCATCTGCCTCCATCTCAGACCCTTGCAATGACATAAGCACTTCCATGACCTAGGGTGGACATGTAAAGTATAATCATGCGAGAGATGAATAGGAGGAAAATAATATAGAAAGCTTGCCGGCATTAATCTCTAGTAGAAAACAAGATTGCCGCATATAGCATCAATTTTTTAAGAAAGTGCATATCGATTAGACCCATGCATATCGATATACATACCTGCCTCGCATCATCCCTAAATCTGTCCTTCCCAACTGCCATTCCAACAAGACTGATGCACTCCATGGATTTGGCACGAAGCATCCTCTTAGATTTGTCAGTTGCGTTCATCAAAATAGTTTTGAGATAAGGCATGACAGCATCATAGTATTTTTGGAAGTGTTCCTAAAAATTCAGATTATGTTAGATCAAGAATTGTATCTAAAGAAAACAAAAAATGCAGCACAATTTCTGCACATATACCTGCGATGAATCAGCAACGGAAGCAAGAGCTGTTAAAGCTCCTTCTTGCACCATTTGTTTACCATTCTATCAGAAACACCATTAAAAGTGTCAATAATTTAAAACTCAGTAGAGTGCAGTTATTTATTTTAAAATAAATTTGCACAATGGACTTACTTGCAGTAACACAAGCAACTTGCTCACTACTCCGTCTAAATAAGGTGCCAATATTTCAGGTGTACAATTTTCACTGAAGTTGAGTACTGCTGAAGCAGCATGAGCCTACATGAGGTCATGTGGTAGTTTGCTTTAGAAAGTGACAGAAGATTATATAATATGATATACAGGGTTAGCGGGGATCTAACCTGCACTCGTGGATTCTGGAAATCATCCATAGCAGTAGCAAGTGCGGGGAGCACTCTCTGATGATGTTGGTTTTGCAAATCTGGACCCAAATCTGTAGACAACTGTCCAATTGCATTTATAGCTGCCCACCTTACGCGAGCATGAGGACTTTGAAACTGGCTTAAAACCATGGACACCACTTGCTCCAGATTTTTTATCATCACCTACATCAAGTTGAAGATATTTTCAACATCAAAAGAAACCCCAAAACTAATGTAAGAGTTTGGCAAGTCCTCCCTAGATAAACGATGTCAAGAAAATTGATTATCAAACATCCCACTGAAAGCAAAAACAACAAAACCCTGAACTCTACCGAACAATAAAGGAGAACTGTTACCGTCTTAAGACAGGTAATACAGTTGCAACCACTAAACAGTTTACCTTTGAGCAACCTTCAGCAATCTGAGCAAGAGCAATCAAGGAAGCATGGTGTTTCTGCCACTCAGAGGCAGCCAAGTAAGCAGAAAACTGGCGGTATGCAACTGGAACAATGGTGTTCCCTCCCAAAGAAATTGCTAACCGATCCAAACACTCTTGACCCATGCTGTAGTTGCTCGTCTCGCCAGCGTCCTCGTCCTCGGTCTCAGCGCTGTACCAAGCAGGATCGTCCTCGATATCCTCGAGCATCTTCATAAGAACCGCAAACAACCTGTCGATGAACTGAGGGAGTTTCCTGACCATCCCAGGGGCACGCTCACGGGCCTCAGCAAGAGTTACCAAAAACTCAATCGCGAGATGACGCGTACTCTCCTCGAGGGAATCAGCCTCTGCGATCTGAAGCATCGAACCAACTATGTCAAGAAGCTGCCGTCTGAGGAACCGTGGCTCGGTACCAGCCAATTCGATTAAAAGCTCGAGTGCCTCCTGCGCAGTTGCTTCGTTCCCGTTGTTGAGGGATTCGGTCAACGTCCTGATCATCGCAGGGAGGACATCTTGGAATCTATCCCGCTCCGTCGAGTTCGTCAGACACTGAACGAAACTAATCACGGCGTTTAGAGCGGCGATTTTGACGTCGGAGCTAGCAGAGTTACTACTCAAGCACTGGAGAAACACGCCATGGAGAAGCTTGATGTGAGGGGTCAGAGTCTCCCCAACGTACTGAGACAATTGCGCCAGGACTAAAAACGCCGATTCCTGAAGTTTAGGGGAATCAGAAGATACGCACTGGAAAACGAACGGGAGCAACTCCGGCCATCCGTTCTCCGGAAGGATCCCGGATGCAAGTTCGGAGACAGTGTCGCAAATCTTCTTAGAGATCGATTTGACCTCCTCATGCTGAATACAGGACATCATCGAGGATTTGAGAGAGGATTGAGTGGAGAGGGAGAGACGCGGCCAGAGATAGGCGTCATCGCGTGTGAGCAGCTTGCGGAGGAGAACGGCCGCCATGGCACGACCTTCAGGGTGAGGAGAAAGCTGGAGGAGATGAGCAAGCTTCAAGGCGAGGGTATCGGGATTGCTTTGCTTGGCGAGATTGAAGAGAGCCTCGGCGGAGGAACGTTGCTCGTTGGAAGAGGACATGAGGTGGGAGATGAGCGTCTCGAAAGGCGCCGAATCGGAGCCGAGGACCATCGCGAGTTGCGCTTGCTGAAGCTGATTCGCCTCGGAAGCCATGGCAGGTGGCGGCGGGAAAAACTAGGGTTAAAAAAGCGCACTAGCTATCTCTCTCCCCTTAGGATGCGAGTCTAGAGAGAGAGAGAGTAAGCGGATTGAGGAGGAGAGCGAAGAGGGATGAGGTTTCTGAAGAGATAATTATATATTTATATTTTATTTCCTTTTTTTCCAACTATTCGTGATTTGAGGTGGTGGGCCGTGGGCCTAATTAAATTAAGGAAAGAAAAATAAAAGCAAGCAATGATATGTCATTAGCTGTATTTCAAGGGTGGATGATAAATCGATAACCAATGCGTGTGTCCCATTTATTTACGTATTATTTATCAAAGTTGGCTTTTTATTTTACATATATTGAATATCATAAACAAAAATATGATGAAACTTGGTAAAAACTTTAGATTCCACTATCTAAAATGTAATAAGGTTTTGCCTGGTCAAAGGGAAAAACATTTGTGGATGTTTTTTTTGTTATTCAGAAACCGCTTGGGAAAGATGCTGCTTTCTCTCATATTAAATTGGATATGGAAAACGAAGATATATGAGTGGAACTAGGCTATTGAATACATAGAAAGTTTACATTACTCAAAAGTCATTTTTGGTTCCGCGATCCAGGAAAATATTAGTTTCGTTTTTGATCATATGAGAAAAAATTGTGGAGGCAAACCCAATAGTGGAATTTGGAAATTGAGGATCAGGAAAGCATTAAAAGAATTTATGCAGTCGGTAGAAGTGTGATAAAGGATGACATGTTTCAAGTTTGGTTGAAAGAGATCTACAACTTGTAATCCTTAATATCCATTCTTAAAATTTCACCAAATCTTCAAATATCCAAACCCCTTAATAATGATATTAATTGAGTTTGAAATATAAATACCGGTTGTTTATAAAATCATTTAAGGCAATTTAAAAATATTACGAAAATGGGGTTTTTTTTGGGTCAACAGAAAAATGGAGAGTTCATGTGTCACACACTTTACGATTAATTTTCTTTTAGTGTAAGCCCGACTAGTTATTGCATTTTCAGAACCCAATCCATTGACCGTGCCCATCCCTAAACCCCTATTTTCCGACTAAATTGTGAGTCAGTCGTTCTCTGTTTCCTCTTTTCAACTCCTCCTCTCTTCTGCTCATCTCTTCTCTCATTCTGTCTCTGCTTTCCCGGTGACTTTTGTATCTCTTTCTTTATGCAATTCGAGGTTTGCATATTTACTGATTCGAAGAACCGATCGAGGCTTCTTAAACCCAACACGTGAGTTGGGTTTGGAGCTTTCTGTCTATTCCTGTTATTTAGTTTTGTCGGAAATTCTTTTGGTCTCTCCTATCTCTGGAAATTTGATAACTTTTCTTATTTCTCGGTTTATAATGAACTGCGAGTAAGTTTCTAGTTTCGTTATGATTCCACAATACAATAGACTACAAATAAAATCAGTTGCTTGTCGAGTTTTACGACATTGATTATAGTACTAGCTTCTGTCGAAAATTTACATAGAGCAGTTCCGATTTGGAGTATTTTATACACTAATCTGGATGTGTATCATTCTCTCTCTTTTCCAGATTGTTTGCTTTTGAAAGTTTAGGGATTTAGACTGTGAGAAGTTCCCAACCTTGACTGGCTTGGCAGATCCTTAAGCTATGCTGAGTAGGTTGTCAAGGCGTTGCTACTGCAATTCTGTTCATCGCCCATGGCTGTTTCTGGGATTGGGCAATCCCGGGGACAAATACAAAGGGACTCGACACAATGTACCCCTTTTTTTAATAGTGATAATGCATTTAAACAATTTAGATTTGGTCGTGTTGATCTCAAATATTTAGATGTTACCTGCTCTTGTTTGATTACTCTGCAGATTGGGTTCGAAATGATTGATGTTTTTGCTGAGTCAGTGGGGATTCAGATGAACCTGGTAAATTTCAAGGCTATAATGGGACAAGGTATGAAGTTACATTAAGTTTTTCTCTGGTGTGATGAACAAAAACTGTGTGAGGTTGATGTTAATTAAAGGCTTCCATTTTTGTGTTTTCTCCTCTCAGGTTTCGTGGGAGATATCCCTGTTATCCTGGCAAAGCCGCAAACCTACATGAACTTGAGCGGTGAATCAGTAATCTGCTTCTCCCATTCTTTCTATGATACTTTAAAAACTTGTGTAGATTATGCCATCTAGGCAAATAAAATAGTGAGGCGTGATGAGAGATGTATTCTTGAACATCATCTACATGTTTTATCCATCGATATTTAAACCAAGGTTAGGTTTGCTCTGCTTGTTCGAAAGACATATAGGCCTGATGAGAGATGTATGGTCATAAAAATCTATTGCTTGCCAAGTGTCTATTATTCCAATTAACTCATCTGTATTTATCAATATGTAGCTTCTTAGCTTTGGTTGATAGTGTTTGTAACTGTGCCTCTCCTTATGTTGGTCAGAGTGGACCTCTTGCGGCTTATTACAAGTTACCTCTCAGTCGTGTGCTTGTGGTAATCCTATTACCGTTTTTGGCTCAATGCCTAACCATCCTTATGACTTGTTTCGCTGGAGGACACTTAATTCCATTGTTATTCTGGTGGTTTGGTGATTTAGGTGCATGATGACACACAATTGCCATGTGGTGTTCTCCGTCTTCAAGAAAAAGGAGGCCATGGATGTCACAACGGGTACGTGTATCCCTTTCTTTTTGACTGGTCATCAGTAACGTTCTTTACATTTCCCTGGTTCTCGAAAATCAATTTCTGTCACATGTTTTGGACCGTAGTGTATACCATCATAATATGTGAATCACCATATTAAAAACTCTCATATGTTAATATTTGTGTTGTCCTCAGGTTAAAAAGCGTAATGGCCCATTTCCGAGGCAACAAGGAATTTGCAAGGCTACGAATCGGTTAGTTTAGACCTCTGCTCCACCTAACATTTTCTCTCCCTCAAGAAGAGCTTTGGTTCTAATATCCAGATATTATTATTATCCAACAATGGTAAGGAATCGGAAAGCCCCCGGGACAAATGGACCCAAAGGCGTTCTTGTTGCAGAAGTTCAGCATGCCAGTTCGTGAACTAGTAAGTCTATGAGCATTTGTTGATAGTGAAAGATTGTGGTTTATATGAAAACACTAGGAAATGAATTTTTGTTTCTGTGCGCTGTGTGATTTGTGGGAAAGATGGATGGAGCTTTAGCTGAAGGAGTGGAAGCTCTGAAGCTGGTCTTGTCTAAAGACTTTGGAGAAAGCTGGAGAGTGTTCAATGTGGAACAGAAGTACAAACACCTGAGACAACACACAGTAATGGCACCTTGACCAAAATGCTCTCACCAAGATGACTACGTTTCATCAAAGATGGGTCAAAGAGAAAAAGATACAAAAACAATCTGAGACGAACGAATTTACCAAGAAAAAGTGGACGAAACTGGCCATTTGCTGTCAACTTCATTGCTTTTGAGTAGTCCGTCTTAAAAGAAACATCACACTAACCAACCTCATGCTTCTCCAACGAACATGTCACAGCCCAGTCAAGTGCTTTTATCTCCGAAAACTATGAGAAATGTATTTTAAAAAGAGGTTTATAACAAAGAGAGACACATGGAACCGGTTGAGTAGAAGCCAATAGCAAAATGCTTAAGCTATGGTTTTTTTACAATGGAGAGTGTCGCTGAATATTAGCATTTTTCGAGTCATCTTACAGGCTTTGCTATTTTATCAGTTTTTTTTGGTTTTGTTATGTTTTACCGAAACTTTTGTATGCTCTGTTTTTGGAGCTTGATTCTTTGGTTATGGAACTTAACATTTATTTATCTATCAAATATATTGAGTTGATACCATAATATTTGATTGTACACATATTTTTTTTGATATAAAGATTTTGGTTTAATATTAAGAATAAATTTGTATTAAGGTTAACAAATTTCTTCACAGCCGTCCGGTGAGAGAACCAGTTAAGTTCTTTGATAGCTTGTGAACGGCGATACTTTTTTTTAAGTCTGCGACAAAATCACCACCGCCGGAAAATTATGCCGACGGGATGCGAATTTCCGAAGATTGAAACCTTCGAGAGTGCTCCTTCTGCCGCCGACTTTGAGTCTGGCGTCGAGCTCACCAACTTCCCTGGAGTAATTCACCTGATCACCTCTCTTTCTCTCTCTCCCGCTGAATCTGATTCTCTTATGAGTTTATCTTGCTTCGTCTTCTTCTGAAGGTTTTCCGAGGATGTGCTAGTGACTGGGCTGCCTGTTCTAAGTGGAATCCATTCAACAGTGGCCTCGATTATCTGGAGGTGTTTTCTTCACCTCTCACTTGATTCCAATTCCATTTCCATTTCCTTTCTTCCATAGTCGAATCGAAGATTGTGCAAAATCTTATGCGTCAATTTGGATTATATGAAGGAACGTGCAGGTTCAGTTGAGGTGGAGGCAATGCTTTCGAGAACGGCTCCGATCTTCAATGGTGATATCAGAAGCCACGAGAGGGTAAAACTCCATTTAAGCTCTGATTGTTTCTGGTTGTGCTTTTAATATTAGCTTTCTTGTATCCATCACAACAGTTTACATATGGTTGTCTTTTGTCCTGTAGGTATCATTGCCGTTCTCGAGTTTTATCGGATTCTGCAAGCAGCATTTGAGAAGCCAAGGGAATGGTTCCGATGTTGATGCTATGTCTAGTTGCCCGGTGCCGGAGGACCATATACCTGGACAAATATACCTAGCACAGGTTCAGATGATATTCAGTTTTTGTCTTTGTGTTTCTGGTGTATGAATATCTTGCGATGATCTATCATTTTGGATTTCTCGCTGATTTGATCCTCTTGTGTTGTACATAATGTAATTTTTTTTTCTTTCCAGTTTCCAATTTTGAATGATGAGAAAGAAAAGAAGGTTCAACTCAAGATTCTGGGACAAGACATTCAGACGGTAAGATGCATAGTTAACTCTTGTTTCTACCGGAACTGCTGATATTAGTTTTCTTAACATCTACTATCTGAATTGAATTGATGCAGCCCACACTCTTAGAGGGAAAGTCACTGTCTTCTATAAACTTTTGGATGAATTCTGCACAAGCTCGATCAAGTACCCACTATGATCCGCATCATAACCTCTTATGCGTAGTCTCTGGGCGTAAGAAAGGTTAACCCATTGTTTTCCTTCGAGTAAAATTGTCTGCAAGTTGTTTCTGGTATTTCTGTTTCTAGTGGAATCAAATCTGTAACTCATGGCCCAGTTATAAATGAAGTTGATTCGCAGACATTTCAGGACATGTGGTTTTTATAGAGAATGTTAAAGTCAATTAAACGATTCAACGATTTAACTTTATGTTGTATGCTTTCTTACATCTAAATCAATTTCAACCTTCAATCATCAACAGTTGTCTTGTGGCCCCCTTCCGCCAGCCCCTCGCTCTATCCGATGCCTATTTACGGAGAAGCGTCAAACCATAGGTATCATTTTTGGCCTATGTTTTTTTTTTGGTGGTTACATCCTGAGCACGCACTGCAATACCTGCACCTTAGCAGCTATTGCAAACTTATCAATGGTTTTTCTATGCCAATGTCTATTTACAAGATTTTTTTTGTTGCATTTTGTATTTCTGGTTCATGTAGTTCGGTTGGTCTAGACAATCCGAATTTATCAGATTATCCAAGAGCAGAGCATTCCCTGAAGCAGTCACAGGAGGTTAATCTTAACGCTGGTGATGCAGTTTTCATTCCTGAAGGTTGGTGAGTATACTCATATTTTCTCAGAAAAGCTCCCCTAGTAGTAGTAGTAACATAGCTTTGTGTTTCAGAATAAAATTTCTAAAATATCTTCTTAGAGATCCTGCATTATATGTGTCAAAAAAATTTCCCACTTGTAGTTATGAGGTTTCAGACGGAGACAAACAAAAATGCTTGAAATGTCATTTATGTTGCCTAGCTTACTGTCATGCTAATGAAAGTGACACTTCATTGGTAAGGAGAAGTACCTTGTAATATAATTGTAAGTATTGAAGCTTTGACACTTTACTTAGCCTCATAGATTTCATGTGAGAACATTCAGTAGACAGATTATTGGATTATATTTCAGATTAAGTATCATCTTACTTTATGCAGGTTTCATCAGGTTGATAGTGATGAGCTGACTATTGCTGTCAACTTTTGGTGGCAATCAAACATTATGTCTAACATGCCTGAACATATGGATTCATATTACCTGCGGCGAATTACAAGAAGGTCCATTTGAATTATTATTAGGAATATCTTTTTGCGCTAGCATTTTTGTTTTGTTGCCTAACTTCTGTTTTTTTTTCCTTGCATGTGCTTGCATCTTGTGTTATATAATAAGATTGATAGACAGAGAAATGGTGTGTAAGTTATTCTGTCTCATCATTAAAGATTGTTGGAAGTTTTGAATCTTATGATATCTTTCTTACTCATCCTGATTTTAAGTTAAAAATGTTGGTTCGTCTACTCACCTTTGCTTGCATTTACCAAATTTACTACCCTCTATTTACCCATGTGACATGGATATTGACAGAGCCTGTTAGTTTTGAAGCCTTCTTCAGCTGATTTGAAGCTACCGTCTGAGCATATTGACCAATCTCACAGTGGTCAGGCAGGTAATAAGACCCTAATGGTGAAAATCCTGAGAAAACCTTCAATTGCTTGTCTCACTTGGCCTGTGATGAAATCATTACAGAAGATGGGAATGAGAACTCAAGCAATGAAAGCATTGAGAAAGGCATCAGCACATCACGTGAAAAAACGCTGCTGCATGATCTTGATCCTTCTGCTTGCCAGGCACTTCATGAGCTTATTTCCTTAGTCCATGACCACGTTAATGCTGTTGATACAAGTAGGGGACTGCAGCACACTTCACCCAGCTGTTCAGACCCAGCTTCGGAGAGCGACAATAGCAAGATCCTGGTGAATCGTTTAGAAGATGATTCCGTTGCGCATGTGCTTTGTAATCTTGAAGCATCTAAACTTCGGGAGGTTCTCCTAGCAATGGCAGTAAGTTCAATAAGTGCTTCGAGCGCACTTTATCATTTTGGTCAAATTGGAGAACGTTTTTAGTTTTACATGGAGTTTTAGAGGGAAATCCTTTGGATTTTACGTGCTCATATCATGTAACTCATTTCAGCGTTACTTCCCAAGAACCTTAGAAGCATTAATACTCCACATGCTCTCACCTGTTGCTGCGGAAGTCCTAACACAGAAGTTTGATGAGATTGACCAACAGACTGGTGAAGAAGATAGGTTTGTTCTGAAGCATTGTTGTTGTTTTTATCTCCATACTTTGAAACTGGAGGAAAAAACTTAATATATTGTCTTTTTTTTTTTCCCTTTACAATTCTTAGGAACCAATTCTATCGGGAATTTTATGGTGCGTTCGATGATGAATCAGCTGCAATGGATATAATTTTAAGTAAGAAAGAGGCCTTTGCATTTCAGGTATGTTCTCTAACATCACTTTGTCGAGTGTGATCCAACATAAAAATCAAAAGGAGAAAAATGTTGCCTCTAACATATGATGTCTTGGTGAGAGCATTGATATAACCAGTCGCAGAGAACTTTCCCTGACTAGTTGATGCAGAAAAGACTGCCATGGACAGAAAAATATATATAATTTTTGTTGATACAGGTCTTTAAGAATGTACTAGACAAGTATTTGGGGGTCAACATTGCTTCACCAACAACAAACATATGAAGCGTGCGTCTCTCGGGAGTGTGGTCATGTGTTCTGGCCTGATGAATGTGATCCGACTATTGCTATCATCAATATGGAATAGGAATATAAAATTTGTTGCTGTTGATATTTGAAGGTCGTGCTCAGGTCATTCTCATTGGCTTTTCTTCTGCCAACAATTAGGATTCCTAGTTTTTGTATCGTCTTCTCCTTAAATAGGTGAATTCTGTGGAAATGGAGTCTTTATTGCTAAGTGAGGTTGATGATCTACACATTAGGAGACCTAAAAAGCAACCTTCGTGTTTTATGAGAATCTAAGTCTCTTTCTGCTCAAAAGGAGAAGTGTCAATTTCTATAAAGCGATATATGAAGAATTCCAAACTTGTTATTCAAATTGAAACTCAATGAAAAAGCTAAGGAGAAAATTAGTATGAGCTAGAAGCCTAGATATACGCAAAGCACAATGAATCGATTTTATTGACCCGGGCAATTTATTTTACCTGTTTATTGCTAATTCTTTTTTTTTTTAATTTACCATATTTTATATCTTAAACAAAGTAAAACCATGATATAAAAAATAATGGAAATTTTCTTTTAAAAGACTTTGAGATAAATATAAGTTAAAGGGGTAACTTGCGCTCTACTTCTTCGCTATTATCCCTCTCCCTACCGACCTCTAGCGGTTTAGCGGGTCAACAAAAACCCTTGGCAAGTCAAACTTCACCTTCCAAAAAAATCGGCGCGTCATTATTGCTTGGTCTCTAATTAAGTTCTTTCTGGTACGTGAAAGTTGTTTAATGTTGCCTCGTCTCCTGCAATTGCTTACGTCAATTATTATTTTTTTCTCGCAAGGATTGCAACGGATTAGACAATATATCTCCTCGAGTCCGTTGTATGATGATTCGAACATAGAAATAATTTAAAGGATGTGTGCTACATCACAGTGTGCTTCTCTTACGTTTTAGGTTGAGTTGGGTTTGCACAGTTTTAACTTTTGATATTTTCTTCACAAGGAAGAATCTTTTGTAATGGCTTGTTTTCGGATTATTTATGCCTCTGATCAAAACTTTGAAGACCCGTAAGAGATGGTTTTGGAGTTTTGTCTCGGTCTAAGCTTCTGCTTTTGTCGTACTTGGCATTCCACTTCTTTTTGGATTATGTTTGGTTTGATGGTTGATATATGTGTGTATTTTGCAGATTTATCTAGTGAAAAAAGATGGATCTATCTGAAAAAGAAATCAGTAAACTTTTCAGAGTCCACAAGACAGTGAACCAGATGCTAAAAGACCGTGGGTATATTGTCATGGATTCTGAAATTGAGATGACCAAAGAACAGTTTCTTGAAAAATATGGCGGGGACATGGCAAGAGAGGATCTTGATACTCTCAAGATTAAGAGGGACGATGATTCTGATAAGGTTTGTTCAAATTTCTTTTTATGTTTACGATTAAGAAAACATTTGTGAAACTGTTATTTGCTTCTAGTGTTTGACTCTGGAGATATTTTTTTAAGCAGAGACCTCACTATTGTTCTAATCGTACATATGCTACATGATTCTGGAGCTTAATTATTAAGATATGATTTTGATACACATTGTACTAACTTTGAGTTTGGGATATCACAAAGCTAAACTTGCCCGGCACTTTCTCTTCATTTACTGAAGGAACAATTTTACAATAAAAATATATTGAAGAAAAATATGGATATGTGTTTTCTATTTTGTGCATTTTCATTCTTCTAATGCTCTAGCTCTTCCTTGTGGCAGATCTTTGTCTTTTTTATGGAAGAAACAGATGGTGCAAAGCTTGGAATCAAGGACATTAAACCTTTCATTGAGCGCATGCAATCCGAGAATGTCTTTAAGGCAATTTTGGTAGTGCAGAAGCACTTGACACGCCACGCTCTAGATGCCCTAGACCTCCAATCAAAACTTCACTTGCAAGTTTTTCAGGTTTGTTTTTGTTTTTTTTTTTTTTCCCTGCAACTATATATGAAAAGTCCACCATGTCATCCTCTGAGATCTTTTATAACTAGGATTCTAGCAACAATGTGATTTTTCTCTGAAAAACTCATGCTCTTGTGCAGGATACAGAGCTTCTAATGAACGTAAAAGGACACGTTTTTGTTCCCCATCATCAAGCTCTAACGACTGAGGAGAAGAAAGCTTTGCTGGAGAGATACACTATGAAAGAGAATCAGGTTAGTATCTTGGCACACTTAAAAAGCGCGATGAAACAAGTTTACTGTCGAGACCAAAAGCTTTTATGTTAGATCTTTGTTGGGCTGTTTTTCCTTATAGCTAATATGTTTGTTTACTCACCTGTGGTGGATTGTCAATAGCTTCCTCGTATTCAGTATACGGACCCAATCGCGAAATACTATGGGCTAAGACGTGGACAAGTCGTGAAGATCATACGCCCGAGTGAAACATCCGGTCGTTATGTCACATACCGCTATGTTGTATGACCCTTAGAGCTTCTGATGTGGTCGGGTCATGGAGTTATTAACGGATAAAGATTTAGGTAGAGTTTAAAATTAGGAGTGAATGTTTCAGTTTTTGTGGGGAAATAAGAAACTTTCTCTGTTTATCTCAATCAACATATCGATTATGTTATATAGTACTTTATCCTGTTGATTTCGAGGTTGAAGTAAAACGAACAGACTATGCTCTTTTCTACTGCAAAGAAGAGTGGACATTACACATTTCCTTGAGTCTGGAGTAAACGGTTTTGTTTCTGTACAATATTACAAAAAATGTAGAAACTGAGATCAAATGTCTGGAGCAAGTGCGGCTGTATTGGAATTTGAATGTCTCGCAACGAATGATGCGATAAGTGGGTTCACCATTTCCGGCTTCTCGTCCTGCAAATTTTACAGAAACATAAGAATAAGAAGGAAGACAAAGGTTACTTGTTGTATTTCCATCTTGTGAGGGAGGTGTAAAGAGAGAGAGACCTGAGGACAGTGACCGGCTTCAGGAAGAACAACGAACTCTTCAACCGCATCAAATTTGCTATACGCTCGTCCAAGCTCAATTGGCTCCCATGGATCTTTCTCTCCCCATGCGATTAGAACCGGACACTGTGGTTTAGAGACATGGCCATGGTGAACTTAGACTAAGGTTTAGTTCTTAAGAGTTTTAACTATGGCTAAGGAGGAGGAAGACCAGAGTAAACGAACCTTGACCTGTGGGAGTAAATCCTCTGGAAGCGGTCCACCAGAGTAACAGATGAATTCGAGGAAGACATCAACTGCACCAGGCTCAAGCCCTGGCCGTAGAATTGCCTCTACTAGTTCATCCGTCACTTGCGAACTATCATGGTAACACTACATTGCAAGATTCACAATAAAACATACAAACAAACTTTTTCCTTAAGAAGCATTCTTGTTTTTTGTTCATATGCAACCAATGGAGTATCAATACCTGACAAAGAATGCTTTTTACTGTCTCGGGTTTAGCAATGGTTTTGAAAAATAGTTTTCCAACCGGAGTATTCCTGAGACCGACATGATAATATTCAGCTGCAACACCACAGAGGATCCTAGATAAAAGTAAACGAAGAGCGCATAGTCACACAATACCTAAGTAAATTCTGGAATGATTTGATGAAAGGTCTTCCAATCAATGGTTGTTTCTTGATATGAAGCATACGGAGCGATATGTTTAAAAGCATAAGCCCTCTGCATATCTCTGGCTTACTTACTGCTGCCTGAAGACCAACAAGTCCTAATGAACACACCAAATCACTCTGTCATTAACTGAACACCATGGGCCAAAAAAAACTTAAAATCCGAAAGCGGTTGGAAATTTTGAGAGCTAACCTCCGATAGAGTTGCATATAAAAAAGGCTTCATCTTTGACAACATCCAGACAGAAATCATTGAGTTGCTCACCCCATGTCTCAAAAGTGTAGAATGGTTTACCTCCAAACTCACGAGGATTCGGTTTATCGGAGTATCCATATCCGATGAGATCGATTGAGTACACTCTATGTGATTTCCCAAGTATAGGTGTGTTCTTCCTCCAATGGTCACTGCTAAACAGAACATAAACATATTGAGTAAAATGTAACTGTTTTGAAACAATTGGGTTCTCAATCAGAAACTTCATTTGATACCTATTAGCAAATTATGGTTCTTGGTTATTGGAAAGCTAAATGGCAATTGAGTTTGACCTGTTAGCACCGAAACCATGAACCAAGACCAAAGCAGGGCCGCTGATTCCAGCACACTGATATCTTATCGAATATCCTTTCCAGTTCCATGTCCTTCAAAACAGTAAACAAAAACCCACATTTCGTTACTATATAGATTTAATCAGAACCCAGAAAAGATCAGTCTTTAGATAAACAGGAAGATGACTTACAAGGTTCGAACTTGAAGCTCTTCAGGATAACCATTTTCCCCGACCGGCCGATCTTTGAAGGTAGAAGCTTCGTCGGTGATCGAAGAGCATGAGACGGACCCAGTTTCCCTCGGAGCCGAAGATCTTACGATGCCTGTAGAAATCGATTGTCGGAGAAAATGGGTTTCCGGGAAACTGATAATCGAAGTGTTCTTGGCACGGACTCTCCGATGAAATAACAGCGACGGTATTTCGAAGTTCGTGAGAGGTAGAGCTGCAAAAATGCTGGTATTCGCCATGAATTTTCGGCGTGGTTTCGTGCTGAATGTGAATGAGGACAATAAATCTTTGGCTCAAAAAACATTTTGGAGTCGTTACGAGGCCAAGTGTTCTGCTTTGGACCAACCGTATTTTTCCTTTAAGTCATGTTCTGTTCTTTGCTATTCAGTCTACCGAAGGGCCCGGAAGGGTTTAAGCCACCAAGGCGGCCGGTTTAGTAGAAGAGAGAGCGTAAGAGATGATGACGACAAAGTTTCTGAGCACAAGAAGGGTATAGTTTTTGCCCCTATATATCATCATCATAAACAGTACATGCCAAGAATAGACACATATACACACTGCTCAATGACTATATTATATGAAATCAAACTACAAAAAAAAAATTAAGGTCCTAAAACTGAGATGCGAATTGACAACGGAAATGCTGTGGTGTGACAGCCTTCTTCAGCCAATTATCTCTGAGTTTGAGTCATCGGAAGGCCATATCACGGTCTCCATCAGGCGTTCACGCATCAATGCCAAGTTCTCATCCGATATGTCTTGGTATATCTTCCCATGGTCGCATTTCTACACGCAACAAACCATACAAACATTACTTTTGAGTCTTTTCTGGTGTTCCCATGGCCGGAAAGGGGAAACACATAAATGAAACGGGAGCGACATTGATAGGGGCGATTTTACCTTGATCCACTTGCCATACAAGTGGAGACGCGTGATCATCACTCTTTCTGCAAGCTCCTGACTCTCCTACACAAGTAGTTGTGACAAGATAACAAAAGATTCAATGTCTGTGTTAATTATGCTCAGAGTTAAACACACAAAAGTCCTCTTCTTTCTCTCGCCGTGTTGATATCTTACATACCAAGGTCTAAACAAGGTTGAATCAAACATAGTATATCATCACCGCACAGAGTGTAACTGATAGATCTATAGAAATGCTTATTCTTATTCCTATTCACAAAACCAGAGAAAACACTCAACCCAATCTGCCGAGACATGTCTTATAAAATTGAACTCACACTAACTGCTCTCTACTCAAGTCACCACAGCAACAATCTGCTACATTTATCCTAGGTTCTGTATAGTAGAATGATAGCCAAAGTTTGAGCAGCTGAAGTTCTTTAACTAGCTAGACCCAAAACGTCTTGGCTGATCAGATGATATATAAACTAAACTTTCTTACCTTGCCGAGGGAGCGAAGGAAACGTTTGCCATCGGTTGGTCTGTTGGACACGATGTGACTGTTATAAAACAAAGGAGAAATCATAAGTCCAGAGGCCAAAACTGATCGAGTAAGGGTTTATGTTAATATAATCCTATAGAAAGCTTATCAGATGAGTGACTTAGATCATAAACCCATATCATGGAGAGGCAAGAAGAAACTTACTTATAGAACCAAGTGTATTGGGGAGGATTCATTTCGTAGAGCTGATGAAGAACCGTCCTCACAGCTTTGTATGTGAAATAATTAACAATTTGCTGCAAAATCGAAAAGTGAGAGCCATAAGCTTGCCATGCCAAAATCTTCCTCTCCAAAACAATTTCATTCAAAAGTTCACCTTTTGGACATCTCCGAAAGGTATCGTCATAATTCCCAGCAACGTCCTCGTTCACAATCAAGAGCTTTTTTTTGCTCTTCGATCGCAATCCGTGGGACGCGGCTTCGAAGAAAGCCTAAAAACAATGCCTGAATCAATAAAGGAGCTTCCTAGTTGCAGCTTTCTTGGACTGCCAAGGATCTTCTTCTTGCTCGGAGATCTCCTCGTGTGAGCATCCAGACACAAACATGGACCGCTCGGCGAATCCATCACCGATGAGCCAACAACAAACAAAGCACCCACCATTACTCCAAACAAAAAAAGATCAAGACTTTTTTTTACCCCGATGATTGGGGAGAGCAATTCCAGAAAATCAACAAACAGTTGGGGGATCGATGGTAAGAATCAGAGCAGAAAAGAATGAAAGATAAATAAAAAACAAAACCGGTTTTGTAATACAAAACAGAAAACACGAATTGGGTCTGTAAGATGGAAAATGGCCGTTGAATACTAGCCAGTCAAAATCAGAGCAAGTCTGATATTTTATTTTATTTTCCTAAAAGGCAAGCAAAGGCAAAGACAAACAAGAAAAGCAACCGGGTGGGCTTTCGGGTTTACGTGGACACTCCGCAAACAAGGTTGTATTTATTGTCGTCTTGTAACTTAAAATTCCAGAAAATGAATGAGGAACAAAACTAAAGTAATGGACAACTCGCTTATCACATGGTCATCTTAAACGAAGAGATCCAAAAAAAAAAACGCTTCTTGGCTCTGTGAAAAGTCTGTGACCCGAACATGTTCTTAGTACATGGTCTGTGAAAAGTCAAACAGATCGATTTCTCAATCAGATCACTGTCTCTACTGAATAAATTATCGGCTCATGAACGGATCTTCAACTCGTTATGCCATACATGATACAAGTACTACTACTGTGGAACTTTAACGGCCACAGTCTACCGTGGTGGTAAGGAACGAACTCGGTGACAGTCACTTAATCATATATATAAAACATTTTCGTGGAAGCCAGTTTTAACAAGACTTACAGAGTGGAAATATTCTGACATTTCATTACCAAGACTTATAAAGACTTGTCTAAGGATTGTGCGTATTTGTACAATTTTGACTGAAACTCAACTCCATCGTTGCGTTGTCGCAGACGTGACTATTGAGAGTACTTACTCGGTGATTAGCATCTCCGCTTCATCCATCATTCCACGAAGCTGTCGTTTTACAGAAAAAACAAAAAAAAAACTTCTGTTAGTGCAGGAATCACCAGTTTGAAAAGGATCTAAAGGCAATAGCTATTCCAGAAACCAGAGAAAGTCCATAAAAGATAGGAAAACATCTTGTTCGAGGCTTGTAAGTAGCATTCTAAGAAACAGCATTTCACACTTATCAGCTACACAATAAAGTATCAATACAAACTAGAAGAACGAAAGAGAACCAAATAGCGATACAAGAATGCTATTTTCAGCTTCAACGATGTATTTCTTACGACCCCCAGACACAGCAATGAATATACTGTTTTCTTTGTCTCAAATCTTAAATAGATGATTTTCAAAACCGGCTGAAAGATTGAACACAGTAACTCAGAGATTCGAGAATCTAATCAGTATCTCACACAGTCACACAAATCCTTTTCCAAAACATCCTATAGAACAATAAAACCCAGAAAAATAAAAATAAAAACTTCATTCACATCAATCAAAATTACAGGAAGCTAATTTGAGCTGGCATCTAAAATGTAGAAACCCAGACTTCAGTTGATTCGTTATTACCAACAAGTCAGGAAATACAAGTAAGAATCTCGATCATCGAAGTCAGCCATGAGAAAAGATATTCATCGATTCAGAACTCCGAATTTCAGAAAGTTCACACCTTTGAGGTCAAATTCAAAACCCAGAAACGCAAGATCTTATACCTGGAGCAAACTCTTCCAGGAATCTCCACAAGAGCCAGAGACACCATTGTCGCCGCATGAATGTACAGTCTTGAACTGGTCAATATCGAGCTTCTTGTTGATAAACCCAACCTTGAAGTAGATGGAATCGGTAGGAGGGAGATCGACCTTGATCTCATCGACATCGAACCAAATGAAGAGTCGCTTCACCTGAATACCCTTGAGATCGGTGATCGAGCCGTAACCGATGCGACCGGATATGGTTTCGTCGTAGTGAACGAGGTAGTCAAATTCAATGTCGCAGGACTTGGCCAAGTAGACCACGAATCGGCCATCGTCGGAGAGGGTGAAATTGGTGACGGAGTCCGGCAAGAGGCCGCTTGGGAGGCCGTACTTGGGGAGGATTTCGTAAACGGTGGAAATCGAATCCGGGTCGGGTTCGAAGAGTGAGAGGGTCGTCGTAGAAAGGAGGGTTAGAGAGAAGAGGATTGAGTAAGAGAAACGATGAAAGGCCATAACTTTGTTGGAGGATTAGACAAGGAGAGATTTCAGAAGATTGATGGATCCTCTTGTTGATCGGTGTAGTTGGGATGAATTTGGCTCTCTAATTTTTTTATAACTTTTTTTTTCTTGAGACTAGAGAATTGTAGACGTAATTGCCGGGAGAATTCTCAATGGCCCAATCCATCAAAATTCAACTGACTCAAGTCACCTACCTAAATCATTTCTTTCCATAAATCAATTATGTTTGTTTGGCAACTACAGATAAGAATATTTTGCGAAATTTTTTGAAAACTGTTGAACGTTTCGAATATTTTTTATATTGCACGAAAAAGCTTTACACTTATTCAGTCACCTCTCTAAAATATTTTTAACGCAATAAATATTTGGACCTTTTTTTAATATATTTTTTTCAGCTTTACACATATTTTTTTTTTAATTTAAATCTCTATATATATATAATTTAAAGAGTTTCCATACATCCGCACGAACGGAGAGCCAAAAAATATTAGAACAGTAGCAGATATGAGCAGCAAAACAATAGAAAAGATCAGAGGCCATAAGCTATGAGAGAGGAATCGGTTGGACTGAAGCCGTGACACGTGAGAGCTCATCACTGGAATAACGAGAACCAAGTGGATAGATATGAAGGAGCCTCAGGGTCGATCCTTTGGGCGCGAGAAAGAGAGTCAAGACGAGCTCGTAGTTGCTATTGAATCTCAACGCATATAGAAGAGGCAGGGCGAGAGCTGGCAGAATGAAGCCTAGGGTTTCTTTCCTTCCAAATCGCGTACACAGAGGCTTGGAAGCAGAGACGAAGAATAGTGGAGACTATCTCATCTGGAAGTGGACGCTTTAACCAAACAAGAATGTCGTTGTATAAAACGGGTGGAGAGACGCCAATATAGCTGCAAAAGAAGAGCCATACTTGAGAGGAGAAACCATACTTGAGAGAAGAGCTCTACACATTTAATTTGAAAGTATGTAAGATATCAATTTTGGTATATATTACTAGAATCCTTTCGTGTATATCATAAGGAGATATTTTTCGATCATCTAACATCTTTATCAGCTCAAAGAACCTTATAAAAACAGTCTTTTAAGCCGACTCAAAAGCTTCAGAAGGTGCAATGGATTATTTTCCAAGGAAAAAATGCTCCCTCTTTTCTCTTCTCTCGTAGGTGTTCTAAATGTATGCACATTGCACCATGTCTAAAAAAAAAAATATTATTAATAAACATCACTAATTTGGCCTTAATTCTATTTCTTGGTACATTTTAGGTTCTCCCTGAGGTTCATTGTGGGGTATGTGGGTTTGTGTTGTTATTAATCGAATGGGCTACAAAGGATCCAAAAAAATAGAATGGGCTATTGTATAAAACAATTGGGCCTTCTTGCCTCCTTTTAATTTAATGCAAAAAAATTAAGCGCTTCAAACCCGAAAAGCCTAATCTTTTTCAGGAGAGGCCATTGGCAATGGCAATGGTATAACACCAACACATATCTCAGAGACAATGTTGACGGAGATTCTAGCGAGGTTACCTTTGAGAAGCATCTCGAGATTCAAATCGGTGTGCAAGACATGGAAATCGACACTCGAATCTGCGTATTTCCGCCGTCTCTTTGTGTCTGTGCACCAAAAGTCCTCTTCCTCGTGGTCGATTATGGGCGGAGCAGACGAACTCATAGGGTTCCATGGATGCGAGACATTGGGTATGCCAAAATCTCCAGCTTCTTTCATCCCAACTTCTTTTAAACGCTATTATTCTTGTGATTTCGACTATGCGGATTCTTCCAGTGGATTGGTTTTGATTAGAGACGGCTTTGATAAAAATGCTCATTGCTATGTGGGCAATCCAGTGTTACAACAGTGGGTCAAAATCCCTCCTCCACCTCCTTGAGGTGATTCTACTGTGTTTAGTTTGGTGACTCGCGTTGACGTTGATGGTGTCGTCTCGAGCTTCAAAGTGTTTAGGTTAGCTTCATTAGAAGTGACGAATGATTATCTCTCGTGTGCTTTGAGTTCGTTTCTGTATTCCTCTGAGACAGGGATCTGGACTTGCAAGATAATTCACTGTCCTTACCAGATCAGCAACCTCTCTAATATTAATCTGAATGGTACGATCTACTTCTCTTGTCTGAGTGAACCTGGAGTACTCGTAGCTCATGATTTCTACTCTGAGTCCGATCAATTTCGGGTTGTGCAATTCCCGGATCATTCGAGTCACAACAAGGACTTCAAAACAGCCTTGACTACATCCGGAGGTTTTGTCATCTATGTCAGAGCATTAGCTCAAAAGGAAGAAACTTTTTTCAAGGCTTGGAGGTTGAACAATGATCATCATGAATCTTGGCAACTTCTGTGGGATATACGCCTCCCGATTATCGGTAATTATGCGCCCTTGGCGATTCATCCATTTGATAACGCTATTGCCTATCTATGGTGTCAGCAGGATCATCATTGGGTATCATGTAACTTGCGGACACAAAACTGTACAATCATCTCTTGTAATGATGATCATCAAGATTGTTTCATTGACCAGTCTGTTTGTGAAAAGCGTGTGGATGAGATATGGAATCCAAGATCTTCAAGTTTGGACGATACAGTTTCAATCTGGTTCTACCAGTTCGTGCTTCCACGGTGGATGGAATCTGTGCCTTGTCCTCCCCAAGCTGAGATGATGGATACAACTTCACTACTTTCTTACACTTCTTCAACGAGGAAGACAAGGAAGAGGCAATGATCATCTTTGGATTCAGTGATATCAGCATGGTTTTCTTCTTCTTTGTGTTTAAGATATTTATTATTTTAAGTCGGATTTTTCATGTTATCGGATTTTTAATAGTTTTTATAGCAAGTTGTAGAATTGCGTTTTCTTTGTAGAAATCCAATTTTTAATTCGAGAAAGAATCATGTAGCGGTGGATTATCATTTTATTTATGATCTGGTTAAAAAATGGTTGTTCTTTGAGTTATCATGTCGTCTCTACGAGTCAGTTAGCAAATAAACTCACAAAGCCTTTTTCTCGGCCGTGGTTTGTTTTCCTCTGACGAGATTAGTTTTAAGTCCAGTCCATGCATCTATTTCTGAAGGTGCGTATTATGATATCAATCTTTTATATTGTTAAAATTCTCTCTAACTTCTTCGATTCTCTGGCTTCTTATATATATATTTTTGTATCATATTTACACATAAATACACAATATGTCTATTCACATGATCAAGCTCTCTGAATAGGAATAAGGCAACATCGTGAGAAATTGGTTAGTTTCTGGCAGTCGTGATTTCTCAAGCTAGTAACTTAACTCTCTTTTGTGACTCAGCATCATGAACTTCAACCATGGTCATCATGATCTCGATGTCTTTGGAGTCCTTTGTTCGAAGCTCACAATATTCAATTTTCTCACCGTAGATCCTTTGCAAAAGTATATAAAACCACATCGAAGAGATGGTCACACCCACAAGAAACCAGCTGAATAAGATATTAACCAATGATATTGCTCTATGAAGAGCTTTGACGCTTGAGCATCTAATGGTATGTTTACCCTCTTCAGTGTGAAGAAAACAATCCTTGGGAACCAAACTTGGCGTCCAAAGCATGCAAGCCATTGACATAAGCCATATTCCTTGGAAGGAAATACTTAGTGACCGAACAAAACTCACCAAGAAGCTGCTGGGCAAGGAGATTCCCAAGAGTGTTGTGACCAAAGAGACAAAAACTACGAGTTGAAGCAACAAGTGGTAGTGGCCCTCAACGCCCGTGTGGTCTGACGAGTGGAAATGGAAGAGGAATAGTTGTTGGGCAAAGGCGAGGGCCGCGATCAAGTTGAGGAGGTCCCTATGAGCCATTGGTCTTATTTTGTCAAAGATGATGGCGAAGGCTGCATAGGTGATGAAGGTGAGGGAGATGCAAGAGTGTTCAAAGTTATGGAGATGGTTTGATGGGATGGTTCCGTCACTGGGATCAAATGGTTGGTGATTCTTTTGGCCAAGGAAAAGTTCCACAGAAATGGAAAGTGAGGAGCCTATAATGATCAAGAGAGGCTCAAAATATCTTGGTTTGGAAAGGGGAAACCAAGTACATGATATGTATGTTTTTGGGTGTAGAGAAAATAGTTTGATGTGGTTAAAGAGGTGCCACAGACCAAGTGCAAAGAAGAAAAAGCCCGGTAAGATGTGACCCACTAATGTTCCCATGTTGAAGCTTTGAAGGTTGAGATTATGGATGGTGTCTATATATATATAATTTGGGGATGATGAATATTAATGAATGGAAGATGACGATAGCAGTTGAATGAGCAAAGAGCCAAAGATCTTCTTGATTTTGCTTCAAGAATGATGATGCTTTGTGTGTAATCATGTATCATGTATGTGTAAGGCAAGTGAAAAGACACGATGAGATTATAATAGTTTGTGTAAAATCGTTCTCAAGTAACTTGTAAGTATAGTTGGCTTACGATCTTACGTGTATATATGTTGTTTACGTTAGCATGTATCCGCCCTTTCCAATTTGTGCTTAGGCGATATGGGCCTCTTGTTTCAAGTAGACTCCAATTGGGCTTTTCTAAAAAAAATTAGGAACCCATTTCGTTGCAGAAGTGAAAGCCACATTTTCTTTTTTCTGAGTGATAACTTTTTTTTGTATAATGAGTATTTCGGTATTTGTGACCGCATGTTCAAAATATCTACTACCGTCAGTATAAGAAAGTTTTTTTTTTTTTTTTTTTTGAGAAAGTTCACACCAAATTAATCGAGTTTGCAATTAAAAAGATGAAAGAATGGTCCCGCTTCATTAAAATACTGAAGTTAGCGGATTTATTTTCAGAATACTTTATTTCTTTTGTTAATAATGCTTTTCAGAATACTTGTTAGATCAAATCTGTAAAAGCTGTAATTTCAGAATACTGGATTAAATCGATTACGTCAAATATACAGCCAGATAATATATATAGAACCATCTCAAAAGTATTGGGAGACCATGTGTAGTACTTTTCAAAAAAAGATATTTTTATTTTGACAGCGCGAAAGTTTGAGGTGATTTGTTTGTTGGAGTCTAACGAAAAAAAAGAAGAAGAAAGGTGATGATCTAAATAATTTTTATATCTTTTATTAATTTCAGATAATTCTTCTCCAATTCAAATAGAATCATAGCTGAAGAATAAAGATGCGATCCATCAAGTTTAGAGCACAAAGCACATATCAACCTACCTTCTAATTTTTGATAAATATGCTTTTAAATATATGAATAATGACGAGGGCCCTTTAATTATATACAGTAGCTTTAATTTTCTATAAATTTAAAAGAAATAACTAGAAGTTTCAAATGCAGAACCATAGGTACCACACAAAAGAAAAGGAAAAACATACATAACCATAGGTCCATATCCACGTGGTCTCGACCGACCACTTCAAAACCCGAAAAGCCCTGAAATATTTTAATATAATAAGCTAAAACAAATAACCCATTCAAAGCAAATAGCTTCTCTCCAAAGATATACTTCTTTAAATACACACACTCACACTCATACAGAGACATCTAGCTTTCACTTTAACTTCTTGAAATCTAGGCCTCTATCAAAACCAGAGAAGATCAAGAATTATAAGAAGAAGAACACATGGCGAGATCACCATACTACGGCTCATCGTACTTAGACTACCTCTCTTTCCCAAACCCACATCTATGTTTCTTCTTCATCGTCGTCTTCTTTGTCTTGTCCCTCACATGGTACTTGAACTACGAGTCCATCCTCGAAGACACCATAAGTCATCTCAAACTCGTCTTCATGTTCTCCCCTCTCTTCCTCCTCCTTCTACTCCACTTCTTCTCCGGCGGCCTCTCCTTCGACGTCCCCTGGCCGGGTCAGGACTCCATCCACAGTGCCGGGTCTTCCCCTTGGGGCGTAGCCGCTTTGCTCGTGGTCATCTTGCTCATGGTCTGGTACCAGTCAGATTTCCAGGAGAGGTGGTTCCCCTTTGGGGCTAAATAGATTGATCAACCTAATTTTCCCTTAAAACTTATAGCTTCTCTAGCTAGATATGTAATTAATAGCTATATAGTACCCGAATGTTACGGTGATACCAGATAGTATGTATTTTCTTAAGATGAAAATTTGGTGTGTCATGTGACCTTTTTCATTAATATATTATATATGTGTAGGATAGGAGCGAAACTTTTGCCGAAGATTTTAATCAGAGAGTATATATATATGTAGATGAAGTTGTCTCTGCGTGTATCTGGTTGTGTATGAGTATGTATTTTGAAGTAATTAAGTTTGATGGATGAATGGAGGAGCTAAAAGCCTAAACGAATACTGTGAAATAGAATACAAAATAGTGCCTAATGTGTGTATGTTGACTTAGACAACTAGTGGTAGTAGTGGTTCTTCTTGTCATCTTTCGTCAAGTGGGGGTTGTTATTGTCTATGTAACATTTTCCGGGATTTTCACTTTTTTTTGTAGGTTAATTAAGAAATTGCAACAATACTACCAAATTTTTATCTTTTATTTTCAAGTTTGTTTGTGAGAAAAAGACACCGACATATTTTACTTTCATTCCCAATTTCCCACCACTCCTTTATAAAGTTAGAGGGCGATTCTAGAGTATGATAAATACTCCGGATTGAAAGTGACATTTCCCCACTATAATTGTGTCAAATTTTCAAGTCGGTCTTCCTAATTAAGTGATAGAGTTAGAAACTAGATGATTCATCCGTTTGTGTGAGATTATATTAATTTTAATAGTTTGGAGGATAAAATAAGCGATACATAAACCAAACTCCAAAAGAGTCATACAATTATATACTATTTTTTTTATTGGTCATGTTCTTTCACTGTCTTATCAAATAATCATCCGAGAGCCAACACAAGTCGGAGAGTTAAGCTACCCTATAATTTCTGTTCAGTTTGGAAAATTTGCCCAACCTTATATAATATTATATGATTTACAATTACAAATATCATTGGCAAGCTTAGCTTATTAGTAAAACAAAATCAAAAGAAGGAAAACAGTTGTGGAAAAGCACAAACTGATACCACTTATTTCATGTATAACAAGAAGTAAAATTTGATCACTTGAACATGAAATTATGCAAAACGTACGTATTAATTAACCCGTCTGCAGTCTCTACGAATCTCTCCTTCAGATCCTGTGAGAGTCCTTGCATTTCCCATTTTGATCATTGATTTAGCAAAAGCTCTAAAGAACTTACGTTGGCTCTTTGCAAAACGATTCACCAAAGACACAGTAGGCGCTCCTGTCGAAGAGAACAAGATTTGATCTGTTTCAATGACTCCGCGGTTGTTTTGAAGGTTCTTGAAATAGTCGTTGTCGAATGAGTCAGGACTCGTATGATCAATATTGACCCTCGTGGTGAGATTTCCACCTTGCGGGCATTGTCGTCGCAACGTTTGCAATAATTCCGGTTCAATACTCGGGTCGGACTGTCCATTGTTACCACTAAAGTTGTGTAGACGATTGTTCATCACTATACACTGAACTCTCCCGAAGGTATGAGCACCTGTACATGTATTATGATTCATAATCCGTTTAGATATGTTGTAGCAAAGTACTAGATATATTGAGGGCCCCTTGGTATAAAGTTTTATGATACTTCTTCAAGATGACCAATGAATTTTTTTTTTATAAGAAACCGAAAAAAAAAAGAGTTAAGATGCGAAAGATTATTACCGGATAAAGCCACGAGATCGGTAGTGTCAAGATTAAGTGCGGAGAATTTAGAAGAGAGAACATCGAGAGAGTCAAATGCTAGTGGAAGAGCAGCCGCCGCATCCGCACGGCTCGCCGTCCGACCATCTCTCCTTCCTAACAATACGTCCCATGATGGCCCTCCCGCCTAAATGATATAATTATTCAATTAATTATATCACAATGTTTCGTAGACTAAAACAAATCAGTATATGAGATCATGACATAGAAATTTAGTGGTTTGTACGTAGTAGTGTTATTATTTTTTCATTAAACATGCACGATGCATGTTGCTGATATAAAATATATAAAAAAAGGGATCTGAAAAGCACTAAAATTTCAAGAATCATCTTACTAACCAATGAGACAGAGATTTCAGCTGCGATAGCGAGAATATCGGCACAAGAGACAACTCCAGGACAAACGTTCTCGATGGCGGTTTTGATATCATCGATCACTTCGAATCCGTCAAGAGAACCAGCGTTTTGGAAAGCTCCCTTTTCACTCTCCACTCCACCCGCAGGAGATGCATCCAATAGAACCGAACCATCACACCCCTGTGTGTTCACACACTTTGAGGTCAATGTTTTCTTGACAAAATTAAATTCTATGCCACCTATACGTTTCTTATTTAATGATTAGATAAGAACCAAAAAGGCATGCATATTTTTAAAAAAGGTTTTAAAAGACCGTTAGTATCTAAAATTCTCAGTATGAGACCAAGGTTATTGACGGAATATATAGTCGAATGCTAGTTGTGATCACATGCAGATTAAAACGACAGGTTTCATTCATTGTTAACCAAAAATAAAAATCATAAACATATACGTATCTATTTATATATATGCTAATGAATAGAAGTAGATCGATCTTACGTTCACGAAACAGTCGTGAAAGTGAAGACGGGTGACTTTGGCAGTAAGTCTGACGTCGACACGGCTAGCTCGCTGGATTACACCCCGAGCGATGACTGTGACGTTAGGGCACGTCTTGGAGTAAAACTGAGAGCTAAGTTGAGCATTACTCAAAACTCCATACATCAAAATGGAGAGCAAAAGTGAGGATACAGTATTGCTTAGACACATTTTTGGTCGTTCTCCGTTGATAAAACTAGCGATAGAAAGAGTATCTAAGCTTAGAAGATATTGTGGGTTACGTTGATGCTAAAAAGAACAACCTTCGTAACCTTTTATAGAGAGCTTGGAAGAAAATTCTACATGTTCTAGGAAAATTACAAACATTTCAATGAGGTATATAGACTATTTTAATTTTCATTTGTAAGACACAAAAAAAAACAAAAACAAAATGCAGTGCGTATTACATAAATCCATTCCAGGCATTAAATAAACACTACATTTAAAATGTAGTATATATTTATTCATCTACAGTGAGTACTGGATAAAAATGTCATAACAATGTACGTTGAACTGAAGCTGTCAACGAAAAGAAGACAATGTACGTGATGAAAGAAGATAACTACAGATGACTATAAACAGACAAAAAATCAGTAACGGCATGTTGAAAAGTAGTTAGCCAGAACAATTTGACTTGAAGTTAACTAGGTATATCTCGTAATAATTGACGAGTTAAAATACATGTGTTTTGACCTAGTTTGTAACATAATTTTCTTTTTCTTTATTTTTTTTAAGAAATCAATGAATTAAATTCAGAAAGACAACAATAATGCTATAAGAATACCTCAGTCAATCATCGAGGAAATATACATAAGAGAGCAGATTGAATGAATCGGTCATATGAATCATGCCTCATAGAAATGATATTTCTCCGTGAGATCCGCGATGCCATTGAATCGGTCTAATGAAACATAAGATGGGAGTTGAATCCTCATTGGTATTTTTGGTAGTGTGATAAAGAATATTAATGGATACAGACAAAAAAAGAAGAAGAAGATAATAACGAAAACATGTGATTTGAGATATGGCTGTGGAGAGGTGTCAATATTTACTTACTGGAAGCAATAAGTTCTGAAATATACTTGGCAAAGCTTTCTTACAGACCAAGAAAAGATAATGCAAAAAACTTTACAAAGTAGTAATAGTGTAGCTCATAATTTACTATTACAGGAAGTTTTTACATGTTTTTAGCTAAAATATATCAAATAATGCCTTGGAATATAATAAACTTTTGATTACTGTTCGTATATTGTATTGTGATTAGTAAAGATTTCAAATAAAAATACAGTACGTTATAGAATGGTTAATTAAGAATGGTTAATTAGTTGAAAGATTCATCATCTGGGGGACTAGGATTCAAATTTTTCAATACGATGTTATCTATAAATAGCTACTGTAAACACGTTATGTGGAAAAAAATACATAACTTTCACATGCCACATATGGATTTTTATGTAGATTTCGATTCAAATTTTTTGGTTTTAGAAAAAAAGCCTTAACGACCTTTAACAAGGTGAGTCCACTTAGACGCACATATTTGATATTTAATTTATCCCATGTATATACGGTTTGAGCCCTGCAGATAAATAATATATAACAATAATAATAATTTTTACTAAACGTGAAGGCCGGCCATGAGAATTAGTTATAAGGAATTATGGTTGAAGTATATATAGTTTGACAAAAAAAAAATTAAAAACAATATTTTATAGGGGTTAATAGTAAAACAAAATAATTAACAAATACGTGAAGCTAGATCTTCTCATATTATATATATATGATTTACAATTACAAATAAACAATGGCATGCGTAGCCTTAATATACAAAATCAAAAGAAGAAAAACGTTTGTGGAAAAGCACAACTTCCACTTATTTCGTCTATATATAACAAGAAGTAAAATTTGATCACTTGAACATGCAATAATGCAAAACGTGTTAATTGACCCGTCTGCAGTCTCTACGAATCTCTCCTTCAGTTCCTGTGAGAGTCCTTACATTTCCCATCTTGATCATAGATCTCGCAAAATTCCTAAAGAACTCACTTTGGTCCTCTGCAAAACGATTCACCAAAGACACAGTAGGCGCTCCTGTCGAAGAAAACAAGATTTGATCTGATTCAATGACTCCACGGTTGTTTTGAAGGTTCTTGAAATAGTCGTTGTCAAATGAGTCCGGACTCGTAGGATCAAGATTGACCCTCGCGGTGACACTTCCGCCTTGCGGGCATTGTCGTCGCAACGTTTGCAAAAATTCCGGTTCAATACTCGGGTCGGACTGTCCATTGTTACCACTAAAATTGTGTAGACGATTGGTTATCACTCCACACTGAACCCTCCCGAAGGTATGAGCACCTGTACATGTATTATTATTTATAATTCGTTAAAGATATATTGTAACAAAGTACTATTGAATTAAGATGCGAAAAGTACATTACCAGATAGAGCGACGAGATCGGTAGTGTCAAGATTATGTACGGAGAATTTAGAAGTGAGAACATCGAGAGAGTCAGGTCCTAGTGGAAGTGCAGCCACCGCATCCGCACGGTTCGCCGTCCGGCCATCTCTCCTTCCTAACAATACGTCCCATGACGGCCCTCCCGCCTAATTATATTTGATATAAATAATTAAATATTAACTTATGGTTATATTTAATTCTTTTTATAGATTTTTTTTTTAAAATAGAGTGTAAGAAAGTAGGACATGTAGCCTAGAGGTTAAATGTTGAGAATTATATGATTATTACCAGTGCGACAGAGATTTCAGCTGCGATAGCAAGGATATCGGCACAAGAGACAATTCCAGGGCAAACGTTCTCGAGGGCGGTTTTGATATCATCGATCACTTGGAATCCGTCAAGAGAATTAGCGTTTTGGAAAGCTTCCTTTTCACCCTCTACTCCATCCGCAGGAGCAGCGTCCAATAGTACCGAACCATCACACCCCTATGTTTTACACAATTTGACTACAAATGTTTTATGCATAATGTATTTTTAACGATAAACCTATTTACATTAATAAGATAAACCTAAGATTTTTTTCCTAGTCAGAGTCGATGCCTGTACTTTTCTAAGTCAATTATTAGAGAAGGTGAATTAAAAAAAGGCATATCTTACTTTGGGTTTTCGAATGACCGTTATTATCTTAATATGAAGGAATATGTAGTCAAATATAATAGAACCGTTAAGTTTGATCTAAAACCAAAATTTGGTGACTCCACTAAATAAACTCTTGTCCATCACCCTTTACAACGAGTGGGTTTTTTTATTTTTGGTCAATCAATGAGTATGAACTATTTATATCCATTAAAAAAAAAATCCGACCTAATTAAATATAAACTTTTACATGTAACATGTTCTGCTGGTTTGTTCAACATCAATCATGTGATATATCACATGCGGATTTAAACGATCGGTTTCGTTATTATATATGTTAATGAATAGAAATAGATCTTACGTTCACGAAGCAGTCGTGAAAGTGAAGACGCATGACTTTAGCAGTGAGTCTGACGTCGCCACGGCTAGCTTGCTCGATCAGACCCCGAGCGATGACTGTGACATTAGGACACGTCGTGGAGTAAAAATCAGAGCTAAGTTGAGCATTATTGCCCAAAAGCCCAAACATCAAAATCGAGAGAAAAAGCGAGGGAATAATATTGCTTAGACCCATTTTTGGTCTCTCTCCGTTTGTAACAAAACAGAGAGATAGAAATAAGCTTAGAGGATATTGTGGGTTGATACTAATTAAACGAAAGACTTTCATAGCCTTTATATAGAGAGCTTTTACCTAACTTTAGAAGAGAATTCTACATGTTCTAGGAAAATTACAAAACATTTCAGTGTGACATAGACTTTTACTTTTCTTTTGTAGAATCACAATAAATCATATTATAATAATTAGCTATAATTATTTACCTTTGTTTACATATATAACGATTTTGAACGGTCCCAACTCCTGAAGCGAACATGAGAAATGTGTGTTTATGTTTTTTCTCTAATCACAAGTTTTTTTTTGTTGGATAAGACTATAGATGATTTTTAAGAATTTAACTGTAAATGAAATTTTCCTATAAAAAAAACCGTTCAAGAATATAAAAAGACTAAAAGCAATTTATAGGTTTCAAGTATAAAATATTTATCGTATTACATCTTTTCTTTGAATCCAAACATCGAACTAACATAGTCATTTAATTTATTAACACACCTCTTTATTCTTATTCATGAATATGGATAAAATTGTCATATCAATTTTAAAAGGGGCAAAACTCTTTACGTCTGAGAGGAAATAACTACAGATGATTATAAAGGACATGTTGAAAAAAGTAGATAAACAAAAACAATTGACTTGCAAGAAATTAGGCTTATATCGTAATAATCGACGAGTTAAAATACATGTGTATATGACCTAGTATTGTTACATACAGTATTGGGAGTCTTTTCTTTTAGTTTTAAATCAATGAATTGACATCAGTGGGTGTCCAACGAGTACTTACATTTTTGGTGAATCAACGACTATGATTTTGTGAACTATTAATACCATTTAACCTAAAAAAACAATGCGGCCTAATCAAATCGAACAAGTCATATGTTTTGAGAACAAGTCATGTAACTGCACTTTAAAACCTTCACATGTGCTGAAATGTTACATAGAGAAATATCATGCAACTAGTCAATTAACTTTATCTGATAGTTTGCTATTAATTAAAATAACATGATATGTTAGAAATTTCAGTATTTTTTTAACTGTCGTTTTGTCAGTTAATTATTTACCTAAATAAAGAAAATTTCATTTACCTAAATCACTTTAACCTGCATATAGTAGATAGAATATCTGATTATATCAAAAATTTAAAGATTTAAGTTTAAAATGAATGTAGATATATGATTAAATCATATTTATAGTAAAACAATTCATGAAAGTTCAGTTATAAACAAAGCAACGTCAACACTAATTATTTTTTGTTAACCAACGTCAACACTAATTAATAATGATATTGCTGAAATTTCATCATGCTTACCATTCCTTTCCGCGTCTATATGAAAACACATACTTTAAGCCATCAAAATGGAGCCAGTTTTCTCAATATAACTGGAATGGGTCGTTTTCATCTGCGTAAAGATTTGATTCGTTGAATTCCACGAAAACTAGAACTCTAAAACTTTGCTTACCTTTTGTCTTCAAATAATAATTACCGGCCGATATGTATGATGCATGTGATAATGACATCATCTTATTCGTGAGAATTGTTGCAATTGTTTTGCCTTAATAGTTAAGAGAATACATACTTGTTATTTTGGTCTATATTGAAAAACGCCATTAAAATATTTAAAATTCGCTGTATCAAAGGTTATAGCAATCCATAGCTACTTGAATTTATACCAGCGGAAAGGTGGCTAATTTAAAAATAAATTCAAGAAACTCTCCTACGGCACTATTTTAAATTTTAAAAATAAAATGGTGGCTGTATTATTATGATTAAAGAATTTAGGATGTCTAAAATCCCATACGGTACCGGCCGATATGTATGATGCATGTGATAATGACATCATCTTATTCGTGAGAATTGTTGCAATTGTTTTGCCTTAATAGTTAAGAGAATACATACTTGTTATTTTGGTCTATATTGAAAAACGCCATTAAAATATTTAAAATTCGCTGTATCAAAGGTTATAGCAATCCATAGCTACTTGAATTTATACCAGCGGAAAGGTGGCTAATTTAAAAATAAATTCAAGAAACTCTCCTACGGCACTATTTTAAATTTTAAAAATAAAATGGTGGCTGTATTATTATGATTAAAGAATTTAGGATGTCTAAAATCCCATACGGCCCTATTCTCAAAATTTAAAATGTGTTATGGTGGCTGTATAATTATGATTATAGAATCACGTCGTCTGTAACATTATGTATAAAAACGAATAGACGTCGTGACCCAGTGACGAGTGTAAATGGATAAGTAATTAAATAACCGGAATAGGTCAAGAGTGAGGTGCGAGAGTTTTTAATAAACTAATTTTTTGGTTCTTGCATTTTAAGATTTGTATATCAAAGCAAAATCATGTGTTATGGTTTAATGATTTTGAAATTCTTAGAAAAACTTGGTTATTCATTTAGTGGCTTTTAAATACTCGTTACATTTCGGTGTTACTTGTTTAATATTTTTCCCATTGAATCATGTGATCTTCGTTTGATAATTTTTTAACACAGAATACTCAGTAATCTACATTAGATTGTGTGTTAATTAACTGTTAAGCGAATCGATTATGTGGATTAGGATTTAGGTGCTGTTCGTTTAAAGAATACTCAGTAAAATTCGGTGATATTCCATTACTAGTAATTAAAATACTCTTGTTTGATTTTAAAATCACCTAGAATTCCAAAGCATACCTCGATTCACAATAAACCCCATAAATTCTTATTATTGCACACGTGATCATTTTGATACACACGACGAGAATGATCAGCTCCCAAACACAAGCAGATAATTGAAAAACACACATACTAATTATTAATAACCCTGCAGTTTTTCCTAACCTCGCCACTAGATCCATTAACAAGATTCGTAATACCTCCCATTCTGATCATCGAACAAGTGAAGTCCCTGAAAAACAAGTACTGGCTCCGGCTATAAGCCTCCACAAGTCTTTTTGTTGTGTTCACGGCCAAGTCACTCGAGAACAAAATCTGATCAGAACTCAAAAGACCTTTCCCTTCGAGTAGGTTCTTGAAATAATTGTTGTCGAATGCGTCCGTTGAGTTCCTGTCAAGGGGAGCTGTTTGGTTCCCATTTCCTCCGACCGGGCAAACTGTTTGCAGATTGGACAAGAGTGTTGACTCAAGTGTTGCGTCCGGAGTTCCCGCGCCGGTAAAGTTGAACAGCCGGTTGCTGAAGACGTCACACTTTGCTTGTCCAAAGGTGTGAGCTCCTTTGTTACAAAAATGCGTATACATGCATAAGTATTAACTACTTAGAAGAAAAGATGGGCCAAAAATGATTGAAGAAATGAGTAAACCTGATAAAGCTACGACGTCGCTGACGTTAAGGCCTACAGCTACAAACTTGGCAATAATAGCGTCTAAAGGTTCAAAAGGAGATGGGAGATTGTTTGCACTGCTCTGATTTGCCACTAATCCATCTTTTCTTCCTAATGCCACTCTCCACTGAGGCCCTCCGCTCTGCAAATCAAATCCCGTTTTAGGCGACCAAAAAAATAAAATAAATAGAACACATATAATATGAGAGTATGCGCTTGAAATAAATTTATTTAAATTCTGATAGAGAAATGTATGAATTTCGGCCTAGAACACATCAGTTAACAAATAAATAAATAAATTATTTAAAGAAAACGATATTCACAGATATATGATCATAAATTCTATTATCATGTTAAAATGAAATAGCTAATCATTTTTATAAAGACAAACTTAAACGTGATGATTTTTTATTACTATGAATAATCACTACCTAAGTCATATTATAAATTGTTGTTTCTTGAAAGCTAAAACTCGTGTAATATGGAAACTAGTAAATATTAATCGCTAACACAACATTTTTTACTGATCCTCTGAAATCTAAGTAAATAGTAAGGTTGTTACTTGTTAAGTGGGAACAAAAAGGCTTACTAAGAAAACCGAGTCGCGAGCGGCTAAAGTGAGTATATCAGCGCAAGAAACAACACCAGGACATGCATTTTCCACAGCGTCTTTGATAGTATCAACTACTTCAAATCCTCTCGCAGAGTTCACGTTTGGGATAGCTAATTTCTCGCTATCGGTTCCATCCAACAATACAGACGCATCGCACCCCTGAAATTTCCATTCAACGAACGTTTTAATAAAATAATGACAAGTGTTTGGAACAATTGTAACAATAACTTGACGTAAAAAAGTATTTAACAGAAGAAAAAAAAGACGTTCCATACATTAACAAAGCAGTCATGGAAATGAAGACGAATGAGAGAAGCAGCCATCCGCATCTCGGCCTTCAGGGCGACCATAACTTGTTTACGGACAATTTGCATAAGATTCGGGCATGATTTAGCGTAAATGTCAGGGCTTAGCTGTGCCCTAACCCCTGAACAAAGCATACAGAGAGTGAAAACAGTTAGAATGACATGTCCTCCCATCACCTTGGTTTGTGTTTTCATTGTCTAAGATGGCTTGTTTAAATGCGTTACTAGAGTGATAAGTTAATAAGATGTCGAAGAACTGAGGTTCTATTTATAGAGAAAACTATAGATGGCAACGATATTTAGGGTTTAGTTGTGCTTCTGTTTGTGGACTATTAAGTGATCATTAATGCCTGGTGACGTATGGCGGCTTCGGAGGATTGATTTCTTGTGCTCAACAGGACGCATTAAGCTCCATATTATTATAATTCTTGTAAGATTAGGCACTAACATTCATTTAAATTCATAGAATCATAGATTCATGAATTTCTATCTTGTTTGTAGGTTGGCCGGTTCTATCTTACGTAATCCACTAAAGTTAGTGACTGTGTTTTCAAGCTAACATGTAGTCAACTTTGTTAAGAATAGTGCCGTATTTAAATGTATTTTGAGGACGCAAGTGGATTTTGTGTAAAACAACTCTCCCCACTCGTATTTACATGTATTTTGACCGATTTTTGAGGATGCATTTTTTTTTTGGGGAGTATATATTGGTTTGTGCGTATCATTCTTGGAATGTTTATGGACGCAATTCGGTTTACAAAACATGTAATCCGATGTTCACAAAATCATATAATGATCATTATTAATACACTTCTCTCAAAGTCAATATGACTTATCCAGGAACAATGTTTGTAAAAGGCGATATGAAAAAAAATCAATCTGATTTTATTAATGGCCACTTGAAGTACTTTCTGTAACTTGCATGGATTTTAAAATGATTTTTAGTTTACAAAGTGCATAGTCCAAATCGGTTCCACTTCGCGCTCTTAGCAATATCGGCATGCCAAATAAAAAACAGTATAATGTCATGCCACATACTTTATGCTTATTCTTAATTTTTTTTTTTTTTGCGCTTATTCTTAATTCTCATGCCAATATTGTAAACTTATGTAAATTCCACATCCGATCCCTCTAAAATATCTTGGGGGCGTGTTAGCATGTTTGTCCATCTGAATACGTAATATAAATGCAAACATTCATATGGTGTTTTTTGGGGTCAAATAAGCATTTGATGGTAGTCACTAGTCAGTAGTCAGGATGCAAATAAATGCGCAGCCAAACTGCATTTAAATGGGGGACAGGTATTGAGGTATAACATATAAGAAAACTCCAACTTACATGAATTGGTTTTATAAAAAAAAACCTTAACTATTTCACCAAGCGCCAAGAGAACACACCATTGTGAAGTAATCCCAACTGTAGTGATTAAATTACACATTAGAACCCATTTGGACCAAGTAATAACAGAGAAGCCCAACCAGTTGGAGAAGATGAATCGCATCAGATGAGGGTTGAAGATTCGACGATCGAAAGCTCAGTGAAAAGAAAACCACTAACTGCATGATTGATGGTGGTGAACAAGTTTGGAATCAACTTTTTACTTTACATTCAATCTAGAAACTCAGTCTTATGAAATAAAACTCACCATATAACACTCTTTGAAGCGTATATTTCTGTGTAAAGTTTTGAATAAAATTGGCCACGTTATGATTCCTTTTTTAAAGCAAGTCTGATTACTAGCACAAAGAAATGAGTTACATCTTACACCAATAGTTGTCTAGTTACAATACACATCGGAAAACTGATAGTATTTTTGTTTGATTATAAACGGCATTTTATACAATTGACATTTAATATTTAACGACTTAATCTATTATTCAAGTGAAAAAGAAAAGTCAAAAGGTCTCTTCTATAGCAAAAATAGGTGTTCGGTTGGTATTATGGACATTAAATAGCTTATCACGTCGACAAAAAAAAAATAGCTTATCACACGGACCCATATGGGCCCAACTTGGTTGGCGTCACTGTTTTCTCAGACACAAACCCAATAAGAGAGACAAGAGAGAGGAAAAAAGTAAAACAAATCTTGATCATAGTTCTATGGACAACAGTCATTCTGCCTGCAATTCGGCCGGAAGCAACTCAGAGGTTCTCTTCAAGCTCAGCTCTCTGCAACTGTCTCAAACCAAGACACATATATATTCTGTTTGTGCTAAGTAAAAAAAAGTGTGAAACATTCAATCAATGCATCAAGAGAAGAAACTTCAAACTCTAACATGCATTAAACATCAAACTCTATCATCCATACGTTCTTTCACAACAATGAACCTTGCTTTTACTACAATCGGCTGTGCATATAAAAAGACTTACATTATTAAAAGGGAAAATGGTAATGCATCAACTTTGCATCACCACTTCTCCCATCACCGGTAATGATCATGGGTTCCCGTGCTTTTGAATCCGCTTCCCTCCTTTGTCCAAGTATATCATATGGCTGTTCCTTGTTCCCTAGCCAAATCATTCTCCGATGCATCTTCAAGCTTCTCAATTGCCATTTCATCTTCCTTACTCTGACTGGCTTCCTCGCATTGTTCACCTGAAACTTCCCTACAATCCTCTTCAGCTTTTTCCTTACCTTCAGGTCTATGTTCCCCAGAACTTCCCACACCAACTGTATCTTTGTTCTCTTTAGCTTCATCCACGTTGCTCTTGTTCTCGTTGACTTCTTTAGTTTCATCCTTCCCTCCAACATCCTGCATACAAATGTCTTCTGCAGCTACATGGTTCTCCTTCGTGTCACCACTAGTACGTGCATCGGATCCCCCTGTATCATCGCCATCACTTTCAGACTCATTCTCCACAACCTCCTCATTAGCATCTTCAGCAACCATATTCCGCCTCTCGAGATACTGTAACCTTCTCCTCAAGTCACCTAACTCCCTCTCCATCAAGAACAGCCTTTCCTTCAAGGTTAAGTTCTCTTCCTCCAGTTGAGCAATATGGCTATCCTGATCATCCACTCTGTTTTCCAAAACATTGTTATACTCAGAACCACCGTAATTCGGATATATCATCTCAAACCGGCTCAAATCATGGTCTAGCCTCCTCTCAACCTCAACATGCTCCTCCACATCACTCTCACTCGACCCTCCTTCGTCGTCATCATCCTCATCATAAGGTTCCAACTCATGCCCATCAGATCGCAGCCTAATCAGCCCTTTCATGGAGCCATAGCCATCCACTCCCCATTCTTCCTTCGCCATATCACCCAACACCTCTCTGGACGGAGAAAACATCGGAGTTGGCAGCACCGCTGGTGTCACAGGGCATGGAGAAACCAGCTCAGCAATTCCACCGGATTTCTTTGCCCGGATAATAAACGAAGTCGTGTTCCTCGGAGCATAAGGAACGTATCTGTTACCATACTTCTTCTTCGGGTAAAACTTCCTGGTTTTTAACCTGTTCTGAGACTGCAGCTCGTTCAACGCCGGTGGCTTGTAACCACCTGCACCACCAGGACCGACCTGAATAGCTCCAGAGCCAGGTATTTGCTGCGGGTTATACATCGGAATACCAGAGTTGTGCATCCTCCTGTTAGGCTCCATCATTGGCCTCTTGTCGTTTGTAATCTTCTTTCCTTTCCAATTGTTCCTGACCATTTTCGAATGCTTCGATCCAAAGTTATTAGGCTGGTTCTGATACTCGGAGCTCAAGCTAGGGTTCAGGTTAAAGTTCCGGGGATTCATCATCATAGGCTGGTTGTTCATCATAACCTGTTGCTGCTGGTTCATACCGCCCATAATCGGATGGTTTAAGCCTTGAGATTGGCCTAATAGCGGAGTCTGGTTCATAAGCCGAGTCTGAACCGGGTTCATTACCTTCGACGGCGGCGGCGGATTCATCCTCTGCGGCGGCGGAGGCTGGCCTATCATCTGCGGTGGAGGTGGCGGATTCATCAGCTTAGATTGGTCGTTCATCTAACAATACACACTAACGGAAATGGAATCGAATTAAAAAGGGAAGAAACAAATAAAACCCTAATTTAGCAAATTCAGGGATCTCAGATGAAAAGTCGAAGCGAATCAGCAGATGGATCAATGAACGAGAGATCAATCTGAGTGCTTAGGAGTGGAATCCCCAAAAACTACAAACCACAGATCAAAGGAAAAAAAAAACAGACAGATCAATCAAACAAAGCCAACAAAATAAACTCTCGGATTGGGTTTTATAGGTCGATTTCGTATTCAGATTTTGTTTGTTCAATTTGAATTTGGGAGTTGAGAAACTTGTAATTGGATCTGGGAACTTTTTTGGCAGCAGATAAATTCTTGAGAGAAAAAAAAAAATTAAAGGCAAAGAAAACCTCTTTGTACGAACGGCTTATGAGATGATATAAGATTTGTTTAAATAGAGGCGAAGAAAAGCTGCTGGCTCAGATCAACGACGGAGATGCGACACGTTAAACCAATGGCTAAGATTATTTAATTTCATATGGTAGAGTCGGTTACGGATTTCTTTGACATTACAATATTATTAGTTAGAAAAATGTAAATTTTGGGAGAAAAAAAAAAAGAGATTCAACTTATTTTTATGGTAAATAAATTCAACTCTAATTAAACGTGGTAAAATTTTTGTCAAGATGTTATGGTATCAAATCCGTTTGTAGTCCATTTTCTCTTCTTCATTTCTCTTGCTCCTCTCTATCCTTAGTTTATGCTATTTCTATGCCTATTATGGTAAATCACGGTCTATATACGAGCTATTGGCGATATTAATAAAGTACAGAAAACATTTCTTAAAGAAATACAGAACATTGTCAGACAACCTTGTGTGTGTTTTCTGATAGAACAATGCCTAGAAAGTAGAAACACTTCCCTGTTTGATATAAAAGAATCTGAAGATCGGGTGAGATTTTTGTCAAAGGAAGATCAGGTCGTGAGATGTCAAATGAATGTCTGTCTTCTCTGCTACCAATACCATCACCCACGCAAAAGAATCTGACGAGAGAGTTAACGAGTGTAGTGAAGAATGTAGTCAAATAAAACATACTTTTCTGATGAAAACAACAAAAAAAAGAAGTGCCTGACTTAGAAATTCTTCCTATTAAGAAAAAAAATTTAAAACCCACGCTTGACTCGGTGCGCTACTCCCTGCTTTGACGAGAGAAGCATGGACCAAAATCTTCAACCGTCAGGTACGTTAAATAGAAAAGTCACACTTTAGTCTACTAAAATTCTCTTTTATCAATTCCATGGAATCATTTTTTGTAACTGTTGTCAAATATAATTAAGTAAAAAAAAATTGTTGTCAAATTACACGTTATGAGTCATTCCGCACGAATGTAGTACCAACAGGTGCAACATGGAAACCCCACTCCTCATGTTTACCGACAAAAGCAATCTCTGCCAAGGACGAATGTTTGACAAGTCCAATAAGCTTCTCAAAAAGAAGAAGAAAATGAAAAACTGTTGTCATAAAGCCCAAAAGCTTCTCGTCTTCTACTTTATGATTCATCTAACTGATCCGTCAACAAAGATGAGTAGATCTTCCGCTTCAGGGCAATAACTGCTTATGGAACCTTCCTGATATTATATGACCCACATATTAGAATGTTACTTATTTCTCTTATGAACATTTGCAATCATCTTCAACAAAACAACAACAAAAAAAGTCAGGACGAAGAAAGGAGCACATACTTTCTCTTCCTACGATCGATTCCAGCAGAAGCCATATTCCTCGGTTCATTCTTAGAAAGCATATTATTGTACTGCATTGGAGAAAGGGAAGGAGAGAGAGCAACAGATACAGATGGCGCAGGTGGCAGAGTAGCTGAAGGTGCAGCTGGTGGTTGTGGAGCTATAGGCTCTGGAAGAGGCCGAGGTAGAATGTGCTTCAGCCTGTTGTTTCTGTAGTTCTTCCAATAGTAAAACTGCTGTCTATGTGCCAATTCCTGAAAAAAGCCCGAATTCAACAGAAGATAGGGTTTCAAAACTTTAGAAAGCAAATTTCCTATCATACATTCTGACAAGGTCTGGGATTATACAACCAAACTGGCAGACTGTAAGTACGGTTTGTACTAGAGACCCAAAAGCCCCCAAACCGATTCCATAGATACCTTAAACATTTGAAGCACTTCCTATTTATACTGCTCACTAACATGCTGGTGTGACATACTGTATTTTGTTAATGATTCTTTATCACATTCGTTTACCTTGTTTGCAGGATGGGCCATAGCACTCCTGAAATTGGGGTTCTGAAGAAGTTCGAGGAAATATAGGCAGTGTGGGTACCTGTAACAGATAATAGATACAAAAACATAAGAAAACCGATAAAACAAGCAGAGCCATAAGGTATTTTATCTCAAAACCTTCTAAGACGAGCACAATTCCATCAGATATTCTAACTCACATTATGAACTTGATGTACTCTGGTCGCTGCCAGTATTGAAGATACTTCAAGTAGCCAATAAATGCTTCATCTTCAAAATACCGATTCTGTGCCAGGTCTGCGAAAGAGAAATCAAAGGCGAAGTGCAATTTTTATTTATTTATTTAAAAATCATGTAAAGGAGGGAGAGGTGGCAAGTACATCATGGAATATACAAAAACACAGGATCTCTTATCATTTTCTAATAACTAGGAGTTACGTCTTCATGCAGCTTTTAGAATCATCTTATTGGTATTGGTGTGCTATGAGTAGATACACTCTAATGTTTTGAAAACTGTTTAAGGGAAAAAGAAGAATCTCATTCTTAAGTGAGTGAGAAGACCAAAAAGGGATTTTTCTGCATTGGCACATTGCGGATTCAGAGTTACCTAGAACACATCACACAATTTCACGGAAGGACTCTAGGAAGAAAACTTTCTTATCCAATTAAGCACTTACGATTTCACTTAAGTAATCAAAGAATGTCCATGGAAGAAACAACTTACATATAAACCCTTGTACCACGAATTCCGAACATTTACCAAATAGAAATTTTGCTGGATCTGCATATTGCAGAATTAGAGGTACCATCACACTAATTCCATGGAAGAACTCTAGGAACATAGCTTTCTTATCCAATCAAGCACTTGGGATCTCATATAAGTACTCAAAGAATATCCATGGAAGAAAACTGCTTACATATAAACCCTTGAATCTCAACTGAGGAAACTATATGAAATTCCGAACACTTAAAAAGCGCAAACACTAAGCCCTACAACGAATCCTAAACACTAGAAGAGGGGAAAAAAAACTAGAGAAACTTACAGTGGATGTAAGTAGGATTGGCGAGACACTGAATGAATTCAAGTTCCAGTAAGAATCGTTGCCTTCCACCATCGGGATCCTTGTAAGTGTTTTTTGTCCTGTCTCAATCACAAAGATGCGAATAAACGCTAAGAAGGAGATCTGAAGTATATGAAAGTGCAGAAGAGGAAGTAAACACCCACGGGGATGGAATTTCTGATGTATCATCAATCTCTTCTGGCGAAGCCATGGACGAAAGGAACCTGGATCAACCAATTGACGACTTCATGACGCAAATGCGAAAAGGCAGAATCGTATTTTGGATTCTCAAATTTCCAGAATTAGAAAACAACAAAAATGTTAGGCTTCGCACACCTTAGAGATATGCGAATAGGCGAGGGCGAGCCAAACGGCGACGGGCTACGAGACTCAAGTCACCAGTAGACAACAGACGGAGACGGAGAATTATGGGCTCTTGATTACAATTTTGATTATAAACTGGTTCTGATTACAATTTTGATTATAAACTGGTTCTGATTACAATTTCTGGTGAATAGTGACCCCCAAAAAAAAACAATTACAAAAAGGACTTGTTACTCATAAATTTTGGTTATTAGAATAATCACTATTGGAATGCGTTAAAAAAAATTGGCTAAAATTTTGGTTAAAATTGCAGTATTGCAATTTCTGGTTAAAGTTTTTTTTTTTTGGACGCATTGCAGTAGTTCTAATAAATAATGACAAAATTTTGGTTCTAATACTGCAGTTGAACCCAAAATATTATAGTTCTTATAAATTATAAAAAAAATTGGTTAAAGATTGGTTAATCTAATAAATTTTGGTTATTAGAATAATCACTATTGCAAAGCGTTAAAAAAAAAAGAATGAATTAATCACTATAGCAACTGAAATGGATTTAGCAACGCATATATACTTTTCGACTGGCATGTTGTAAAATTTTTTTTTTTTTTTAAAAGCCAAGTTTTTGTGACAAGTTGCAAGATTCAGGAGGTTTGATGATGTAGGGTTTATAAGTTTTCACCATAGCTTGTGAATCCCAATTTCTAAATCAGATGAGATGGAGACAAGTAGCTGACGAGAAGAGTGCCACTCAGCTTTGAACACTCTTTTCTTATGAGCTTTGATGGAGACAGACGGGCTCGGTGCATTGTAGCGGATATCAAAGATGTGGATCACAGGATCTGCAGAACCCGATGAGATGTGCAAACCATCTGGAGACCAAGACTGGTTTATTAGAGCAGACTGCGATTCACTGCTTTCTTGCTTCCACCCAAATGAAAATAGTTCCGTCTGAGGCAATCTAACATCATACAGCCGAAGTTGCCGGTCAAGCTGCCTGCAAAACACATCACACATGCAAAGCAATGATTTCTTTTGAGGCCATGTCTTTGGGGGATATGTAAATCAAGAATTTGCATTTCTTTTTTTTACCTTGTGTGAACCATGACAAGATTAACATCACGCGGGTTTGGCAGCAAACTTGTGCATCTGTTGTCTAGTCTATGCTTAAACGTGGCTTTTTCTTCTCGGGCATCAAACCCAACAAATCTCCTATCGTCTCCGCATGACAAGACGAGATTGTTATGGCGCATTCCAGCAACTCCCATCACAGCTGAAGAGTGCAAATCCTTATGCAGAAGCGTTGACTTCCACGTATTAGCACTCTCACATTGTTCACGCCATAACACTACTGCATGGTCACACCCACCTGTGATGAAACAAGGATCATCCCAAGGCGTAAACATGATTCTGTTGATAAGACCTTTGCTGTGTGGCCTGTCCTTCAGAAATTTTGACTCACAACTCTGCAGATGAACAAAGATAGAAACAGTATAACCATCAAGTTAGATCTTATAATAGATAGATAGGTCAAGGGTCGAATCATTTTCCAGCTTATTTATTTACCTCTCGAGCTTCGTTCAGATATAAGGCTGATATCTGAGGGTGACCATCATCTGCAGTATACACGGAGAAAAGTGCACTCTTATGTGGATGCCAAGCCATGTCTTCTGCCCATCTCTTCTGATCTACTTCTACCCGATTAACTGTCTTAAACAGAGTAGCTGTGAACCTGCTCAATTGTGGAAGAATGATAAGTTAGTATCCAATGTACTATAGATTAAAATTTCATGGAAATAAGAATCAGAAAACGATTCGGGTTCATGAGACCCAAAATTTGCTAGAAGCGAACATTTGTCAAACTACATTTTCTAGGATCTTATACAACATATATTGCAGTTTGTTGACAAATATAAGCAAAACTACACCTCGCCGACTTATCCCGTGGACGGATGAAGATTATGTCAACTGGAAATCCTAATTAATTAAAACGATACATTTTAATTTTGAAGTCAATGAAATTATATAATCCATAACCCCTCCTAAAATATTTCCAATGATAAACCATTAATTAACTAAACCTCAAGAAATCAGAAAGAAATATCATAATCAATAGACCAGGCATATTTACGGCAGACTTACCTATCGGAGTGAAGCTTCCAAAAATGAACCACCGAATCCAATGCACTGAAGAATAACCAAACCAAAACGAAGAGAGAAAAAGAAAAAGATTAAGCACAGGAGTAGAGAGTATATAAGATTAGCTAACTTTGTATAATGTCTTCCGTGGTGCTCTCCTATACATATATACCATTTTCCTAGTACAGAATCCAGACAAAGCCACAATCTACAGTAGTGAGATGAATTCTAACCACGAGACTGGCCGTAGTTACATTAGCTAGTGTCTTTTCGTTCACTTTTATAAAGAAACAACCAATAAAATAACGTAAAAGGCACCTTGTAGCAAATAGCTCACGGTTTGAAGGAGACAGAGCAAGACATCTCATTCTTTTCGTGTGGCCACTTGGTAGCATAGCTACAGTACGACTTTCAATTGTGGCACGCAAAGAGCTTCTACCTATAAGCGCTATCAACTCATCATGTCCTTGGAATTCTGATACGAGAGCAAAATAAAAAAGGATTCAGACGCAATGAGAAGCTAAGATATGGCAAATCGACCAAAAGAGCGGTTTTTTACCAGATTTTTTCTGTTGTGCTTGTCCAGAAATGTTAGAAGAAACTCTGATCCTTGGCTGTGCGAAATCCTTCTTAGCGTGGTTATCTCGAGCTTGAGGTTGAGTTTGGTTATCTCGAGCTTGAGGTTGAGTTTGGTTATCTCGGGCTTGGGTTTCCCTTACCACTTCATTAGGAATAGTACGAGATCTCTTGGGTTCAGGACCACTTTTATCTTCGTTTGGGATGTTATAATCCCTTGTAGCCATGGGTTGAGCTTGGATGGTCTCACTCACTTCTGGTCTGACAGAAGCAGAAGCTCTTCGCTTGAAAGAAGGCGGTAAAATAATGGATGGCATTTTCAAGGATTTCTTCTCAGTAGGTGGATGTGGCGTAGAGGTCTCAGATTCCTTCTCCCTACGTGTGTGTGGAGAAGAGGCTTCATTGGCAGTTTTCACCTTATTTCCCTCGGTCCAGAACTCTGCTATGCCGAGTAAACTATCAGTTTTACCAGGCACCTTTGATTTTTTCTTAGAAATGGAAAAGGTATCGTTTTCAACACGATCAATTCGTACGAACATGGCCTCCGCATCTGCCATCAGTTTTCTCTCCTCAGCAAGCTGCAAATGTTTTGGAAGTTTTTAGGACAAGAACAATATAGACCAACAACAGAAGCACAACAGCAAGAAAATGATTGTATTATATAGGGTGAATCGAATGCGTAAATACTCAATAATTATGTTAAAACTGAACTCTAATTGAAACATTAATAGCAAATTAGAAATGGGAAAATCATAGGAGCAGTAAATCAACCGAATCCTTAAACAAATGCAAATCCCCAATTCAACAGTACTGATGCACATTCTAGAATAAGCAGCACCGAATCCGAAATTCGCTGAGGCGAAAAGAAGAAGAAGAATACATGGCCGAATCAGACACACAGGGAAAAAGAAAGATATGAAAGGAAAGAAGAAAGAAGAGACCTTTCTCTCGAAGTTTGAAATCTGGTCTTCAAGGCGTTTAATAGACTTGGCACGCCGGTCCATGAACTCTAATAGAGCTTCTCTATCTTCTGGGATTTGAGTTGAGAACGTATTAGCTTCTGCGTCTGCTTCTGCTTCCCCTTGTTCGATTTTCGGTTTCTTCATCGCCATTGGAGTCTCGTCTTCCTCCTCCCTTTTTTTCGCGCCCGATCGTGAGAAGTGGGGAGTGATTTTCCCTCTCGTCGTTTCAATTTCGGTAATCACTTGAACCCACTACTAGCGGTTTTGCCACTTTGACATACTAGGGCTTATGTAGTCGCCAAAATCTTGAAGTGAGTCCCATTTTGCCACCCAAAAAAAATAAACTTTCATTATTACGAGTCCTATATTTAGAGTAATAATTATCTTGTAGTTTATTTAAGTTTAGAAGTCGTTGACGGACGGTTAACACAGTGATACATCCGTTAAACAAGATAGAAAAAAAATAAAATACAACACTCATTTAAAACAGCTAGAAAATATGAAATTGTTTTAAGATTATTCTGAAGGAAAAGAAATGGATGTTGAACACAGTGATGACTGTGGATTGTGATTGTCGCGTATAGCATACATGTAGTACTGAACGTAAAGGAGACTAATGTTTCAAATTAAAAGACTCATCTCAGCATACAACAAAATTAACTTCTACGAAATCAAATTGAAAAAAAATGGCTTCAAAAGATGGAAACAGTCGGTACAGAAAACAGGTGAGATTAGCTTCACCATTCAGAAAATGTACACAGAAGCAACGGAAGTCAAAAACGATGTCAAGAGTATGGAGACAAAGTTCACACCATTGTTGTCAAGAATGTCCACACCTGAAATCTTCTTTACGGTTGGTCCCGGTTTCCCTACAACCTGCACGCAACATTCGGTCAGATACTCCTCCTTCCATCCACGTATTACATGTCTTCTTTTAAAACTTTACCTTGTTCCGGACAGAACAGAAACCACTGAATTGGATGGTTGCTCCTAGCACAGAATCAATAAGACTCCCACATAATCCAGCTAATGCAGAGACTGGAATGACTAAGAGTTGCTTGAGAGCTACATCACTTGCACATCTTGCAGTAAAGAGTCCGAACACAAGGAATGTTACTCCAACAGTGGCGCCGGCTGCCACAGCAGCTAAGAGTCCTGCCTTTGTAACTCCACCATTTGTGCCCTTCTTCACCGGCTGAGAGTGAGACTAAACACGTTTAGCTAAACAGGAAATATTAATTAGCGGATTACAAAAGGTTCTTGCTCAGAAGAAGCTTCCAGCTTTCGCGTTGTGAAACAGAAAAAAAACAAGAACCTTTAGCGTAGTGATAAGTCGAGGTTGGGCATCACTAAGCACCCCAAGCTCCGACGACCAAGTGTCTCCATTAGAGCACGCGTAATGACCGATGATCCCACCAATAAGAGCTGTTACAATTGTGGACTCTTTGGTGTCCAAGCACTTGTCCTGCCAACCCGTTAATGTACAAGCAATCACAGCTAAAACAGATGCAATTCCACCATTGCAAAGCACTTGTACCCTGAAACAAGATATTTCAGGAATACCCTGTCAAAGCAAATTTTTGTTGGTCAAATATATGTGAACTTCTGAAGGTGAAATCATCAGATGCCAATGGAAAATTAGTAAGAGTTATTGGTTGGCCTAAAAGAAACAATCTCGTCACTGAAGTTATATATATCAACATCAACATTAATTAATCAAGTGATCATAATTATCGATCCTTGTAACCACATATACCCACCAAGAAGAAAGACTATGATGTATCAAGGAAAAGGAAGGATCTTTGTTTACAAAACTATGCTAAAGTCTAGAGGCTGTTTGTTCCAGCAATAAGATGTTGAAAGTAAGACGATATGCTATTCTTTATATAGTCTCATAGCTTTAGAGTTCATACCCTTTCCTTGATCGAAGATATATCTTCCGAAACGACTTCAGGAAAGTTCAAGATTCATCAACAAAAACAAATATATCTTTAACCCAAAGTTCATACAGATAAAGAACCAAAAAGCTCACTTTCACTAAAGAGTGAGCTTGAAAAATGATAGACAAACTTATCAATGACCATTTATATCTAAAAACTCACAAGCTAACTGGACTTTAAAAACCAGACTCTACCAGGAAAATTCTCCCAGAAATGGAAGATCTTATGAAAAAAAAAATCCAGAGACTAAAGTATTTTTGAAGAGTGCAAAAACTCACACTTTCTAAAAATCGGATCCTACAAAATTGAAGAAAGAAAGACGCATAATCTTTTGACTTAAAAAACTGCTAATAAGAAAATTTACCAGTTTCTTTGTCCACCTTCCTTAAACTCAACATCAACGCGTCGTTTTTTCTCTTCGCCAACCTTGGTAAGCTTCGAGGAAGTAAGAAAGAATACGAGCAGCAGAGCTCCGTACCTTTCAGATTTCACAGATTGAGCCGATCAAACCCGTCGGAAAACAGTAGTATCCATTTCTTAATGAACAAACAAGGGAATGTCATAACAGAAAATCATAAGAAAAATAAAATACCAAGAGCGGGAGAATAAACCTGAAACCGGCGGTGAAGTGGATAGTCATAACGAGGAATCCAGCAACTCCACCGGAGAGGTCGAGCGACTTCCGCTTATACGATCGGAAGGCGATGAGAGAAGAAATCAATACGGCGAAGAGAAGCCTGAACTGCGGCGACGTTTCCATTTTCCAGTGACGGAGGAATCTCTGTTGATGAGGAAGCTCAAAGATTCAGTTGGTTTGGTTGCTCAGCGACGGGAGAGAGCAGTTGACCCCACCTTGTCATTACTCATCACTGATTGGTTAAAACCGGAACACATATGGGTCTAAACTGGGCTGGGCCGATAGGTCAGTTAACATTTTAACTTTTTGGCAAAACACTTTCTTTATTAAACCCGACCAATGTCGTGGGGTAAATGTCGCTTAATGTACTTCTTTGTTTTTGACTTTTACCAACTGTAACAAAATTGAGCTAACGCGGGAGACATATCTTCCTACGTGGCAGGAGGGAATCCAATATGGGCCCCTGTTCCGATTTCTATTCTGACGTGGCACCACCCAGATCACGAGAAACCGTATTTCTCTCCCCGCCTTGGTTAATTGTATTACCTGGTTCTCTCTCTCTCTAGAGCAACAATGGCTGCGGCTGCTTCGTCCCTGACTATCGCGTCGTCGTTCTCCGAACCAAGGACTCAGATCCATTCCTCGAAGCGCTCGAACCTCCCTCTTCAATATTCCATCCCGTACAAGGCCGATTCTCGGAGCAGGAGTAGAAGATTGGGACTCGTCGTCAGTTCCGTTTCAGCGCCCAAAGTTGAGCTCCGTACTGGACCCGATGATCTCATTTCCTCCCTCCTCTCTAAGGTCCGTATCTCTCCTCTCTCCAGAAACTAGCTTTTCTTCCACCGGGTGTTGAGTTAATCGGAAACCTTACGCCGATCTGATTCAGAATTCGACTATTAAGTCGAAGAACTGATCTGATTTGATTTGGCGCGTTTATTTGAATCCTCGTATAAGATTTGATCTCGCATAGCAAAATACAGAAGAGTTTTGATGATTATGGGGTGGGAACAGGTTGCGAACAGCGATGGAGGTGTGACACTGAGCCCGGAGCAACACAAGGAAGTGGCACAAGTAGCTGGAGAGCTTCAAAAGTATTGTGTAAACGAGCCTGTTAAATGCCCTCTCATTTTCGGAGGTAAGAACCTGCGATTGCTTCTTGCCTTCTTCTTCCTTCTATTAAAACGTAAACTCCTGAATTATCTGGTGCAGATTGGGATGTGGTGTACTGTTCTAGACCGACCTCTCCTGGTGGAGGCTACAGGAGCGTGATAGGCCGACTCTTCTTCAGAACGAAAGAGATGATCCAAGGCATTGATTCTCCTGATATCGTTAGGAACAGAGTTTCCTTCACTGCTTTGGGTTTTCTTGACGGAGATGTCTCCTTGACAGGTGAATTTGCCAGACCCCGTATACATAGCAAACCCTAATACAAATGATCTATTTTCCGCGTTTAATATTCCACCTTGCGTGTGATCTTCTTAGGGAAGCTGAAAGCGTTGGACAGTGAGTGGATTCAGGTGATATTCGAGCCTCCGGAACTCAAGGTCGGATCTTTGGAGTTTAAATACGGGTTCGAAAGCGAAGTGAAGCTTCGGATCACATACATTGACGAGAAACTTAGGTTGGGGTTAGGCTCTAGAGGATCATTGTTCGTCTTTAGAAGGCGTCAATAATACATTTTATACTTCGGTGTCCATTTTGTTTTTCCTCTTGCATCAACCAATGCAATTCACTACAGAAATGAAGAAACATATGGGCACCAACGAGAGTGTGTAAGGGTCCTAAACCACAAAGCTACATGAAATGGTGTTTTAGATGGAATTGTGTTGTACTGTAAAAACTTCATTCCAAAAGTGTCTCACTTCAGATGAGTTGTTGACGAAGCTACATCTTACCAGTTATCATCCGGTAGGCATTTATGTTCAAATTCGGAACTTCTCACGAAAATCCGAATCACTCGAAAAAGCACAATCTACAGATTCATCAGAGTTGCCACCTGTGTGAGGAACAGAGCATACATGAGTAATTTCTAAAGAATCTCTAGTGTCTCAGTACACGTTTACTCTAATGTATATACATAAAGATGCACAGAAGTGAATGAAGATTAGGATAAATTTCGTTTAATTACCATAAGTGTGGATAATTTCATTATAATCTAAACACGTCCTCTTCCTCGCCTATGCCCTCGCCCTCGTCCTCTTCCCCTTCCTCCTCCTCTTCCCCTTCCATGGCCAAAGTTATCGTCTGCTCTTCCGTAATCAAACATATTCATTCTGATATCCACTGCACCAGTTCCATGCACCTCATGTCCCTAAACAGCAAAGTACAATCACAGCTCGCTCATTGTAACCATTTCTGTTTGTATGGACTTAACAAGTAAGCCATGAGCCATCGAATGACAGATAATAGGTGTGCTAATCAACATAATGGACTTGTTAATTAATTCAATGGCCAGTTGAGCAAAAAGAAGACGGATAAAAGGGATAAAAAAGATTGTTGTGACTCACATAAGAGTCTTCAAGATCAAACTGATTCTGAAGCTGCCACGCAAGATCTTCATCACGGGTAGTGTCGCTCGGATGGTCAGCTGTGGCAAGAACTCCCCCACCAGTATTCCTCTTTTCCCACTCATCAAGTGTAAATACTGCAGAGTCGTCTTCTTCCCTTCCACTCCCTCTACCTCTACCTCTACCTCTACCTCTTCTTCCTTGGTATTGCCGTTCATTTGCACTCGAATGTTTCATCTTCTCAAGAAGTATCTGGGCAGCCGCTTGGTTCTGTAACGGAACAGCTTCCACCACTGTAACATGGGAGATGTTATGGCGAGCATTAGAGTTACTTGGCCTTATAGGGATGAATGATAGATATCTCATCTAATTGATGCACAATTGCCAGATGAAAATGTCAAACTAATTTTAAGTGTCAAAACGTCCAGCTATACAATGTGCTTTTGATCTAGAGCGAGTAGGGAATCACACCTTGTTTAGGTCTTGTGTCGGAAGTGCTTGGCTTTTCCTGATTTTCAACTTTGACAGTTTTTGAATCAGGATCTGCAGGATTCCTCTGTAAATTCTTATCAGTACCTTTTTTGTTCCCATAAATGTCACTACTTTCACCTTTTTCTCCAGAGGTATGTTTTACGGCGCTTTCTGCAGCTGTGGGTACAGTGTTCCTAGAAGTCGTCTTGTAGTAATCTGTCAACCATCAGACATATCCGACGAATTAATAATTTTGATGCATTCTCCAAACTTCAACATACCATCATTTTACCGCACAATGAAAATGATGTCACTCATGTTTAAGTATTTATAAAAATGGAGGTCCAACGGTGTCAAATTGGATATCAAGCCTAGGAAAAACATAGATAGGACACCTCCATGAGCCATCATAGGCTACATTGGGATCTTGGAGCTTGGGTTGAATTACCAATACATATCTTTTACAATTTTATGCACACTCACAACACGAAAACCAAATTGGGTAGATTATTCTATTTGTTAACAAAAAGTGGCCAACCGTTACGAAGTGAAACAAACATGGAACAGACTACTAGAAGAAAATTAAAAGACAACGAGAAAATAAGAAAACCTTGCTTACCACGGTGATGGGAACCTGTACGAATCTGCAACTCCTCAAATGGAGGAGGGCCATCACCAGCTTTGCTTTCTTGAGATTGCCTTCCAGATGAACGAGACAAACTAGCGTATTTTTTCTTCATCTGCCATTCTTCAGTGAGTGATTGCACATAACCGCCCAATACAGTCACCTCTTTTGGAGTCAAACATACTAGACCGTCACGTACCACAGCCTTATTTTCTAGACGGACCTGGCAACGAGACAGTACAAAACATCAACAAAATACATAAGACACGCTCCTAATGCATGACTAACAGTCTAACACATAAGTGCACTAGCTTTAATCCTGGAATAATGCACAGAAACACACAATACTAATCTTGCCACTAATTCCTAATGGTTTAGCTCTTAATCCAAACCTATTATATGTTTGCATGAGACTTAGAGAAAGAAAAAAAGACAAAGAGCATACCTTAGTACCAGGAGTCACATCATTGCTAATCGATGGTATATGAGAGTACTCAAGTGCGGATATCTCTATCTTCCCATCAGTCAAAGCGAATTTCAGCACTCGTTTACCACTCGAGCTTCCCAGAAATTCCTCTGCACTGCTTTTTGTAACATCCCGAACAGAACTTATCTGTACTCACAAAAGAAAAGCATTGACAACAAAATTAGCACAATACAGAGAAACTATAAGTTCCAAAACTAAGAAACTGGCAATTCCCAACAGCATGAATCAACTAAAATGAGCCTTCTGATACTTTCACATACTCTTTGTTTGTTTGCAGTGAATGAGAAGAAGAAATCTATCTAACCTGGAGAACTTTGGGACCTTGAAGATGAGAACACCTGCGCAACTCGGTCGGTTCGGGGAGAGACTTACCTCCGATCAACCTGATATCCATGTTAAGCAGCTCCGCCTCCACTGAGTCCACGACCGCGCTTGTTTGATTATTACCGCCGCCGATCAAGGAAGAGAATTCAGTGACCAGAGCCTTCAAGTTAGCGACGTCTCCGAAGCACCAGCCCCGGTTAGTTAGGGCATTTATCACGATGGTGTGGCCGGCGGCGGATGAGCTAGATGTTCCCTCCATTTCCTCGATAGGGAATTTGCCGGAGAAGTGCGAGATTTTAATTTGGGGAAAAAAAAAACTAAAAAAGGTACAGTGTTGTAATTTTCATTTTTGCAAGAAAAATATTTATTATTTACTGTTTTGTCAAATAAAATAAAATAAAAGCAAGACTATAATATATTATTATTTTTTTACTAGTAGAAAATTAGACATATTTTATTTACAAATTTAACACAAAAAAACAAACTCTTACTCAGTTTTCACTATAAAACTCGATTTAGAATTCAAAAACATAGAAAATATACTCGATTTCTGTGTTTTTCGAATATAAACTCACATTAAGAAATATAAATTCATAACCATTTTTTTAGGTCAACTCCAAATCCATAACCTAAATTACAAATTCATAAAAGGGTGATTATATGCTCTGCCAATAGTACCAATACTATTTGTCAGCTATATGTTTTTAAGATTATTCTTATGCGGTCAGGATCAATCCTAAGAAAGAGCAGGATGATACATTGGTGAGAACCATTTCTTATCATCAATCAAACTCTATTTCGAAAAAAAAACATTCTTTTTTACGTTTATTTTTTTCGAACCTCCAAAATGTGTGCGAATACTTCTGAATTTAGTAAAGGGAATGAATAGTTAGTTTGCTTGACGACATAATTAATCATATATCTTCATGCATTTTCACTTCTTCCCTGACGTGAGAGGCAAAATACTAGGACAAGAAGCGTGATGTGTCTTCTTCTAGACACTTGGCGAAAATCAAAACCACTAGTTATCTCCAATTTGTTTTGGCATTTTTTGCAAGATGAAACATGAGTTTTTCGAATGTTTACAATATATTTTCAGCATTTTAGTGTTGGATTCCAATAAACAGATATAAGATGCAAACGAGCAAAATAAGACATACTTTTTTAGTGATTTTTTGTTAACTTGGAGGTTTCAATCAAAGACTTTCGCATTTTGACACAACAAATAATATGGTTAATGAATGTTTTTTGTTTTTTTGTTTTGCATAAAATTAGAACTACAAACTTTAAGTTGTAGTTTCAGAGGAGAATATTGGAAAAAAAAACAAAACACAAGCTATATGGACGAGAGTTCTTGAATCAAACCATAACAGCTAGAGATTTCGCAACTAAATAATTCACAGTTAAGTATATCTTCTTGTCCATGATGCCAGCTACTCTAGAATAAGACATGGGTATAGGCATCCTCGGGAGAGGTGTCCCCGTGTGAGATTGACAATCGATGCTTAAGGCATTCTTGTGATATATACCAAACATATATATCCTTGAACCGACAGTGACAAAGCTATTTCCTGGAGACATATCGGGAAGCGACGGGATAAGGACCAAACGGCGATTGCTGTTGGCTTTCCGACAGAGAATATACCAGTTGTTAACCCCGGTATCTCTGTTATAGAGGACAACATAGATACAGTGTTCGGTGCAGCTCAACAAGGATCGTCTCACGTATATCTCACGAGACGCAACGAGTGATCGGAATTGCTTTGAAACGAGGGAGAGTGTTGGATAGTCGCACCTCGTAACGCGCGCTAAGATGTCAATGATGATGTCTTCGGGAAGTGACGTAAACAGTGACGATTGCTTCTTTTTGGCTCTAGTTTTGGAAGACATGTGTAGGTTTAGGCGAGGGAGACGTAAAAACCCTAATTGTGTGCTCAAACAGAGAGAGGGAGCCAAAGTGCAAAGTTAAGTAATTCGCAAGTTTCATTTTATAAGAGCAAAAATTTCCGGTTTTGTTTAGTGGGCCTAATGGCCCATATATAGCTCCCAGATTTGGACTGTATGACTTATGTACCTTACCTTCTCCGTGGAATGATGGAATCCCAAGTTCCAAGTCGATAAACAGTCATGACGGTGGACGATAATAATTCCGTCTACGTCGGAGGCCTTCCTTACGACGTCACCGACGAGGCTCTCCGCCGTGTCTTCTCCATTTACGGCTCTGTCCTCAACATTAAGGTAAATTTCTCTTTCCCTTGTTCCTGCTCTAAGTTCCTAATTTAGGTTTCTTTACTATCGATTTTTTCTTTCCGGATGATTCAATACTCTCGGAAAATGTAATTCTTTCCGGGCTTGAGGCTTGAAATCTCATTGGATTATATCTACTATCTATGTGTCTGCCTACTCATTTGAGCTTGGTCACTGATTCTTTGAGAATTATGCAAGATTGTGAATGACCGGAGTGTAAGAGGGAAGTGCTATGGCTTTGTTACATTTTCAAATCGTCGATCGGCTGATGATGCTATTCAAGACATGGATGGAAAAGTAATGCTTCTTTGATTTTTTCACTTTCTAATTTATATGGACTGTTTATATGCTTGACGGTGCTGAGCTCGTAACCAGAGTATTGGTGGGCGTGTAGTGCGCGTGAATGAGGTGACAACAAGAGGTGGTGGAAGATTGAATCCAGGTCCTCAGGGACGGTTTCAACCACAAAGCCCTGATAGGAGAAGTGATTGCAATTATGACAGGGATCGGTACAGTGATAGGTCCCGTGAACGAGATAGGTCTCAGGACAGGAGGAAAGATCATTACGCAGAGAAGGAAAGAGCGTATGAACATTCACATGAGTTTGAGAGGAGAAATGGCCATGATATGGTGGATAGAAATGGTTATAAGGAAAGAGTGTTCGAAGGTGATGAGGGAGATTGGCGTGGGGATAGGTCTTATGGGGATAATAATGGTAGGGGTATCAACGGGATCGGTGCTCGCGAAGGAAGGAGCCAAGAAACAAAGAGAGATGATGATAGGCAAGATTTTTGGCTAAAAAGTTATTTAGTTGTAGACTTCACATTAGTCGTTGAACTTTAAGATATAATAGCAGGTGCTATATAAATTATGTTAGCCGGCAGGTAAATTGTAGTTGATGTGATACTAAATTATCATCTAGTGGATAATAGCACCTTAGCATTTATATTATGTTCGTTCAGATTTTTGTAAGAACGGTTTGGACTTTAACTGGCAACAATTTTTCCTTAAAAACACTGTGATTGCTTTGGTTTTGTTGAGATGCCTGAATCCTTGTGTGCTTTTATTGAATTGACAGTACCATGACTGATGGTGGGCGTGGCAGAGAAGGGAGAGATCATTTCTCAAATTCAAGTGGAGATCACAACTTTCAGGTAAAGGTGGTGTTTGTTAAACATGTATTGTTGCATAGTTCACGTAAAAACTTGCGTCTTTTATACAGGTGAAAGAAGAACTGGGAGCGCTGATTAAGATGCGTGAGGTACTTCAAGATGAGGTATGAGGTCGTTTTTCTGCTCATATATGCAATTGGTAGATTTCATGAATCTTTGCCACAGTTACTCTTTTGACATATAAACCAATGGAGCAGCAGTTTCCTTACATAATCATGGGAGATGGGAGATATAATTGTCTAGTTTCAATTTTAAGGTACTGGCGATGGAAGACAGATTGGAAGAAAAAGCAGCAGTGTGCTCAGAGCTACAGAAGAAGTCTAAGGTATGTGTCTACTCGAACCCAATATATGTTAGTTTGACTATGGATTTGTTCTCATTTGAAATGGTTAACACAGAGATTAGAAGATTCATTGATCAATGAAAAGAAACTGACTTCACAACGCCGAAAAGAATTGGCAAAGGTACACAAACATAGGTTCGGGTCCTGTTTTCAAAGTAAGTTTTGTTAGGGTAATTTTTGTTGACTAAGATTGACATTTGGTCTATGTTTTTGGAAGCTACATAAATCATTTTCAAGAGTTAGAGAGTGCACGGACAATCTGAAAGACTGCGAACAGGAACTTCAGGTTAGTTTCTAAATTTTCGCATTCTAGTGATTGTCATAGCATAAGGATTAGGCGTAACCGGAATAAGTCTCTTTTTTTTTTCTTCGCAGTCGCTTGTTAATTCAGTAGCGAGAGAAGGCATGGCAGGTGCTGATGAATGACTCGGAAATGCGTAGTCATCCTCATGTATGATTTGTTGCGTGTAGCTTTGTTTTTTTTTCGGTCGAGCTAGGTGGATTTGGTATGGTTGGATCAATCAGCTGAATTTTGACTTGGAAATGTTTAAGAGAGAATAATTAAGTTTTCCATATAAAGAAACCTGGTACTGTCACTAAACATAAAATTTATGTATATCTTTTTTTTCCTTTTAAACAAATTATTATAAATTCTTTTGAAAAGCGACATGTTTATTTTTATTGGATGAAGTTGACCAAAAAAAAATTATCTTCTATTGTTTGCTTTATTCTGTGTACTACTTACTAAGTACTTAAAATTGTTAAGAAAGAAAACGAAAACAAATAATTGTTAAGATTGACCCCCGAGCATCATCTCTACCGTCCATTTACTCACTCGTAAGCACAATTTTTGTTTAGTTTGATTAAGAAGATGTCAGATGTAGCCGTCCTTTGACCTATCGTTGCTTGTAAAGCCAAGTTAGCCAACCAACACTCAAATCATTATAAACGACGATCTTAAAACCAACCCCATGTAAGATACTCTATGCCTTTCTTCTCATATAAATTTCAGTATAGTAATAATATTCAATATTCATATGATATATATCCTCAATCGCTAATTTTTATTTTACAGCCCTCAATGTCTAATTAGCGTCTAGGACGGGTCTAATGCTTAATCATTGTCTTTGGAACAAACTTTTCTTCGGAGTTTTTGTGACCATTTTGTAGAACGATTTGGCATGAGTTTTTCCGAAAAAAAAGTTGTGGCTAAGATCACATAAATAGTTCATGTTAACCGTAGCTACGTTGACCGAGTTGACCGAATGGTCACGAAAGTAGTTTCGTCACAATCCAATGTTTTTGTAAATAAAATCAAAACTGTCATTGATTTATGCACTTACTATAAACCGTAAATAGAGTCAAAATAGTCCATGATTTATGCACTTACTTATAAGCCGTAAATAAAGTCAAAATAGTCCATGATTTATGCACTTAGTTATATATAAACCCGTGGCTATTCACACATGTCTTTATAGCGAATCATCACTAGGGTCCTTCTTCCAGTGGCCGGGCTCTCTGCTTGTTCTCTTAGCGAGCCATATTGTCAAATCGATGTGAAGATGAATATTTTAGTAGCGTGACAATTATTATTATTGATAGAGTGATTAGGTAAACGTAAATCTATAGCTGTCTTTTTTTCTTTTTTTTTTGGCATAAAACACAATACACATCAATAAATCACAGGAGCAAGTTATTTAGTAACTCATGCTGCATGAGCCATGCCCATAACAACTTTTACTGTATGCAGTTTCAATATTTCATTAAGCTCGAGTTAAAAAATTGTATATAAAAGCTTCATTCCATCATCCAATTACCTCTGCTTTGACCTAACAAGTGAACTTAAATATATTTTATATTTCCACCACAAATTTAAATCTTGAATAAAATACCATATACCTTTTTTTTTATTGGCCATTATCAAAGAGATAAACTAGACTCGATCTTTTCTTTATATATCCTAACAACATTGAAGATGATCCTTTCACATCAAAGATCAAACACCCCAAATAAAAAATATTCAGAAATGGAAAAAAGCCAAAGATGTAACAAAGACACAAACACCAACATTGGCTTTTGCCTTCTTCCTTCTGAACTCATACAAAACATTTTATTCCACCTTTGTATACCTGAGATCATCCGAATGAAACTACTCAATAAGTTTGTTCTAACCACAATCTCTGACCAGAGTTTCATCCGACAACTCAACGACGGATCACAGAGAGACACGTGGATCTTCGTCTACACGAGGCGTTGGCGTCGAGACAACGGTGTTCTCCACGGATTCTCTGACCGATCTGTACGGTGGTTCAAGATTCCGGTGGCTGAAATTTTGACCGGAGAGATTTTCCCCGGCGAAGATTTATATTTACTAACAGCTAGCGGTAACTTTCTTCTCTTTGCTTCTAATACTCATAGTGGAATCATAGCCGTTGATTTGGTGGACAAGAGCGTTAGAAGAATCAGCTCATGCCCGTTAGGTCCACGTGGAACTTCGTCTTGGAGGCGATCCGGTATGAAGCTTGTGCCCGATCCATCTGATCCAGGTCATTTCCGGTTTATGTTTGCTGAGATGGTGAATAACCGACCGGTTCTATTTACTTATCATTCTAATACAAACACGTGGCATACTAAAGAAGCAGAAAATCCGAATAATTTGGGTTTTAAGAAAAACAGTAGTAGTAATGTATTTTTAAGCTTATCAAATCGACCTCACGAGAGTATCGTGATGTGCGTGGACGATGAGTCGATGACAAATCGGTTTCCGGCGATTTTGAGACCGAGGATAAACCAAGACGCGATCAAGGAATGTCCGTCAAGTGTGGGATTCAGCAGGAACGATCTGGAGAGTCAATTGTTGCATATACATGGAGATGAATACAAAGTGGTTATTAGATTAGACAAGATAGAATTATCAAAGATGAAGAAAATGAAGAGTTTAGAGGTTTGGGAAATAAGCTCGAATGGTGAGAAGTGGGAGTTAGTGTCAAGAGCTCCAAGTGAAGTGATCAGCAACAAGCCTTGTGGCGTGATGATGGGATGCTTAGAGAGGAGATTAGGGGTGATTAGAGTGGCTCTAATGACAAATCATGAGGGTTTGTGGAATATCATTTGGTTGGATTATGATAAAGTGAGGGATAAGTGGGAATGGGTCCCGCTATCTCATTGTAGATTCTTGCAAGGATCAAATATGGCCGGTATTAGCTTCTCTTCTGGCCTCACTTTTTCTTTGTAACATCACTTAAAAAGTTTAATATAAATGTCGGTATCAATAAGCCGACCATACGCTTTTTTTTTGTATATGATTGTTGGAATTAATAAATGAATTTCACGAGCTGGGACAGTGTCATGCTTCATGAGGATTCAAGTCAACCACGGATGCAAACTCTAGAAATTAATAATTGAATCACGGGCTGAAAAAAATATACTATTGGAAAATAATAAGAGGAAAACAAAATATATGTTATATTATTATTTACACATTAACATGATATATAAACAAAGAAAAACATGCATGCAATCATTTGTTTGTTGTTGTAAACGCATTCAATCCCTCTTATAACAGCATAAATATATTTACAACGGGACTGTTTTCATTGTGATTCATTAGAATCTCGTACACAAGAAGATCATTTTTTTCAAAAACTAAAAATAACATTTTAAAAAGAAAACCCATACAAGAAAGAAACCATATAATTATTATATAACACTTTTGTTTATTAAACATGTGAAAGCCTCACATCATGATTTTTTTTCGCTAAACGCAGATTGCTTTGATGGTTGTACCAATGTCATTCGATAAATGTAAGATATACTATAAAAAGAAAACAGAAACAAACAAACAAAATATGTGAAGTTGTTATGCAGCATTCATCATCCACAAGAGGTGGAGATCCAGTCAGATTGCGTCCAACCCACAACCTCAACTTTTCTTTAGTGAAGAAAAAGAGTCTTTATAAGCTGGCTACGTGGATCTCAAAGCACATTGCTCTCGCGTATAAAGACAATAAGATAAGCTTGCACTAATAAGTGCACTAACGTATGCGAAGCGCACGGAGCCTATATAGGTCCTGAGAGTGTCAATACAGTAAAAGCAAAAACATAATTAATCTCGTAGACAATACAACGAATTCATCAACAAAGACAAAGTCACCTGAACTAGGTCTTTTACTAATTACTACGAACCAAACAATCGACTTTAGTGTTTAGATGGCGAAGAAGATATACACACGTGAACAATGGAAACATTTTTAGTCCTGAGTCTAGATTATATAGTACTTATGGTCGCTAAATCACTAAGCATTTCAGGGTCTGCGGTTACTTTCAGAGCTTCAAAATAGATGTCAGGGTTACAATTGTAGAATGCCTCGACACATTCAATTGTTCTGAATCAAATAAAGATCCATACAAACCTGTCTCGACAGTTATGTTTCAACTGAATGGGTTTAGACCTGAGATTATAGTAACAGACAAAAATGTTTTACATTTCAAAGCATGAGACTCCAACTACTTACTAGTCCCCAGACAGAACAATCATATACCAGATGAAACATTTACTGTTCTTTCACATTTGCATTAGAACAAGAACAAACAGAACACACCGTCTTTTCTGAGCATCGAACACACCAGGACATTTCTAAAATCTTGTACCCCAGAGGAAAAAACATAAATCGAATTTGTATTAATGGATAAGAGGATAAGAGGCAACAGGTTTACAAAATTGATACTATAGAGGCCAGAAACCAGAAATGTTACTAGAAACCTCTTTAAAATGTAAGAGAAAAAGGCTAAGATATTCATCAATTCGAAATCAAATGCTAAACCTCTTTAAAAAAAGGTTGCAAAACAATGAAGCGCCTCTCTTCTCATACATTAGTAGCTAGTTTCCCAGGAATCAACTCCACCAACTCATCATCAACCTTGTCGCTGTTAGACACTTGCGACGGACCATTAGTCGGTTTCTTAGCCACAGTCACAGACTGCTGATAACCAACACCTCCACAGATAGTAACAAGTAGACAAACCAAACCAACGGGAGTGGCGTGTTTATCCCAGATCAAAACATTGATCACAACAGTCAAGAACTTGTTCACAACACCAGTCACTGTAAAAGCCGTGGCGGAGATAGCTTGCCTAGCAGCAAACCCAAAGAAGCTAATCAAGAAACCAAACACACACGACAACGCCACAGCGAAGAAAGCAACAGGCTCAAACACATTCCCACCATTAGCATTCACCGCCGTGAAAACCTCCGTGTGTTCCCCAGTGAGAAACCAGAAAACCGGCGCAATCATAAGAGACAAGAGGTTATTGTAGAGAACGAATCCCCAGGTGTTCAATTCAAGACTCGAGACCATGTGCTTGATGTAAACCATCTCAGTGGTGATTGTAACAAGGTAAGCTAAAGCCCATGAATACGCGGTTAGAGTAAAAGCAGAGTCATTAGCGACGTACCCAACAGCACCGGCGAGGATGACGAGCAGAGAGAAGAAGGTGAGCCTGGAGGGACGAGGCTGGTTACGGAAGACGGTGTCGGCGATGGCGACGAGAAGAGGGGTGAGAGATCGGAAGACGATGAAGGTATCGACATTGGCGTGACGGAGGAGGTTGGTGTTGGTGAAGATCGCGAGGTAGAAGACGACGGCGGCGGGGAGGAATTTCTTGGCGGTTTCCCAGGTGAAGGCGTCGTGGTGGAGGAAACCTAATTTGCCGAGGAGATAGACGCCGAGAGCGGAGGTTAGGTATTGAAGGGCGGTGAGAAGTCCTGGGTAGTTGAACCAGGTGATTGCGAACTTGTTGATTACGGCGAGGAGGCTTGAGCAGAGCGCGTAGCCGATTACGAGGCTGCTTGTTGCGTAGTACTGCTTGGTGGAATCGAATCGGGAGGTGGACATTGTTTGTTGGTCGTAGAGAGTAGATCGGAGAAGAAGAAGAAGAAAGAAGAGAGAATGGATCTGGATCGAATCAGAGAGTTTACTTAACTATTAGAGGAGGAAGGCGACGACTTCATCAGTGTCGTACGGGTTTGGCATTTGCTTTTTAGTCTTAAATTAGTGTTAATTTTGGTCAAATCACCACACATGGAAGCAAATTAACAAAATCCCATTCCTTTTTTAAAAAAATCAAAATCAACCAATCAATATTATTAAATCAAACACATACAGCTATGCATTTCTTATTTCCAAAAGTGCTCTTGAATCACTTGTATAATAGAACATCAAAACTCACCGGATTATTTACTTTGTAGATACAGCTTGGAATGCAATATATGCAATCACGAGCCATTGTAGTGTAATTAACACTTTGAAAATGGAGCAAACCGTATATGCCCAATCCAAGCCTACTTCCAAGTTCCAACTGTTGAAATTTCATTTTCTTTCTCCCGGTTTAGCCTGGCTAAATCTGCTTTAATGTTTTTAAACTTCTCCTAATTTTAATATTAATCCAATTTGCCCACACAAAAAACAGAACATAAAACTTGGATGAAAAAAAAGAATCGAGTTTATAATAAAACTAGATAATTTTGGAGTTGCACATCAAGCAACTAAAACCTCAAGTGGGACAGCACAACATATGTGACTGGAACAATAGTCGCATATGGAAGAATGAATTATTTTTCCTAAATTTGTCTTTTGATCACATTTTCAATGGTTTGAAATAAACAGTAAAAATATAAATACTATAGCAACAGAGGCGAATTCAGCCGTCTTCCAAGTTCTAATTACTTTTTTGATTGGTAATTTCAAAAGGGTTTAACTTCAAAGAGGTTGACTTAAAAAAATAAAACTTCGAAGAGTTTGGACTGGAAGGATGAGTGACGGTCAGAGACTCTGAAGCAACTAGAAGGTTTGCTATACTTGGCTAAGGCAGAATCTTTCCATTGTGGAGTTAAATTTCCTCTTTACCTCTTTACCTCTTTACCTCTTTACCTCTTTACCTCTTTACCTCTTTACCTCTTTACCTCTTTACCTCTTTACCTTTTTACCTTTTCATCGTGTACAATATTTAGGTGAAGTAATGTCTGCGTGAGGGTTTCAGATTCCGATCAAAGAAATTAAATCTCACTATCTTTTCCTTCTCTTCTCCTTCCCCGATTCCGATCAAAGAAATTGTTCTCTCTCTCTCACATCAGATTACCAGATACAATCAGTGACGAATATGGCGGCCGTAGGAGTCGATTCGAGGCGTCTTGAGACTACGATGGAGGAAACCTGCAACGTCAAGGGAGCGGTGGCGAAACAAGGGGAGGGACTTAAGCAGTACTATCTCCAGCACATCCATGAGCTCCAACGCCAGCTCCGCCAGAAAACTAACAACCTCAATCGCCTTGAAGCTCAGAGGAATGAGCTCAATTCTCGAGGTCTTTTCTTCCTTCCTTAACCCTAATTTCTTCCTATTTTTCTCGAATTTCGGACGGATCTCTTTGTTAGATTGGATGTTTTGATCATGTTCTTGGTTTAGTAACTTCGATTACGTTCTCCCTGGAGTTGGGTGCTCATAAATTTCTTAATTGGTGTGGTGATTGATGGGATAGTGGTTTTCCGATCTGAAAGTGGTTGTGTGGCGATATGATCATCTGTGTTGTTATCATTCATCTCCTGTGTTGGATAGTTGGATTTTATGAACTAAATTTTGAAACCTCTTTGACACTATAATTCCTTTTGAACTACACAGTACGAATGCTCAGAGAAGAGTTGCAGCTGCTTCAAGAACCTGGGTCCTATGTGGGTGAAGTCGTAAAAGTGATGGGAAAAAACAAGGTCTTGGTTAAGGTATGAATCCTAGATAACTTATTGTCTAGGATTAACTGGGCTTTGTATTCTTTTGTAATCTTATGAACATTGCTATCAATAAGGCTTAAACTCCCATTTTACAGGTTCATCCAGAGGGGAAGTATGTTGTTGATATTGACAAAAGCATAGATATAACGAAGATCACCCCATCAACGAGAGTCGCTCTTCGTAATGATAGCTATGTTCTCCACCTGGTCCTGCCAAGTAAAGTAGATCCATTGGTTAACCTTATGAAAGTTGAGAAGGTTCCAGACTCCACATATGACATGATTGGTGGTCTTGACCAGCAAATTAAGGAAATAAAAGAGGTATGTCTAGTGAAATAAAAAACGAAGCTATAAATCACTGGTTTATTGGCATTGCACTCTGTTGTTTCATGCTTTTACTTTCGTTATAATATTTTTTTTTGTTCAACAGGTCATTGAGCTCCCAATCAAGCATCCTGAATTGTTTGAGTCTCTTGGAATTGCGCAGCCAAAGGTAAATATGCATTTTGAAGCTTCTTCTTTGTATTGTAACAACGTTAAGTGGATTAGAGATGATTTCATATCCCTCTCTTTCTAGGGTGTGTTGTTATACGGTCCACCTGGAACTGGAAAGACACTTTTGGCTCGAGCTGTGGCACATCACACTGATTGTACGTTCATCAGAGTTTCTGGTTCCGAGCTGGTCCAGAAGTACATTGGAGAAGGCTCTAGAATGGTCAGAGAACTTTTTGTGATGGCAAGGTTTGTATGCTAACTCGTATTTTAAAATTTCAAGTATTGTAAATGGTGGTGTGTAGGAAAAGATGGAATTGTTGACGAGATTAATCTTTTTACTTGTCCACATTTAGTATCTGAGATGGACTTGTGGTTATCAATAAATTGAGGAATGCGATATTTCTTGCTACTATGAATATGGTTCCATGGTGTAGCAATCTCAAGGAAGAATATCTTCTGTAGATTAGTACATTAACGTGCCTAGCATTTTGGCCACAGTACCAAATCGTATATAAGGAGCAAAGGACACATAGATGAGATGATTGTGTTGAAATTTACTTTTGCCCGTTGGCTTACATTCGTATTGCTGAATGGTTTATGGTTTTCAGGGAGCATGCACCATCAATCATCTTCATGGATGAAATCGATAGCATCGGGTCAGCTCGTATGGAATCTGGAAGTGGCAATGGTGACAGCGAGGTTCAACGGACTATGCTTGAGCTTCTCAACCAACTTGACGGATTCGAAGCGTCAAACAAAATTAAGGTACGCGTTAAGCTGTAAAGGAAAATAAAAATCACGAAGCTGAAAAGGAAGAGTTTTTGTTTCTTAGAGTAAATTTGCAGACAAACTCATTTATCATCTCAAATGACTGTTGCAGGTTTTGATGGCAACAAATCGAATTGATATTCTGGATCAAGCTCTTCTCAGGCCAGGAAGGATTGACAGGAAAATTGAATTCCCTAATCCTAATGAAGACGTAAGCTTGCGCTTATTTTGTAAATTATGGACTTACTCGTGAAGATAGGCTGTAGAACATGTTTGGCTAATGTATATTTCTAAAATTTGTTGCAGTCACGTTTTGATATCTTGAAAATTCACTCGAGGAAAATGAATTTGATGCGGGGAATTGATCTGAAAAAGATTGGAGAGAAGATGAATGGTGCTTCAGGTGCTGAATTGAAGGTAAAGTGTTTTTGTTCCCCTGATTCTCTCTCGCTCGGTCTCTCTCTCTCTCTCTCTCTAAAATTTGTCTCCGTCTTAATGTGTTTGGTTACTACGGTCAGGCTGTGTGCACAGAGGCGGGCATGTTTGCGCTGCGGGAGAGGAGAGTACACGTGACGCAGGAAGACTTTGAGATGGCGGTGGCTAAGGTTATGAAGAAAGACACAGAGAAGAACATGTCTCTACGTAAGCTCTGGAAGTAGGAATCTCTCACTGTTGCCTTGCTCAAAGGAGAGCCACAGATTGATTTCAGACCTAAGAAATTAGTGCTTCTTTACTGTCTGTTGTTCTTTCTGAAACCATTTCGGTTTGTTCTTTAAGCATTTGAAAACAAAGTTTTTACTGCCTAAACAGTAGTTTGTTATATTCAAGTGTTCTCCCAAGCATAACAGTTTCGATTTAAACAAACAAGCATCTACATTTAGTATTTGTTTCCCCAACCGAGTCATTAGATTACCTCACTATTATTAAGTAGAAATTTCCATACGGATGCGCCAGCATATCAAGGGCATGCCATTGGGGGCAATTCGAAAGTTTAGTCAGACGAACCAACAGTTGTAGTCGACACTTTGGTCTGACGATCAGAAAATGAAACAAAGAGACAAGGCACCTTCTCCGGAGAAGGCAGTGACCATAAAAAAATAATATATAGGTTAAAGTATATTATATATAATTAAAAAAATATAAATTGAGTAAAAAGGGAAAAAAATCATTAACCAAAAAAACTTTATATAAAGGCTTCATGTCTCCAATCTTGTACACGATATAAGTCGATTATATTTCAACAAACTTTTTTTTTCAATTAGAAACAAATAAAACCAAATATGGTAAAAAATCGTAATACCGAATACAATATTTTCGTAGTTTTCCCTGAATTAAACTGATAATTTCGCCGAGCAAAGAAAACAGTATTCCTATGACAAAACCAAGATTTTTTTTTCCCAAAAAAAAAAAATAATTGAACAAGAAAGGAGATTTCTTGTTGGATAATTCAAGTTTCTTTTCTTGTTGGATAATTCAAGTTTCTTATTTATATTGGGGTTTATTAGCTTAAAATGCTCTCGTCGTCTCTGTGATCCATCTTCGCAAATACTAGAGAGATATTTGTCCGATAATTTGCGCAACCACCGAAGATATGGCGGCCGTAGGAGTAGAGGGGAGGCCTCCTGGGACAGCGATGGAGGAAACCTGCAACGTCAAGGGAACGGTGGCGAAACAAGGGGAGGGGCTTAAGCAATACTATCTCCAGCACATCCATGAGAACCAGCGACTGCTCCGGCAGAAGACTAACAATCTCAATCGCCTTGAAGCTCAGAGGAATGAGCTCAATTCTCGAGGTCTTTTCTTCCTTCCTTAGCCCTAATTTCTTCCTATTTCTCTCGAATTTCGGACGGATCTCTTTGTTAGATTGGATGTTTTGATCATGTTCTTGGTTTAGTAACTTCGATTACGTTCTACCTGGAGTTGGGTGCTCATAAATTTCTTATTTGTTGTGGTGATTGATGGGATAGTGGTTTTCCGATCTGAAAGTGGTTGGGTGGCGATAGGATCGTCTTTGTTGCTATCATTCATCTCCTGTGTTGGATAGTTGGATCTTTATGAACTAAATTTCGAAACCTCTTTGACACTACACAGTACGAATGCTCAGAGAAGAGTTGCAGCTGCTTCAAGAACCTGGGTCCTATGTGGGTGAAGTCGTAAAAGTGATGGGAAAAAACAAGGTCTTGGTTAAGGTATGAATCCTAGATAACTTATTGTCTAAGATTAACTGGGCTTTGAATTTTTGATGTAATCTTATGAACACTGCTTTCAATAAGGCTTAAACTCCCATTATACAGGTTCATCCAGAGGGGAAGTATGTTGTTGATATTGACAAAAGCATAGACATAACGAAGATCACCCCATCAACGAGAGTCGCTCTTCGTAATGATAGCTATGTTCTCCACCTGGTCCTGCCAAGTAAAGTTGATCCGTTGGTTAACCTTATGAAAGTTGAGAAGGTTCCAGACTCCACATATGACATGATTGGTGGTCTTGACCAGCAAATTAAGGAAATAAAGGAGGTATGCCTAGTGAAAGAACAAACAAAGCTAAAAGTCATTGGTTTGTCGGCATTGTGCTCTGTTATTTCATGCTTTTAGTTTCGTTATAATATTTTTTTTTGTTCATCAGGTCATTGAGCTCCCGATCAAGCATCCTGAATTGTTTGAGTCTCTTGGAATTGCGCAGCCAAAGGTACATATGCATTTCGAAGCTTCTTTTCTATATTGGAACGTTGTTAATTGGATTAGAGATGATTTCATATCCCTCTCTTTCTAGGGTGTGCTGTTATATGGTCCACCTGGGACTGGAAAGACACTTTTGGCTCGGGCTGTGGCACATCACACTGATTGTACGTTCATCAGAGTTTCTGGTTCCGAGCTGGTCCAGAAATACATTGGAGAAGGCTCTAGAATGGTCAGAGAACTTTTTGTGATGGCAAGGTTGGTATATGCTAGGCCCCATTATAAATTTCAAGCATGGTAAATGCCTTAATGGTGGTGGATAGGAAAAGATGAAATTGTTTGACAAGATTGTCTACACCATGGAACCATATTCATAGTAGCAAGATGTATATCTTCTGTAGTTTAGCACGTTTACAAGTATCACCTGTCCTGGTACCTAGAATTTTGGCAACAGTACCAAATCGTATATAAGGAGCAAAGTACACATAGATGAGATGATTGCATTGAAATTTACTTTTGCCTTTTTGCTTACATTCGTATTGCTGATGGTTTATGGTTTTCAGGGAGCATGCACCATCAATCATCTTCATGGATGAAATCGATAGTATCGGGTCAGCTCGTATGGAATCTGGAAGTGGCAATGGTGACAGCGAGGTTCAACGGACTATGCTTGAGCTTCTCAATCAACTTGACGGATTCGAAGCGTCAAACAAAATTAAGGTACGTGTTAAGCTGTAAAGGAAAATAAAAATTACGAAGCTGAAAAGGATGAGTTTTTGGTATCTTAGAGTGAATTTGCAGACAAACTCATTTATCATCTGAAATGACTGTTGCAGGTTTTGATGGCAACAAATCGTATTGATATTCTGGATCAAGCTCTTCTCAGGCCAGGAAGGATTGACAGGAAAATTGAATTCCCTAATCCTAATGAAGATGTAAGCTTGTGCTTATTTTGCATATTAGTTGAGTAGATAGGTTGTAGAACATGTTTGGCTAATATATACTTCCAAAATGTGTTGCAGTCACGTTTTGATATCTTGAAGATACACTCGAGGAAAATGAATTTGATGCGGGGAATTGATCTGAAAAAGATTGGAGAGAAGATGAATGGTGCTTCAGGTGCTGAATTGAAGGTAAAGTGTTTTTGTTCCCTTGCTTCTCTCTCTCGCTCAGTCTTTCTCTCTCTAAAATTTGTCTCCGTCTTATGTGTTTGGTTATTACGGTCAGGCTGTGTGCACAGAGGCGGGCATGTTTGCGCTGCGGGAGAGGAGAGTACACGTGACACAGGAAGACTTTGAGATGGCGGTAGCGAAGGTTATGAAGAAGGACACAGAGAAGAACATGTCTCTACGTAAGCTCTGGAAGTAGGAATCTCTTTCTGTTGCCTTGCTCCAAGGAGAGCCACCGATTGATTTTATTGTTTCTTTACTATCTTTTGTTCTTTCTGAAACCTTGTTGGTTTGTTTTTAAAGCATCTGAATGCAAAGTTTTTACTGCCTAAACACTTAGTTGATATTCAAATGGTCTCAATCATAACAGTTTCGATGTTTTCGTCGCCAATACAGTGATATTATTCAAGAATGGAAGACCCAGCAATGAGTACAAAAGATCATATAACATGACAGTTTTTATATTAACAAATACAGTCAGATATAAGAAGAAAAAATTCCTATACTCAAGATTAAACCCCTCCGAAACTTGTTATAGGGTATAGACAGAACAATCGACATAGCTTCAGCATTCAGCACCATGCCACCGTAATCATCTCTGTCAACACCGGTTTCTCATTATCATCATCCGGCGATTACAAAGACAAAAAAAATCCTTATTGGTGAAACATTAAGATTTGTTAATAAAATAATTTTGATTTTGAAAAAATGATGTTCAGATACGATATAAAAATAAATATTGTAAAGAGCAACGTATATCAAGGAATGGGAAATTTCGAATTTGCAAAGACAATAAATACAAATACAAATTTGAAAAGGGAAAAGACAAATTATGAGGCAGGGAGACCGCGTGGAAATAAAGCTAAATAGGATCCAACGGTGGAGAAAGCTGCGTTAAAATTGCAGAACCATCAAAAGGAAGGAATCTGACGGTGATAAGAGTCGCGTCAGAACTAAGCGAAACCCTTCGAAATTTCTCTTTTAAAAACCCATCTCTCTACTCGATCTCCCTCTCGCCGCTTCTCTCCTGCTTACACATCCACGCACACATTGACATTGCTCTCCTCCCGCGATTTTGAAACCATGGTAAATATATTCTCTTCGTTTTTTTTGCTGGTTTCTTCTTCACGTACGATTAGATTACGATTATGGCTTTTTCGCCCTCTCAGATCCGTTGATGCCTTCGTTTCTGGGTTCTACGTTTTCTAAATTCATTGTGGTTATCTTGTCCAGGCACTACCTAACCAGCAAACCGTCGATTATCCTAGCTTCAAGCTCGTCATTGTTGGTGATGGAGGCACAGGTACTTTTTAGCTCCAATCCCTGCTTCTTTTCTCCGAAGTTTGATCTTCTTGTCAAAAAAATTTCCTTCTGGGAGACGCAATTGAGATTTACACGATGTACTGAGGCGGTGTTTCCTCTGTTAGAAATAGTAGTGTTCCGTTAATATCAATGCTTGGTTACGTTAATGGTGATTTGATGATCGAGATGAGCTCACTTTTAAGTTGCCATTCGATTCTTATATGATACTCACTGTTGATTTCAGTGGTTCAATTCATGTTGTAATATTCTTCAGATGTCTTTGATTATTTTTGCTAAGCCTCGGATTTCTCTATGTGGTTGTGCAGGGAAAACCACCTTCGTCAAGCGACATCTTACTGGGGAGTTTGAGAAGAAATATGAACGTAAGTATACAACTCGTGAATGAACAATGTCATTTATTCTTCATCGAGTTTCTGACGTTGAGTCCTCTTTTCGTGTGTTGCAGCTACTATTGGTGTGGAGGTTCATCCTTTGGATTTCTTCACAAACTGTGGCAAGATCCGATTCTATTGCTGGGATACTGCTGGACAAGAGAAATTTGGTGGCCTAAGGGATGGATACTAGTAAGTAGACCTTATAATTTCTCTTTTAATAAGACCTGATTTGTATATTGGTTGAAGTAATCTCCTTAGGTCACTTAGCAGGTTAATATGTGTAATGCATAGTCTTGAATATTTATAGTTAGGATGTGAAAAGAATACTCTTTATGTTAATGGTTGATTTGGTTTCCGTTCGGATGTCTAAGCTAACCTTTGATTTTTCTTGCAGCATCCATGGTCAATGTGCAGTAATCATGTTCGATGTCACAGCACGGCTCACATACAAGAACGTTCCGACATGGCACCGTGATCTCTGCAGGGTGTGCGAGAACATCCCGATTGTTCTTTGCGGGAACAAAGTTGATGTGAAGAACAGGCAAGTGAAGGCAAAGCAAGTGACATTCCACAGGAAGAAGAATCTGCAGTACTATGAGATATCTGCAAAGAGCAACTACAACTTCGAGAAGCCCTTCTTGTACCTTGCTAGGAAACTTGCCGGCGACCAAAACCTTCACTTTGTCGAGTCACCAGCTCTTGCTCCACCAGAGGTTCACATTGACTTTGCTGAGCAGCAGAAGAACGAGGCTGATCTCGCTGCAGCTGCAGCTCAGCCACTCCCTGATGACGATGATGACGCATTCGAGTAAAAAATCTTCCTGAAATGTCTCTGCCGTGTGGGAAGCTGTTTGCTATTCTCTTTCGTTTTGGTTATTCAGGCTATGTTGCTTTGATGTTACATATTAAATGAATCGGTCTTTTTAGAATGAAATTGGGGAAACATTGGGATTGTTCCGTTTTGGAATAGAGCGAGTTGTTTTTGGACCCAAAGAAAATTTGCAGCTAAGTTTTTATTTTACTTTTTTCCCTTGAGCACAAGAACATGCGGTGATTTTATGAGGTATAATGAGACTACTTGGTCTCGAGTCCAGCCCCCAAAAAAGCAACATATTCATATTTACATAGTTACAAGCTCGGAACAACAACAAAAAGATTCAAATATCCTGGCTGAAAAATAGAGTGACATTTGTACAACCTACCCTCAATTTTTATTCTATGTAACACAAATTGTAGTTGACATTGATGCTGCTATCTGAATATTGTACTGTTATCATCAGAGATAAGGTTTCTTATCTGCATCAGATGTTCCTCATTCGAAATGTTCAGTCTCAGACGGAGATTTGTGATCCACGTTTCTTGTTCCCATGTTATAATTGGCCCCGATGCGTGCAGTCTCTCGATGCTGCATCGGTATGCATCCAACTCTAACCTATGAACATCATCAGCCTCTGAGCCTTTTCTTGGAAAACCCAACTTCTTGATGCTTCCGTAGCCACAAGAAGATGACTCTGTGTCACTGGAGTTACCGGTTTCAATGGGACTGAAAGAGACAGCACTGAGATCATCCATATCGTCCATGCTACAACTACCAACAGAAGAAGCAACACTCTCTCTATCTTCTTCTTCTGTTTTTCCTTTAAGAAACTTTGGTGGAGAAGCAGCTAAAGCAGCTCTACCTAATCTGCCAATTTTTTCGGATTGTGAAGTTTGATTGTCTGGTTCAACCAATGAGTAGGTCCGTTTCTTTGGACCTTTTGGCGAATACACATCAGACTCATCAAGCTTGTCTTTGCTCTTACATGAAGTATAGTCCCCTTTCTGATTCTCCTTTCTCCTTAATTGTTTTCCTGTTGAAGTCTGTGCGCTTAACCTTGATGTACCCTGCAGCCAAATGGTATAAACAAAATGTCAGTTCAAACAAACAAAAAAAAGGCTTTGAAAGATATAATAAACATTGACAGAGGAAGGAAACAAGTACCTGCCCGATCATGATCCACTCGTTATCTTGCCAAGATTGTCTAACCCGAATGTCGGATTTGTTTGCCTTGACCTTCAGTGAGGAACCAAGTAATCTAATCAAGAAACAATCTTTTTCCAAAACTTTGGAAACGACTGCAATCTTCCACGAACAGTTTTCGAAAACCTCAAGAATGTCACCAGGAGCCCAAGAATCCAGGACTTGTAAAGGAGGAGGCTCAGGCCTCATACTCTTCCTCGGTACCCTCTCTGTACCAGCTTCACTATCATACGCGACCGTGTAATAATGCCCATTTCCCGATATTATCTCTGCAGATCGCCAAGCACCAGCTGGAACCGATGATTTGCTCAACACTTCCACTTTAGTTCCCTTCTTGAATCTCATGATTGCTGCTTCAAAAAGCTCAAGATCAGATATTTTACATCACAGACGCTAAAATTCAACTCTTTATCCATAAGCATTCCTTGAGTTGAAACCACAAAATAAGATAAAGCAAGCACACAATCAATTTTCGAATGAAGCAGCCTGTAAGTACAATCACAAAGTCTTATTAATGATGATCCTGAGCCCTGACAAGCTCAAGTACATCCAAATATCCAGAAATAAGTTGGACCAATAGATCCATTAGCATCTTTCACACCCAGAAACTTCAACTTTCAAACAGTTGGCATAAACATTTCAGATTCTTTTGTTTCATAATCACTAGATTGCAGATAAGTCCTCAATTACAAACCAGAAAAAATTAAACTGTCGAGAATTATTCAATGGATTCAGATTTTAATGAAACTGAAAATAGAGTATGACTCAATCTCGAGGATCAATCTTCATTGATTAAGGGTAGAAGATAATCTTTGAATTTTATCGTTAAATTTGCATCAAGAGACTTAAAACTCTGAACTTCAAAAAAAAAAAAGAAAAAAACAAATGGGATTGTGAGTCTGTGACTACCTTAAAACGAAGTTTGGTCACTGAATGTTTAGCACGCAAAGAAAGCCATGATTCTTCTGCCACAAACAACAAAGCTCCACTTTTTTTTTCCTCTTTGATTTTCTGGGCAACCAAACAAGGATCAAATGGCCAAATAAAACAAAATAAAACTTATATGCAAATAATTAGAAAAAGGGAAAAAAAAAAAAAAAAGAGAAATCTAAATTACACATCAGCACGCGCAGTTTAATTTTAAATGAAACGATTTGAAGATAGTTCAAGTTGCGAACCTGTAAAACTCCTGAAGGCATTTATCCACAAACCGCATGAGAAATGGCCTTTTGTGTCATTCTATTTAATATATTATTTATGAATAAATGGTGAAATAACCATATATATTATTTACAAATTGGTTAGTGACTATGATTTGATGTTTAATTGGAAGATATCTAAAATTAAATTGTTTCTTAATCTTAAATGGTCTATACGACTTCTCGAGACTTGATATTTTTCTGGTAAGTTTGACCATAGCAATTTATTCAAAGTTCTGAATATTTTTTTACAGAGTTGTATCACTCTCGAGTAGGGAAAGATAAAGATCGTTGTGATATACTCCTACATATATTATCAATGAGGGGATTTGAAAAAGATTCCAAGTGTATCACTTCAATTGCTGGTGAGCTTCAAGTTAGTAAGAACTTAGTGTAAAAATGATAGAGTACTAAAAGTAAAGAAACAGACTCAAAACTGTAGGAAACATATAATGTGTTTTAACACAAGTCAAAGTACACGTGACTAAGATTAAAATTTATAAAGTTATATACTCGTCTCAAGTTGATTTATGAAAAATGTTGTCAAGGGGATAATCAGTAAAACAAAGGAACCATGAAGATATATTTAGAAGATATGTGAATAGAACTTGTTTATTAATTGTGAAACTCTCTCCTAACGTATTGCTGTTCTTCAAGAAAAAATGAGAGCAAGAACTTGGATCATTATAAAAATAAAAGAGTGGTCTTTTGCTAGGTTAGTCGAAATAGTTAATCAATAAATGTTTTGTTACTCGGTTTCTATTAGCTAGTGTGTTTTTGTTCGTAAAACGCGAATTGATGTGTTGGAACAGTTGATTTTGATGTTGTGTTCAAATATGAAATTAAGAGAAAAATATCCAAGTTTGTCGTCAAAATACGAGTTAGAGATGCGCATAGATGTGGCTTATTGGATGTTAGAGAGTGGTTGGTGATCGAGTTAAGTGTAATTCTAATTAGAGAAAATTCTTGATGTAAAAAAAGTCTAAGTTATTTATAGTGTATGTTTTGTAGATTAAACATGTTGAATTGAACTCCAGTAGACATGTGTGTTTTCTCTTGTTTTAACAGATATCTCAAATACTAACACGCTTTTGAAATAGAGAAATTTTATTGTCACGTTAGATCGTTTATATTCCCATCATGCGATATGTATAAAATGTATTCTGCTATTCATTAACAAATTATCAAAATATATATGTAGACGTTAACAATTATCTATATTTTTGTTGCTACTTAAATCGTTCACACTGATCTTTTAGCCATATTTGAAGCCTCTATCACCGCTTGCTAAATATGGCGGACCATATTTTCCCAAGTCCAAAGTTGTTTACCACGCCTCTAGACACTACATGCAGGCATGCAGATTAGCACCTCTCGTGGAGTTAAGACCATATCTGTAAACGTGTGATAAGAATTTATAAGTAAGCTAAACAACAAATTTGATTTATATAATATCAATTTGTAGCACAATGCACATGGTTAATACATTATCGCTATTATTAGGTGATGAAACTCTGTGTTGGCGTTTGTAGATGATCAGTTTAGAAGAAAATCTTGCAATTTCCGAATAACACATATCAAATGAACAAAAATGAACATGAAAATTAGTTTTCTTTTTTTGAATTAAATGTAATTAAAAAATAACTAATTCGATGAAAGTTATTTGTTTGTTTCTTGGTGAGCACAAGCAAAGAGCGTGTTTGGGTGTGCCAAAAGTTGCGACTTTTACTTATTCTTTCTTTATAAGCAAAACGAAAAACGTTATGGGGGAATTCCTCAGGCCGTTAGATTAAAAGATCGGGTCAGGTGGCTTAGATAATTCCCACTTCACTTTTGATCATAAAAAAATTGAGATCGTAGGGTCCATATTTTGGTTATAACGTACCCGAAAAATGTTATTTAATAATCACGTCGTTGTCATGCAGTGTTTATTAATATTTTCTAGATTCACAACGGATAATGGCACCAGCTGTTGTTAATTGTTCCGAATTATTTGATTCAAATATGGTTATGCCCATTAACTCAATTCGGTTCAAACTCGAAATAAAGTCCCATAGCGTTTTCAACATGGGAGTGAATCTGAGGTTTGTAAGTAAAAAAGGGACCGAAATAGTTTTGTTCATAAAAAAAAAAAACATTATTCTAAAATCACGTATCTAGTCTTAATTCCACTAGCTGCAAAAAAAACATACAATTTTTTCCTGTTTTGGTTTTAGCTTTTCTTTTTCGTATAGAAAGAAAGGCAGTGGTTACATGGCAGCTTCTTCAATGCTTGAAACATCTTCACTCTTACATCCTTCACTTCTGATCCACTCTAACACCGAAGAACAGTCCTCTCTTCTTACGAAATGCCTTCATAGTTCATACACAGATTCACAACCCATAAACCAATTATGTATATATTTATATTAACCTCAAAGAATCTCAAATTGAGTGTTTTTTCTTAATCTATGTACCTATTTCTGGGGCGGTATGCCTTAAGAGCATTAGCTTCTCGAGAGTTTCTTACGTCTTTGTTCATTCTGAGAGAGTCGGGCACCATCAGCGTCTCTGCTTCGTTCTCATAAGCATCGTAAATGAATTTAAGTATTGTATCCTGCGAGGACCAAGAATTTAAAACACCATGCTTTGACATCAAACAATAAAAGATTTGAATAGAAACAGAACATATACCAGAGGTTTAGAAGCATTTAGCCAGTGGTACATAGGCTCACACCGGAACCACGTCATTTGCCTTTTTGCAAAGTTTCTGTGCATCGACCAAAAAACAAAGGCTACTGATTTTAGCTTAACCTTCAGAGCAGTTATCAGAATAGGTTTTTTCTTTAGAATATAATACAAAGCAATTGTTTTCAGGCATAGACGTTAGCTTACCAGGATTATTTTGAATTTATCATTTTGAAAAGAAAAAAAAAAAGTGAAGAAATGACTTCGGTTTTCATTAATGTTCAATCACAATTTCGACCAGAAGATATTAGTAGAGGAATCACCTGGATGCTTGCTGAAATTTGTTCAAAAAGCTATAGAATTCTCCAGGGGAACTTACACACCCTTGTCGTCGACACTTCAATAGATATTCCATGGCCTGAAAACGAGGAATCATATTTTGCATTGTTGATTCAAATTGATATCAGAGTACTAGAGTCCAAATAAATTGATATGGTATAGCATTTTTGAAACATTTTTTTCAGCTAGATACGAATAGACCTCATTTCGCAACCAATTTGGTAAATGTGGATGATAATATGCTAACAGTAACACAAGAAAGTCTTCTCTTTCTCAGGTTGTTATGCACAAACCAGTATTGAAAATAAAGAATACTACCTGTCTGTACCCAATGGCACGAGTTGAAGAATTTGTGTTTGGAAGAAGACCAAGATCAAGAAGCCATCTAGCTTCTGATAATACTCCATCGGCACCTGAAGTTGATAGGTAAGCATCAATGAAAAAATAGCTCAGAAGAAATGCCAAACAAATATCTACAAAAACTGCATAGGACACAGCAAAGAGCATGCAAATTGTATTTTTTTTTTGGTTAAACTTGAAAGAATCAGATAGGAAAATTACCTGAGAGCATATCTTCACATCTGAAATCAATAGACCTGTAGAGATCAACCCTTGGGCTTGACAGAAAAAAACAAAGGAAATCATAGTCCAAATCTGTTTGTATGTTTTGGATAGAAACTTCAGCAGATGAACCATCCCCATCGAAGTCGTTGGCATCAGGAGAATTCAAATTATCCCGAAACGAATCATATGGAACGCGAAAGGAAGACGGAGGAGATCCAGTTGACTGCCAGTAAAACAAACATACAACCTTTGAAAACGTAGACGCTGTACCAGAAGAAAACAATGATAGAAGCAAGATCAAATCTTTCAAGCAGACAGTCATACACTCAGAAACTGGTGCTTCATTTCCTTTACAGGTTATGTCTGTTTTAACTATCATAAAAGCAATATTTCTCAAATCATCAAATCAGTTCACTGAAGTTTTCTTTCCACGTCAGAGACAAAAGAAAAAAAAACTCAGACATGAATAACTCGAGAATAATCATTTAGAGGGATTTTTGTTGAGAAATTATGTTTCAAAACCTGCATAAACCATTCATGACTCATTAACTATGCTATGAGTGTTTGAAAACTCTATTGATTTTTAAGAATGATAAACAACAGTTGAAGCTGATAATTGCCAAACCTTGAGTATCTCGAGGCTACGCCGTAGTCTGTACCAATCATTACGAGTTAAAGAAGAGGCTTTTTGATCACCAGCATTGACCACAAACTCAACAGCTGCATCCCAGTTATGTTCGGTTTGAAAACCAACGAGCATATCATGGACCTCAGAGATGATCTCTGGAGAAGGTTTCGGCACATCTGGCTTCCCATAGATGAACCTAACATTACCAAGAGCATGATAACAGTGAACTTTAGAATTTGCAGTAAATTTTTTATAATCGATTTTTGCAGTACATAATCTCCAGCCATACCATCGTAGGTACAATCCAGTGCCACCTGTGACTATGGGAACGCGCCCTCTACTAAGAATGTCTTTAGCAGCTTGTCTTCCATCATCGAAAAATTGCCCCACAGAGTAGTCTAAATAAAAAAAATGGAAAAATGTGAATTTTTTTCTGGATTTGCATACATGAGTATCAGAAGCAATTACATGTGTGGCATTCACAACATCAATAAAGTAGAAACGAGAGCTGAAAAAGACCTTGAGACGGATGCAAAATGTCGATAAGATGATGGGGCACTTCCTGAATAATTTGTAAAACATACAACGTCAGGCTCAAAGGTATACACTTTCAGAATGTAATCTGATCATCGCACCAGCATCAGATACAACGAATAAATCTTACCAAATATACCAGAAGGATACCTTTCTATCGCTTGCTGATGGCTTGGCTGATCCAACATCAAGGCCTCGGTACACCTGTGGTGGTCAGGGAACAACAAAGCAAGAACCTTTTTTAACAACACCAAACATAGATGCAATTGTAAAGCCCAAGAATTGATCAAACACCAAACTCTTGGATTAAGCAAAGCCGTCTTGTTTCGGTTCGAGACCCTATCAGTTGGACTCAACAAGGGTTTCAAATTTAGAGTTCTCAACACTCCAAGTGAGCTATACAAGTAAGAATGGGATTGAAATGGACCTGAACGGAGTCAGCACTGATGATTTCGCCATTGAGACGCTTGGCGAGCTCCAACGCAAGTCTGCTTTTTCCAGCGCCGGTGGGCCCAGAAATCACAATCACTTTCTCCTTGCCGGAACTTTTCTTATTTTTCGAAGTGGTTCCGTTCAGAGAAACAGAGCAAGCCGTGGCTCCGCAGAATCTCCGGCGCAATGCAAAACTCGGCTGTTGCAGCCTCAAGCAACAAGTACGGGTCAAAATTACGCCACTGCTAATCACCATTAGAGGTTCTTCGGAACGGAAAAAAAGTGGCTACAGAACTCGGAAAGGTAGAAGAAGTTTGCTTAAGGAAAATAGGTTGATGGAAGGATGACCCGCGAAAAAGCTCATCTCCAAGAGAGACGATGACAGCGAGCGAAGAGATTAGAGAACTACGGTTCGGTTAGGTTTACAGATTAACCGAATCCAAATTATGAACCGATGTGGAAATGGTTTAGTTACATTTCCGGCGTAAAACCAGAACGTTTAAAAATAACGTTTTTTTGGATTAACCAATTACATTATTACATGAGGTCTTCGATCAATAACCGGGTCTTGATCTGGTTCTGGTTTGAAAGGGTTTAGTTACCTTGCCGGCGAAAAACCTCATGTAAAATAGTCGTGAAAGTTTTAACACTAGCAAATAAAGAATCCAACTAGGCAAATATTGTAATTAATTTGTCAAAAAGAAAGAAGAAATATTGTAATTAAAATATTTATAGAAATCGTTATCATCTCTACTGATCACAAATTAGCAAAGGTCATTCCTCTACTACGTGGTGGTGTACATTGTTAGTGATTAATTAGTAGTAGCACTTGAAAAAACCCAAAGAACAAAACCACATAGAAAAATAACAAGAGGGATCATGTGAATAGCTCTCTCTCCATTAACAGACATGTAAACATTATTGTGAAGAAGAAGTTCCTTCTTGGCGACGTCATAGACAACGAGACCATCGGGGCTCGCAGAATCCGGCGAGAGGTTGATCAGAAACTCTTCCGATGGCCGAGAACACATCTGTAACCGCTGCATTAATACTTGAGTATATATTAACTAACCACGTCGTCTCCTTAATTATATGGTTTTGTAAAAACTTTGCAGTTCTGTTTTATGTATGTAAGGTTCTCTATATAAACAGTTTCGACCATGCATATATATAGTATAAGACTTTCAAAAGTCAAAGCGTAAGCTCAGAGACATTTAATGTTGCATATTCAAGCTCCTGAAGTTATGGCTTAAGTTATGATGAATATGATCGGTGAACTTTGCTTCCGAAATTTAAACTTGTAAAAATAATTTTCGATGGAAATAATAAGATTCGGTTAGCCTCCCAAGAAGAGTTGAAATTTTGAAGATGAAAGAAATCAAATATCTTTTCATATATTATCATTTTGACTATGATTAACAGTTATAGATCGTACGTATGCAATAGTTTGGATAGATTGAGTACCAAAGTGTTGAATGGAAATAAGGAAATTTGTTGATATATCTTGAATAAAATATTATTTTAATTCTCTGTTACAAGCTTTTGCTCCTAGTAGAAAACATTTTTTTTTCTTCTTTTGATCGATTAGTTTTATGAGAAAAGTCACATACTATACCAGAAGTCGTATTGTCTATTAATTCTCGGTGTGCTAATTATATTTGCATGGATACATTACAAATCAAGACATCGAGCGTTGACAAATGAACACTCGGGATAAACCTTTTCAAAACTTTAAGATTTGTGTTTGATTGGAGCCTTGCAGCTAACTTGAAGGTGCACATGTGAATTTTTCTTTCAAGTCAAAATGCGCGTTCATATGACGGTGGACTTCTTATTACTTCATTTTTTTATTTACTTTGTATTTTACTAATATAAAGTCAGGAATATATGCTATACCATAACTACCAAACAAATTTTTCTGTGATAATATCAAAAAAATTCGATATGATCACATAGTCATCCACCACTTTATTTCATCGGAAAGACTGTATCTTTACACATATTAATACAGGTTGTATGGATCTAGGTACAGAACTATAATTTTGTCCAATATGCGTCAGTTAATGTGCGCTTTTATCTGTATATTTTTGTCAGAGCTGTATAATTTAATCTTGTATGTATATCCAAATTCGACTCTTGTTTAAATATGCGTCAAAAATTACATCGAAATTACATATAAAGTAGTCTCCTACTTGGCTAGTTAAATATCTTGTAATCCAACCTTTCTAGCTCATGATTGAAGATTGAAAATATTAAGAATTTAAAAGTTCTTTAAAATTCTACAAATCAATCTACCAATAACATCACTTTACTTAGAAATAGGATTACTGGAAAGAGCAATACATGGAGCCAATTCTTTTGAAAAATCGTGCTCAATCTTGATCTGGCTATTTCTTTTCTTTCTCGTGTTTAAAGCTTTTGGTGACTAATTAAAAAAAAAAAAGTTGAAGAAGTCAAAAACAAAAGAAGTTGAAGCATAGAGCCGGCATTTTGGTTTGTTTTTGTCGGCCAACCAATGGGGAGTGATATCGTTATGGCAGATTTCCGTTGACCAAATGTGATAAACAAAAGATGGAAGCCAAAAAGCCTTTTAACTAACACAACGAAGCGTTGACTGAAAAATCAAAGACAAAACAATAGATAATAGATAATAGTAGTACTTAACAATGTTTGTATTTTTTTTTCGTAGGCAATTACGCTGAACCCGACAAAATTCACGAGACTAAAAGTATCTTCAATGTATGACTCCATATTTTTCTCTATTTTAGAGTAACTATTTTATTCCAATGTAAGCTTTATTTTTACTCCATTTTTTGTTCTATATATGGAATAATTCCATTTTTTACTCCATTTTAGAGTAAAATTTGGAGTAGGATTGAAGATGGTCTAATGCGATGTTAAGCATCTAAGCTGGATAAACCAAAACCAATGCGATCATATTAATAAAGAGATGGAACCGATGCAAGTTTAGCTGCAGTTTACCGATTTTGACCACCACTGCTCACTTTATTTAATGATGTTTTAATAATTAAGAAATTGTTTCAGTACAAAATTATGCTCATAATTATATTCATACTCTTTTAACTCGAAATGAATTGGTCAATTCCATAATAGATTAATAGCTCTGTAAATGAGCTACGTGAGTCACCACCCGATCCAGGCATATTTCCGACCGGCAAAGTTAGTCTCCGAAGGCAACCTAATTATAAAACTATTCCATTCAGCTGCAATTTTGTCAACAATGCTCACGTTCTGCAAATAATAATATCTAGTTTAGTATTGGCTTTTCTGGCGGTAGACAAATCATATGACATATGATATCTCACCCGATCTGAAGTCCGTAACAAATTTTCATATACTGTATATTTTTTGCTAGAATATTTTTGGTTATATACATGAGATTACGTTTACATATACCATAACATACCCTAACGAATAAACACAAACAAATACTTAAACCTGACTAGTTTTGTTTATTAATCTGCATGCCGAGCTTATTGATTCCTAGTATTAACCCATTTAATCCGCTTTTTAGTGTTAACTTTTAATCGACATGCACAACCCAACATGGCAATTTTTCCTAACGATTTGAAACTTTTTTTCAGCACACTGCATCAATGGATTGATTAATACAGCTGGCACAACTTGCAGATCATTTATGACAAACCTAACCTATGTATATCGTACATTCTACAACAATGTACACGACTCTATCTCATTTTATGAGTTATAGATAATATTATATCTGACCATGAATTCAACGACAACTATTTCCGAATTTAAATATTCATTTTATTCATAAATCAGCTAATATTCAAATTACGGAATTCGATAGCAAACAAAATAACTTGAAGAATTATTCAAAAAGTATAATTCAACAGGAACAAAAAAGGATAAAATACAACTCCTTGTTGTATTTTTTTTTTGGGTTTTAGTTTGAAAATATTTCCTCCTTAATTGTTGAGCTCACGCCACGATTCACACACCATGTTCATTTGAAAATATGAAACCAGAGAAGCTCTAAAAAGCCTCTAAATGGAGGACAAGAAAGCAAACATAATCGCGACTATATCCATATTAGCCCTTCTCATAGTGATAATCGCCGCCCGAGTTTCTCTAAAACTCTCCAGAACCTTCTTTCTCATCGCCGGCGTCGACATTTCGTTAATCCTCGCCGTGATCTGTTTCCTCATAATCCGATACCGTTACAACAGAGAGAGAAAGCTCCTGGAATCGAGGTACGTCTCCGAAGGCAGAGAGCTCCGAATCGAGTACAGCTTCCTGAGAAAAGTCGCCGGAGTCCCTACCAAATTCAAGCTCGAGGATCTCGAAGAAGCCACCGACGGATTCCGATGCCTGATCGGAAAAGGCGGATCCGGATCTGTCTTCAAAGGAGTGTTGAAAGACGGAAGCCAAGTCGCCGTGAAGAGAATCGAAGGAGAAGAGATCAAAGGAGAGCGAGAGTTCAGATCCGAAGTAGCCGCCATAGCTTCGGTACAGCACAAAAATCTAGTTCGTCTTTTCGGTTTCTCGTCGGTAAATCGCCAGAGATTCCTCGTCTACGAGTTTATCGCGAATTCGTCTCTCGATATCTGGATTTTTCCGGCTAAAGGAAATAGAAGATGCGGAGGAGGATGCTTGTCTTGGGACCAAAGGTACCAAGTCGCAATCGATGTAGCTAAAGCGCTTGCCTATCTCCACCATGATTGTCGATCGAAGATCTTGCATCTCGACGTGAAACCCGAAAACATCCTCCTCGACGAGAATTACAGAGCGGTGGTTACAGATTTCGGACTCTCGAAGCTGATCGCTAGAGACGAGAGCCGGGTTTTAACGGATATCCGAGGGACACGTGGATATCTAGCTCCGGAGTGGCTTCTAGAACATGGAATTTCGGAGAAATCCGATGTTTACAGCTACGGAATCGTGTTACTTGAGATGATCGGAGGAAGGAGAAGTATTTCAAGGGTAGAGGTTGAGGAAACGAAGACGAACACACTTTGTAATAAGAAGAAGAAGAAGAAGAAGAAGAAGTTGGAGTATTTTCCGAGGATTGTGAACCAGAAGATGAGAGAAAGGAAAGTGATGGAGATTGTAGATGAACGGATGATAGAAGCCAAGGAAGTAGATGACGAAGGGCAAGTGATGAAACTGGTGTGTGTTGCTCTTTGGTGTATACAAGAGAAGGCTAAGAATAGACCTGATATGGCTATGGTGATTGAGATGCTTGAAGGGAGAGTTCCGGTGAATGAGCCGCCGGATTCTGAAGTTGTTGTGGTCGATCTTTTGGCAGCTGATGATGATGATGATGCAGCTACAGGTGTACGACGTGTTGTTGATATCCCGAGATTGCATATTCAGAGGGAGAGGAATTTTCGTTTACCCTCTATTTGCTCTAGTATCATATCTCCCATCTCTCCACGGTAGATTTTTTTTGTTGGTAAATATTGGTTTTGTTTCGATATATGTAATAAGCACAATTTGTAACAAGCATATGGGTTTCAACGTGTCAAGAATCTCACATTGGAAATTAGATTTAAACTTAAAAACAATTAACATTGATCAAATTCACTTTTTGCTAAATGATTTTGAGTTGCATCTCCTTCAAACTCTACATGATATTAGAATTGGAACACACGCCACCCTAAACTTTAATCTAGACCCAAGTTTCATAATTTATCAATGTAAATAATAAATTTAGAGATAAAGCTAAATTTCCTAAACTAACATATTGATTTATATCAAAAGAATATTCAAGATGATTTCCATAAGAAGATATAGACTGATCAAAATAAAAGTTTCGAGGAAAAAATGGAAAAATATCAAAATTGATGGACCGTAAGGAAATATAAAGTGCAACCCACATCAAAATTTATGGATTGTTGCTAAGCTCTGTTTCTTTTAGACTTCCCCGTCGATTAACCTTGCCAAGGTACAACCGTCTCTCAGGTAAGATCAATTTTGATTAATCCTTTGCGCTTCACCAACTTTTTTCAGCATCTACCTATGTAATTTGTAGTTCTGATGTCGTTTTCCAATTAATTTGTCGTAAAGACAACACCAATTTCGTATCTGGGTTTTCGTGATTCCTTGGAATTTTTTTTTCGATCGATCGAGCACTCGGGTTCCTTTTCCTGTACAATGTCTGAACGGACTCAGTATTTCAATGATTTTTCTCTTTTTTTACTTTTTCGAGCTTTATTCTTAAAATTTTGGATTTCGTCTGTGATTTTCTAGAGGTTATCCGTCTTCTAAAGGTTTAATTTCTCTTTGATTTTTGGTTTGAACAATGTGGTATCTGTCTTCTGAAAATTCTCGCCTGATGTAATCAATGTGGTGTTAATGACTGATGCATTCGTTGCCCTGCAGGATCATTCTTCTTGTTATATTCTTCACCCAGTGCTTGTTCTTCCAATATGAGTTTCTCCAGCGCTGCAGTTGGTTCAAGTTAGTATATTCCTTCCTTTTTTTTGCTGCTTGCTGATTCGTTTTTTTGCAAGTTCAAATGGAAAATACCATGAAAAATAAAAACTCTCAATTGCAACATCATTGCAGGCAGAAATTTAAGAAGAGCGGTCGAGTTTGGGAAAACTCATGTGGTTAAGCCTAAAGGGAAACACCAAGCTACTATTGTCTGGCTACATGGCCTTGGAGACAATGGCTCGAGGTAACCATTTTTCTATCTGAAGTTTGTTTTCAAATTTGGAAAATCAGCTAGCATAGTAGTTTGTTGTACATTGCTTCCATATTACAGTGTCCAGTCTAGATACTAGGCTATTTGGAATGGTTTAAATTGTTAAGCTGTAGGTTATTATCAGTAATGAGTGTAACTTATGATAGCGCTCAGCTTTACACCTTATCCCTGTACTTCACTTACTTCCAAGAGTTTCGGTGCTCTTTAGGGAATGTCGCTTCACAATCACCGAGAAAATTAATTGACCGTGACTATGAACACTCTGGCTTATCTTTTTAAGCCTTCTTTAGGAAAAAACTCGGTTTAGTAAATCGTGACATCGTTCATTGTCTTGGTCGATACAAACTTAACTCGACACATAGCTAGTTCGAAAAGCTGGCAGTCATGACCTTACGTCTTTTTTTTTTTGGTCCTGGATGCAGCTGGTCGCAGCTTTTGGAGACCCTTCCCCTTCCCAATGTGAGTTATAACTTATAAGCTTCACTGATCTCCAGCACTTGCCTTAACGTGCTCAGTTACTCTACCATTCTCAATACGTAACCGTCTTTGTGTTTGTGGTGTAGATCAAATGGATATGCCCTACTGCTCCTTCTCAACCAATAAGTTTGTTTGGTGGTTTTCCCTCCACAGCTTGTAAGTTATTTGCTACATAGCATTGATCTTTCACTCAGCTTAGTGGAACTATTACTAATGGAAATAGAAACGGAGGTTAAAGTGAAAACATTTGATGAGTTGAAGTATGTTGTGTGAGAAAACATTTGATGAGTTGCTATTGTAATTAATGCAGGGTTTGATGTTGTGGACATCAATGAAGATGGTCCTGATGATGTAGAAGGATTGGATGTGGCTGCCGCACATGTTGCAAATCTGTTGTCGAATGAGCCTGCTGACAGTAAGTTTTCTTTTCAAGCTTGCCTCCTCATTCCTCTCCATGTGGTCATTGAAATAGTAAGAAAATTGAGTAACCACGACAATGCAAATTATAAAAATTGATGTATGGTACTCTGTTGCAATTGAATAGTAGTAAGTTCAAATCTTGAGAGAAGAATGTAGCTCGAAAGATTTGAGTAGATTTAGAAAAAATTAATAATTAAGAATGTGCGCCTAGTTTTCTCAAAACTTGTGGCTGAGAACCCAAAATTTCGAGATTCTATTTCTGAAACTGTGTTATCTTTCATTGCTCAAAGTCAAATTAGGTGTTGGAGGGTTCAGCATGGGTGCAGGAACATCGCTATACTCTGCAACTTGTTTTGCTCTCGGTAAATATGGAAATGGCAATCCTTACCCTATCAATTTAAGCACAGTCATAGGCTTAAGCGGGTGGCTTCCTTGTGCAAAGTATGTTTTCCTCTTGTCCTAACTTCCTTCTAGTTTTGGAGCTTTTATAGATTAATTAAGGTATATGAGTGACTTCGGTACGTTTATCATCCTTATTTCCCTATCTTTTTTTTTTCACAGGACACTGACTGGCAAACTAGAAGAGGAACAGATCAAGAACCGAGCTGCATCGTTGCCCGTTTTAGTTTGTCATGGAAAAGGTAAAGTAAATTATAGTAACTTAAAACTTTTAAAATGCTTCACTACTTAGTATTGAATCTTGCTGTAAATGCAATTCATTCCCTAAGACCGATTCAAGTAAAAGAAGGGCTATACATTTTTAGGATTTTATCGTCTTTCATGGTCTCATTCTGATTCATGTGGCTTTGGTCTTCAGGTGATGATGTGGTACCATTCAAGTTTGGGGAGAAATCTTCAGAGGCCTTGATCGCAAATGGGTTCAAGAAGACGACCTTCAAAGGTTACAATGGACTCGGGCACTACACAATCCCACAGGAGTTGGATGAGTTGTGTGCTTGGTTGACATCTACCCTTGGGCTCGAAGGTTGAAGCCTTTCTGTGATATGTTGCTTTCTGATGAAGAAACCCCAAACTCTCGAGAGTTTCATTGATTTGGATTGGATCTTTCGGATTTTCACGTTAAGATGTTACATTAATTGGAGTATTTATGTGAGACAAATTCGTCTAGTAGCTAAAGTTGAAAGATTTATTCAATTTCTATAAGGTTATGTTTCTTGAAAAGAATTATGTCAAATATTTCTGTGATTACGAACTAGATTAATATACCAATAACACATGAATTAAAAGTAGCTCGACAGTTGCGCGTTGCGCCTAATCTAAAGCGACTGATTGCAAAATTTTGAAACGTGTGTGTGACATAGCTTGACACGTGTGAGGACCAGACTCGTCTGAATCATCGCTTCTCCTTTCTCACTCCGCTTGGGCTCTAACATCATCATCATCAGGCGCGAAAGAAATGGGGAGAAGAAAACAGAAATGCTTGCTCTCTTCCTCTCTTCTTCTTCGTATCCAACACTCTCTTTCCTCTCCAGATCTGTAACTCTAGACCCAGCCAGACGAACAACACTCTCAGCTCTCACAATGTCGATGAACCTAAGAACCCACGCGTACGCAGGCAATCCATTGAGATCCAGAACCCCGAAATCAACCGATCCTTTCTCACCTTCTTCCGCTTTCGAATCCCTTAAAACCCTAGTCCCAGAAATCCCTAATCACCCGAAGCCTTCCCCGGATTTCAAGGTCCTTCCATTTAGCAAGGGCCGGCCACTGGTGTTCTCGAGCGGTGGAGACGCTAATACGACGCCTCTTTGGCATCTGAGCTGGATCAGCTTGGCTGATTGCAAAGGTATGTTGGCGAGTTCTGGGGTTGATCTGAGCGAGGACTCGCTTGTGTATTTAGGACCCAAGGTAGAGGAAGATTTGGTGTATTGGGCGGTTGATCTGCCGGAAGAAGACGGCGTGGTGGTTTCTGAATTTGCAGGTAGGAAGCTGTGTTTCGTCGACCTTCGAACCCTAATGGTAGCTGCTGATTGGGCTGATCAACGCGCTATGGATGAATTGGCTATTGCCGGTCACGTATGTGAGCTTGATTATTCATCTTAATCATATGCTTTAAGTTTTTAAGTTTAATGGAATCATTTTAAGTATAGGTCCTTATTGCTTGCATTGCACAACTTAAGAAAAGTAGTAGTTTTTCGTTTTTCACCACCTTCATAATACCTGACTATATTATCTATCATGACAGGCCAGGGCATTGCTTGAGTGGCACAACGTATCACGATTTTGTGGATCTTGTGGAGGTAAAACTGTTCCAAAGGAAGCAGGAAGGAGAAAACAATGCTCAAACGAGACATGCAAGAAGCGAGTTTATCCCCGTGTTGACCCGGTATATTCCATGCTTCCTCTGTTTTCTTTTTGCAAAGAGCATGGTATTGCGGAACTTCTGGTTGATTGGTCCCTTGTCCATTACAGGTGGTTATAATGTTAGTTATTGATCGAGAAAATGATCGCGCACTGTTAAGCAGGCAATCTAGATATGTACCGAGAATGTGGAGTTGTTTAGCTGGGTTTATTGAGGTATGAGGACTTCACGGCTACTGTTGACTAGTTAATTTGTTGTTTTCTTCCCGTGAATAGGCAATTCCTGTTCACTATTTTTGTATGTATTATTATCTATGTTGCTTCTGCTAGCCAGGGGAAAGCTTAGAAGAAGCTGTGAGACGAGAAACATGGGAAGAGACAGGCATTGAAGTGGGACAAGTTGTCTACCACAGCTCTCAGCCTTGGCCTGGTAATTGTGTAGTTAGAAATGTTTATAATTGTTGGTTTAGGGTTTCCATGTCTTCCATTTACATATTTTATCTATGTTTATTAGCTTTGGACTTGCAGAGTTTTTCTTTAGCTAATGTACAATGCATGCAATCCGTGAGTGTGATAGGTCCTTTACCATGTACTACCCCTTAGGGAATAGTGCTAAATAGATTTGCAATATAGTAGTAGAGCAGATAACAAAATTGTTTCGTTGTTGTGCGAATTTTGCGATTTATCATCTCTCAGCAAGATAGTTCCTCAATGTGTAGATATGAAACTTAGTTAAATTTTTTTTTTTTTGTGTGGTCAGAAGGAAGTTTTTCTAACTCCAAAGTTGACAGAAACGAGGATATGGTTGTCTTAAATTGCAGTGGGACCAAGTAGCATGCCATGCCAATTGATGCTCGGGTTCTTTGCTTTCGCCAAGACGCTTGACATAACCGTAGACAAAGATGAGTTAGAAGGTAAATTAACTTCAACTCTTTGGACTGCCAAAGTTTCTTAGCATATCTTAACAAATGAGCAAACATGTTTTACTGCGCAGATGCTCAATGGCACAGTAGAGAAGGTGTGAAGAAAGCCCTGGCTTTTGCAGAATACAGGAAGGCGCAAAGAACAGCGGCTTCAAAGATAGAGCAGATCTGTAAAGGTGTGGAGAGAAGCCAGAGCCTATCAACCGATTTCAATGTCGAAAGCGGTGAGCTCGCTCCTCTGTTCATCCCTGGGCCATTTGCCATTGCACACCACCTGATCTCAACATGGGTTGATCAGGGTCCAGGCGATATTCACTCAAAACAACAACCAGGCGTCTCTCTCTCAAGTTTGTAGCTAGAAATATACGACTTTGATGCTTTGAGAAACTTAAAGTCTGCTATTGCTTTGATGCGTATTTTGAATTGCATAGTCCTTGGTGTATGTACTTGCTCCTTGCCATTTGGTGCAACACCAATTTATATTAAAAGATTTACTTCAATAATTTGTAGATGTAATCTAATCTAGTTATTTTATTCTACAACAATCAAATAGAATCTAGTATGTAAAACTATCATATGTACATCAAAATCGCGTGTTAAGATTTTATGTTAAGACTTGCTTAATCAGATAACAAATTCGTGTGTTATTGGGGATATTTGAACAGAATCGCGTGTTAAAGAGTTTTGGGATTTCCACCGTTATTACGTACACATCTCCGTAGGGTAGAAGTCACACTCTCTCCCCAGGTCTGTCGTCTCATTCTCTCTCGGTTCTTAAACCTTCCCATTTCGCTCCCTTTGTTCTTCTCCGAGATCTAAACCACTATGGCCAGCTCCTTCTTCCGGCGACTCGCCAGGTCTGCTCAGATTACATTCCCCGTCTCATTCGGATCCCAAAGCAAATCTGGTCTTGGCACTTTCCGATTCTCTGCCGGTGCGATCGCGGCACTTTCCGGCGGGTTCTCCTATTATTACCTCACTTCCGGCAACAATCTGGTGACCTTTTCTCTCTTATCTTATCTCTAATTCCATTTTAATATTTTTGCCAAGCTGGTTTGATTCCTTTCTCTTGTGTTTTGTCCAATGTATGCTTTGTTGCATTTCACATTCAATCAGACGAGCTTAAACGAACACATTGATGCATATACGAAGCCTATAGATCTTTATTATTAATAGCATTAGGCCTTTCTTCTCAGTTATTATGGCTTGTGTTTATTAGAAATTTCTGACTGTCGTTTGTGCTTTACGATCTCAGGTCTATCTGGATCAAGCTAAGGAAGAGACAGGACCGAAAACAGGTGCGCTGTTTTATACTCTAACCGCGTTTTCCTTAATCTTGCTTTGAAATCTCTGAAACGTTTTTGCTACTAGCCTACCACTATGCTCAGATTTCTGATGTTTTATTTTTTTTGCGGCGGGCTCTTTCATATCTGAAACTGTTTCTTTTCCCTTTGAATTTCGGAGGACAGAGGAGTGGTTTTCGATATACTTTTAGCTTTTGGTATTTCTTACTCTTCACTCAAAATTCTTTGTATTTTTCTGTCTGATTTCAGCTCTAAACCCTGATAAATGGCTCGAGTTCAAGCTTCAAGACACTGCTACAGTTAGCCACAACACCAAGTTGTTCAGGTATTTGCTTGACTTACTTTTCATAAACAATACACATTGGCAAAACACTTACTACCATTAATATGGTTGGAGGTCATGGCGATTAACTTTGGTTTTCTTGTTTCGCCTTTGAAATCTAGGTTCTCATTTGACCCCTCAGCCAACTTGGGTCTACATGTTGCTTCTTGTCTCTTGACAAGGTATGTTGTGGGTCTCACTCGAACCACTTCACAGTAAAACAAAGGGTTATTTGCCAGAATTTGGGAAAATTTCTCAACAAGAGTGGTAAATCTAACCTGTTTCCTTTTCCTTTTTACAGGGCTCCTTTGGGCTATAATGCTGAAGGGAAAACAAAATATGTCATTAGACCGTAAGTTCAGCTAGAAACTTCTCACTGGCTTTGCATTGTATTTCATGTCCGGACAACCATTCTTCTGATTAATTAGATAGCCTGTTAGCCTATCTGTTGCGTTTTCGCTTTCGTTGAATGGCTTTGATGGATCCCATATTTATCACTTCTAATTTTCTTTCACCACTCGTTTTACCCTCTGTTTTATTACCATTCGTTCATTTTTAGTTTATGCATTGCTTACAACTTGAAGGTGAGCTGCCATTACTTTTAAGAAAATGTTTATTGTTGAAATCAGCTTTTTTGGTATCCGTCTTCTAAATTTCCGCTCTTTGTATTACAATCTTGCAAAATAAATCTTCCAGATCCTTACATTCCTTGCTTTCTACTGTAATGCTCTTCAATACCTTTACTTATGTAGGTGAGGCTTCTATTAACCTTATTTTTCGTATGTTTGTGAATTAATCTCAGTTACACA